AGGTTCCTTTTTTCCATATGCCATTGGCCCTGCTTTTGTACTATCAGAAATAAACTGCTTCCCTGTGGCCCTTCATTTTCATGCCACCTTACCAGTACACAGCCTAAATTCAGTCTGAAAACAGAACTAGCAGGTCTCTGGTTTTTAATTAGGCTCTTGTTACAGAGTGCTCCTGAGGAATAAAACTAACGCTTGCTTTGGACCAAACTGCACAACAGATTCACTACAGCTTCTCATTAGTGCTCATTAATGCGTACTCGTTAGTACAGTGCTTATGTTTATAGTAATCTTTGTCTATGACGGTATCTAGACAGGGCTATTATCTCTCAAATGAGTCACTGAGATGCAATTTTTCTTACTATATATATTTTTGTTATAGGATTGGGGAGGTTGGTTTGGATTATGCATTTGGGTCCCCCCATGCATGCAAGGCTGAATGAACATAACCAAACTGTTTAGCATACGTCTTAGGGTCAGCTACATCCTGCCCCACCCCCCATAGTGGCTGAAGAAGCACATGGTATAGCATCCTATTCTGAATTGTTCACATTGATGGCAGATGAAGGTGATGGACTACATGGAATTGGCGGAAATGACTGGCAGAATCCGAGACCAGGGAGAAGAGTCGGTGGAAGAAGATTGGAAGAAATTTAAAGACTATCTACAGAAATATTGTAAAATTAATGAATGTTAGAATGATGTCAGAATGAAGTTAAGTGGTTTTAGCATCAATGTCATAAAGGTGTATGTAAAAATGGATGGTTAATAGGTGAGAATCTAAAGCTATAATATATTAAGTTAAAGGACTAAGACAAAAACAAAGAGGGAAAGGAATTGCTGAATTAATCAATTGAACTGGAATACAAAAAAGGGAGGTGAGAGGAGGTCAGGGAAGCAAGGAAATGAAATGTAAGATACGGAAGGATTAATTTGTTTTTAAGTGTTTTTTTATTTTTATTTTTTCTATACTTTGTATTTTGTATGTTTTTCCCCCCTTTTTTCTATATTTTCTCTTGTCTCCTTTATCTTTAACTATGTAATTTTTTGTTTCTGAAATGTTAATAAATATCATTTAAAAAATATATGAATTGTTCACATTGACTCTGTTTTTATCCAGTCAATTTAGCTTAAGCTTTTCAAAAGTATTTACATCCCATGGGAAAGTCTACTACCAAAGTTTAAAATAGATCTCATGAAAAGGAGAGTACTGTATCTAACAAGATATCTCGTTCTGAGTATTCATTTGAGTATATTTTTTGTGGGTAACTCTCATTAGATATTTGATGCTTTAATTTTTAACACGTTGCCAACACAAATTGTGTCATCCCTGAGTGATGAAAAGAGTGAACTTGCACCAGACAGAAACTTCCTTCCAAAATGATGCTGATGATTTATAACACAGTAAGCAATAGTAGATGCAGGCCTCATACACAAGGGGAGATGTGTCTGGGCAGAAATGGGCCGCTATCTCCCTCATCCTTTGGTGATGAGTTTAAATTCTTACTGTTAAGTTTTGGGTGGACATATCAGACGACACAGCAATTCTTCAGACAGCTCTTGTTTATTCACAGGCCAGAACGGAACGGAACTGAAGGGTTCAGCCAACCTGCTAATATAGAGCTCATTTACAAAACAACAGTAACAACTTTCTGTAACTATCCAATCACTGAATGTCACTCTCAATTCCTTATTTGCATATGCGGACCTGAGTGAAAACTATCTACAGTATCCCCCTGCTGGCCCAGGGTGAGAACTTCAGTACATAACATTTACATAGTGCCTTCTTTCAGTCTCTCCCAGGCTAGGCTGTACAGGAGCTCTGGAGATGTCCTGCTGCATCCAAAGTGATGGGAATGTCTCTTTGACCAGCCTGTTAATAGTGGTCATAAACCCAAACAACCATGGAAGCGGAGTTTTTATCTCCTGCATAGAGTTTTCAAAAGCAGCATGAGATAGTAGTCCTCCTTTGATCAGAGCAAGAAGCTAGGTTAATGACGCCAAACATCCCTTAGGGCAAATCCATCTATGAGGAGCCACATCAGCAGTAATGGAGTGGATTTATGGGGGGGACAGGACACATCTCCGGGACATTTTTCACAGTAGGACTGATGCCTCCCAGAGTGTCTGGCAGCGTATTGACTGACCTTCCTTGCTCTGGGAAGTGAATGAGGGGATAATGAATGTGCTGCCAGACTTGAAGGGTGTGTGTGTGGGGGGGGGGATTCTAGAAAGGAGTCTGTTCAATTCCATCCTCATTGTGATCCACCACTCTCCATCTGCCTGGTTGGTCTCGTCAGTCTGTCCACAGCCTTTTACCAGGGTGGTGGCTATGGCCCTGGACCTGCACCTGGTAGCTCAGCCCAACTTGGTTTGTATTTCTGATTACAGTAAAAGTAAAACGTTGCATTTCAGCTGCCTGCTGGTCTCTTCTATTGAAGCTCAGTGTATGTTACAAATTGAACCTATGTTGTCAGAAGTAAGCATCCTTGAGTTGAATGGGAATTATACCCAGGTAACGCTATTGAATAATGGCTAATGCACGAGATTAAATCCAGTGTAGTCTAAGCAGATGGGCAAATAAGTAATATAAATTGAGCTGCTATTAGAATAACCATTAAGCTTTGGTTTTTTTCCACTTTTGGCATTTGCATAATCACTAGGAAGGTATTATTTTGTTTTATCAGTGGCAAAGGGTAGTTTATATACTGCATTTATATTTTACTTTGCTTTTGAATGAAGCACAAATAACTGACTGTTTGGGGACATAATATAACCTAATTGTTCTAACCAATTTTAGTATTGTTTATTTTTTATTATTATACCTGCTCTGGGACCTTCATGGCAAGGGGGGGGGAGAATATATATTTTCATAAATAACACCAGATAAAGTTTTAAGGTTAAATAACATGGCAAATCTGAAATGTTGATTGTTTCCTTGCAAGTAATGAGAATCCTTGTAAGTGATGAGAAACAAAGCATATCATTTGAACAACATTTTAATATTCTGAAATTTTTAAATAAATTTTATCAATTGGCATATAAATAAACAACATAGTTGCAGTATTTCACACAGTTCGTGTAATAAATAATTATTAAATAAGGACACAATGTATAATTTTGAGGACACAAGAATGCAGGAAAGTCTCCAAGCCGTGTTAGAATACATATTGAAATGTCTGCTGACAACAATTATGACTGGTACCATAAACAGATTCTTAATTCTCCGTAGGAGAAAATTAATTCTCCACCATTCAGCACAGTGTAAATCTTCACTCAGAAAATTTAAGGAAAATGATAACGCTGCAAATTTCCGGCCACTCCCACCTGCCACAATCTGTTCTGTAGTAAGTGAGAACTATTCATACACTAAAGGGAATTGAGCTTGATTAAGTCCATACTGGCTTTCTTCGAAGCAAACAGTTTCTTACGTTTGATTAATTTAATTGTTAGAACATAGCAATAAATAGGAACGCAGGAAGAGCTCTGCTGGAACCAACTTAAAGATTCATTTAGACTGACATCCTGGTCTCACAGTGACTAATGAGATGCAAAACATGGATACAATGGCACTTCTTTCACCTGAGAACATACCCTGGCTTTGTTGTTAACTTGTGGCCAATAAGATGGAGGAAGAGTAACATTCATTAAGAATGAAAGTCTCTGCAATAACACTAAAAGGTATTTTCATGTAATCAAAGTAGCTTAATGAAGGGCTGCCATATGTCCTGGAACTGGGCTACAAAATGGCGTCTGGGTGGATTTATGCTGTGCAAGTAGGGTGATTGGGGGGAGGCTTTAAAAATGTTCCCCCAAAAACTTTGTCCAGATTTTCTCTTTGGGGCATATTCACATTTGTATATGCCCTGTATGTCTGGACAACATAACAGGTTCATATTGCTTGTAGGGTTCAAATGAAGATGCATTTTAGGAACTAGCAGGCCGTTTTAAATTACTGTGCACTGCAGTGGTCGGTGGGTTTTCTGAATCAATGATTCCCATAAAAAGGTAAAGGTAAAGGTAGCCCTGCCCGTACGGGCCAGTCGTGTCCGACTCTGGGGTTGCGCGCCCATCTCGCTTAAGAGGCCGGGGGCCAGCGCTATCTGCAGACACTTCCGGGTCACGTGGCCAGCGTGACGAAGCTGCTCTGGCGAGCCAGCACCAGCGCAGCACACGGAAACGCCGTTTACCTTCCCGCTATAAAGCGGTACCTATTTATCTACTTGCACTTCGGGGTGCTTTCGAACTGCTAGGTGGGCAGGAGCTGGGACCGAAACGGGAGCTCACCCCACCGCGGGGATTCGAACCGCCGACCATACGATCGGCAAGTCCTAGGCACTGAGGTTTTACCCACAGCGAGTGGTACAAACAGTAAAAGGGCTTTATCTATTAAAATATCCCTCACACCTCCTTACTTTGGGAATACAAATATGAACAAGACCTTGTAGCAACTCTGCATATTTTTTAATAGTTTAGTTTCAGTTCAAGACCTTTCCCCAGAACATTATGCAGCCTAGAGGTAGCTTATTGGTCACAGTACTGAAACAGTCCCCTTTTAAAATGGTGTATTACATCTTACTTCATAGAACTGCAGTCATACCTCGGGTTACAGGCACTTCAGGTTGCATTTTTTTGGGTTATGGACCGCCAAAACCCGGAAGTACCGGAATGGGTTACTTCCGGGTTTCAGTGGTCGTGCACGCGCAGAAGCGCTAAATTGTGCTTTGCTCATGCGCAGAAGTGCTGAATTGCAACCCACGCATGTGCAGACACACCACTGTGGGTTGCGAACGTTGTGGGTTGCGAACGTGCATCCCGCACGGATCACGTTCACAACCCAAGCTTCCACTGTATGAATTAATTAATTGGGGTATTTTAGAGTATACTTTTTGTTCTCTTTTCTTTTTGCTGGCATTTTGGAAATGTCCAAGTGAACCCACATGCCCACACTGAATAGTTCAATATACCCCACCCACCCACCCAAAAGAAGAATGTGGCTGGCAGACAATATTTACATTTATATTACTGACATAGCGGGTGTTGAAACAGCAGGTGTCCTATTGATTTTGGTTTTCCATGTGAAGCTGATACATCTGTAAAAATAGACATTACAAAAATGTTAAACACTAGTAGACAAGTTGAAAAAGCAAATGCCAAAAACAAGATAATGATGATTGTGATTACACTTTTATTACCTGCTGTAGCAGTGTTATAAACTCATCCAAAAATGTTCTTAGGCTCTGTTTCTTATAACTGGTACATGAAGGGCACGTCTGTCAGATGAAGAAAAAGTCTTAATTATTTTTCATGTGTTTTAAAGAGATTACACAATAAAATTAATTAGCTGTCTCCATTTTTTTTAAAAGAAACAAAGGTGAGAAAGTAAAATTGTGCTGTCCCCTATCTTAAGTGTTACCTTTTGTAATGTTTGTGCCACCTGATACCCTTGGTCGCAATGCTTAGTCTCTAGGAAACTTGTTGGTGGTCATCTTTTATTTCATATATCCCAGGGCTGAACACAAACACTTTCTTTGAGATGTGGTATTTTAGCCTCATCACCTGGAGCCATTTTCAAATGGTAAAATGAAGCAGGAAGCTCTGGGTTCAGCCTTCTCCTTAAGAACAGGTGTATGACTTGAGGTCTCACAGGTCCAACACAGCATCTCAAAATTCTAAGTTTCTGTCATTGAAACTCTATGGTATATAATCCTATAGGTCTGAATGCAAAACTGGGTGGCAGAAAAGCCAGCCCAGTCTTCACACTGATTATTCCAGTTTATTCGGACAATCCTACATAAGCAATGAGTTTTTGGCAGAAGGCTGCCAAGGTAGCAAAGTGTGACTTCAACCCCGGCATACATTTTCCATGAATTTCAGGAAATTGTAACTTGCAGTCTTACCACATCAGAATATCGTTTTGCCATTTAAGAACCAAAAGGAATCCTTACAAGAATTTTCCTAAGTAGGTTAGTATCATCCATTTGCTTAAGATTTGGAGATAGTGACATGTTTAAGGCCACGCTGACCAGGATCATAGAGAGCTGTAGCCCCACTGTAGCCCCTCATGCCACCACAGAAGTCATTACAGAAGACCAGAATTCAACACTGCACAAGAGAATACCGCTAGAAAAGGAGAGTGATTTCTCCAAAAGCCAACAAGAGTGTGTGGGTCTGGCCAATGTTTGTCATAATAATAACTGAGCTGCTACTTGAAACAGGAACTTGAAGCTTATATTCTTACTCCTGATCATGTTACACCATAGTTTAATTCACTCACTGTTTATCCAAGTTTTACTTCTCAGCTGGGGGAGCTACATACCTAGCTTCTAAAAGCAATTCTGCTCTTAATTCTATTGTCCCTGAAGACACAGCAAGGAGAATAGAAGTTGGAAATAAAGTGTCCTATATAATCATAAGAAGTTGTCTAATGGCTTATTCACAGTGCCATGTGATGATTCAAGCTGTGATGCTATATAGTTTATGTGTTGACTCCTATTGTATCAGCTTCCATTGAGCTTTCTAAGCACATTAATCCACTGCCCATCTGTTGAGATAGACATGTGAAACGTAATTATTTATAAAGTTAATCTTGAATGATACAGGCACAAGTCTTTATGTCTGGTAAACCTGCTAGCACCCTTTATTGTTGCAGAACCTAATGGAACATACCAAAACATCAGACAAATTATTGGGTCAGTCCATTTACTATAAAATAACATGTTATCATTAGCCATACCGAGTCAGATGCACCGGGAATAGGAGGAGGACGGAAATATTTGATGCGAGTGAGGATCACACCTGTTTTGCGATCCTGTAGTGGCCTTAATAATATGGTTTCATTTTTGAAGCAGTCTAAGGCAGGGAGGAGGCAAATGCCCTGGAAGGAAAAACATATATATCGTTATATTGATGCAAGATATTCTTAGACTTCTGGTCATATTTGAACAGTCAAATTTGTCTTCCCACATGAAGTGTTTTAGGTCCGTACTCATTTTACCACTTCATGTTGCCATTCTGACAGCTTTGCAAGTACAACTGGCATTTTTCCCATTTCAGTTTTGCATGTGCCCTTCACACATACAGTGCAAAACCAGTCCAGTTTCCAACAGCAGCCAACCCATTACCTTCAGGAAACCTGCAAGTCAGGTGTGAAAGCAATAGCCATCTCCCACTCTTGCTCCCCAAACACTGCTTACTCAAGCTTGTAATCTGCCTTGAGCTTCCCAAATTTACAACAATGGGACCTTTTCTCCCTCTGCAGTTTTCAATTATAGTACTACACAGTAAACTAAGACCGCTATGCCCAGAAAACTACTAGTACAGAATGGTAGGTAAGGGCATTAAAAGACTGTTGTGTGTGTGAAACCGCTAACTTCCTGAGCCTAGCAGACTGTATTGCTTGAAAAGTTATGATTAAGCAGTTAGTCACTAACTGTAGATACATTGCTTCTGGGATCCTGACAGGGTTTTCTCAGAGGGAAACTAGTTCTGTTTGTTTTAACACATACTGAGCTATTTAAAGAATGCTAATTTGATGGGAACTATAATAATATCTTACAGTTAACAAATGTAGCAAAGAAGTGGAAGACCTTCCTTGCTCAAGTTATGAACAAAAACAGAATAGCATTCTGAAGCGTAACAGAATGTAGTAAGCAGAAGGAAGTTGGGTGAGTTTTTTCTGTTACTTTTAAAATGTAGGTTTTCAGTTATATTGTTGTTCTGTAATTGAAGCAATTTCTATTTGGTCTGATTTATTTATTTTTTAAGTCAAGGCAAACAAGAGTGCTCAATTTTCATACTTCAGCTTTCAGAAATATATACCTTTTTATAATGCATACTGATGTCAAGTGTAATGCAACTAGTTCATGGAGCAATGTTATTTGCCCTTCTAACTATTTTCAGGAAACAATTGTATTTACGCACATTTAACTCCAAGATCCCTTGCTGAGTAAAAACAATCTTCTTCTTTCTCAATTATTTTAAATGCATAATGCCAATTTAAAAGTGAAATCTCTCTTTCTCTTTTAATGTTATCCTAGATCATGCTTAGAATTACAGTCACCTTTCTTGTGTTAGTCCTCCTTCATCAAAACAATATTCAAAATGTCTCTGGTGATATCTTTATGTTGACCAACTAGGTTTGTAGAATAGCCAGCTGATGGTGGCCTTGGAGAACCTGATATTATAGCTAAGTGGATATTATGACCCAGTTTTAAGCAAGGACACCGTGGAAGCCTCGCCTAATAGGCTTTGAGCTTCTGAAAGAAGAGTGCTGTACAAGTGTAATAAACAACAAACTTTTGACCTGCCATTACAAAACACTTGCTGCTCTGCCTGCAGAGCTGGTGCAATAAAAGGTATAATCAGCTGCCTTTGTTTGGGACTAAAATGGCATCAGTCCTTTCTACCACACACCCTGTTAACAAATCAGTAATCCGTTTGGATTGAAAGAGCTGTATGTTCTAGCCTTTGGCCAATGTATATTTATTACTTAATTAGAACAAAATAAGAAACTAATCCTGCAAAGCGATGAGTGCTTTTTTCTCCTGAGATCTGGTTAATCCTAAATCACTGCTTCTTTGATAGCAGCTTCTACCAGGGCTACTTCACTTGCACAAGAGCAACCCAACAATGGATGACCAGTACCCATGATATAGGGATTCAGCACTATGCAATACACATGGCATCAACAGCTACCATTTGAAAACAAATCTAGAATGTTTAACAACAGAAAGCAAATGTTGAGTCAGTCTTACCAGGATATTTCTTGGTGAATGTAGTTCAACAGTATCCTAGATAAATATAAAAACAAGTACATTTTATATTTCATACTTTCATTTAAAACTTTGTTAATTCCCCCCCCCCCAATAAATAGAAATTTTACATTTCGCTTGCATTGCTATTGAAACCATACTTACATTTTGTATCCTACGCTGCAAGTATTTTAAGTTCTCAATGAGTTCATTAAAGGCCGTAGTGGGTCTCTTGACTGTAGCAGCCTGAATTAGACTGGTAGAAAAGGCACAGAGCAGAAAGTAAATGAGCACCCTTGACATATCTGCAGGAATTTAATTTTAAATCATAAGGAGAATAAGTGCTCTCTGAAGAGTTAGGTTAATTTAGCTGCTCTCAGGTACGTTATACCTACCTATTTATTAAGACTTTCTGGCGAGATAAGAAAAACCACACATTTCACTTTGGAAAGCTTTATTTCATGGATTAATGAGTAACCCCTTTTTCTTTTCCACTGGCTTGATGCATATAGGTGAGAGAGTTTGTGCGTAGGAGCATGGATTCATGAGTTAAAATATGTCCCATTCGCATATTGGGCAGGGAAAAAGAGTGAAAGGGTGAATTCCCATTTTCAGTATGAGTCATGTGCCTCAATATGATGTATACGTAATAAATGAAGATGATGTATGTGCATGACGGACTCTTACCTGTCATAATTTGGCAGACCCAATTTCACACCAGCCAATCAAATCTTAACCCAACTTTTTCCCCAACAGAAGTTGGGGTAAAATTTTAGTTGCTAGTTTTGAACCCTTAAAACAGAAGGGGAATAAGCATTATGGATGGAGTTGTGCTTTTTTCAGAAATTGCTCAGCTCATGTATGCCAGTTGGTCATCCAAATTATTAAGAGTTTGTTCAAACGCTCCAAGATCTGAATAAGTCCTTTCCTGGGCTGTTTCAGACTTCACATGGCAAATTGCTGGTCTAGATTCCACTCCTGTGTCATGATTCCACTTATCATGAAAAGCATACACGTTAGAGAGATGTGTCATAAGTTTTTCCTCTCACCATTCCCCCAAGGACATCAGAATGGCCAATATAGTCCTCTCATTTGATCCTTCCAGCAATACTGTGATGTACCTTAGATTGAGAGATGGTGACTGGCCCATGGTCACCCAGTCAGTGAAGGGATTTGAACTTGTGTCTCGCCCGTCTCAAACCAGCACTCTAACCACTACACCAGGGGGAACTGACATGGCACCCTCCAGATGTTGTTGGAGTGCAACTTCTATCAGCCACTGCCAGCATGGCTAATGGTCAGGGATGATGAGAGTAGCAGTCTAACAAAACCTGGAGGACGCTGCATTGGCTGCACCAGTGTTACCATCACTAGCATCATAGGATGGTACCACATAGAATTAATGCTTGAACTGCCCCTTAATAATAATAATAACAATAATAATAAATTTTATTTATATCCCGCCCTCCCCAGCCGAAGCCGGGCTCAGGGCGGCTAACAACAATAAAATAATACAACATTCTAAAATCATTTCATTAAAACTAATTCAACTCAAATTGATGGCAACCATTAGGCTAAAGTTCTGTGAAGATTGCCAAAGGAGGGAGTCAGGCGGTGCCCTGACCAAAGGCCTGGTGGAACAGCTCTGTCTTGCAGGCCCTGTGGAAAGATGTCAAGTCCTGGGAATTTGGATGACGGCTTGTCTATTTGTATCATCATTCTCCCATTCACTGCTGACTGTTCAACTGTGGTAGCCTAAGAGGCACGTGATGGAAATTCTGGAAGGGTTTAGAGCCACATTAATAGCAAAACCTATTAATTACCTCAGAGGTAATTCCCACCATTTTTCATGGAATTTATTCTCTAGTAAATGTATTTAGGATTGCCATCTGAATGAGCTCTGGAACCTTGAAATACCAACACCACATGCCAGCATTCAACACTCCTATTGTTCTAGGTGTATTTTGTGACAGGGAATTTCATTAATGTGAGCAGTTTCTGAGCATAGGGCAGCAGATGATTTTGTTGCTCTGTTGTAGGGGCATAAACTAGAAGGTGTCACCAACCCTGAAGCCTCTCTTGTGTGGTGGTGCCCATGAAGTGGCGGTCACAGGTTCTGGCAAGATTTCATGGAGATTGCATGGAGCGCACGAGATCTCATGAGATCTCACCAGAAACCACTGGCACTGCCAATGCTGCTTCTCCACTGGCAGTGGTGCAGGTGGGGAGCCCCTGGAGGTACCGTCTCTTGGACTTCTTCAGCCCACCTCATGAGCAGACCGTCCCTGCTCACTTGTTCCATTTTGTGGTTCACTTTGTGACAGGAACCCTCAGCTTTGTTTAGGAGAGCCAGTGTGGTGTAGTGGTTAAGAGCGGTAGTCTCGTAATCTGGGGAACTGGGTTCACGTCTCCGCTCCTCCACATGTAGCTGCTGGGTGACCTTGGGCTAGTCACACTTCCTTGAAGTCTCTCAGCCTCACTCACCTTACAGAGTGTTTGCTGTGGGGGATGAAGGGAAAGGAGATTGTTAGCCTCTTTGAGGCTAGTGATAAAGCAGGATATCAAATCCAAACTCTTCTCTTCTTCTTCTAGGAGGTGAAGACACACTACAACATTGGGAGGACTTTAAAGTTGTGCTATGTCAGTTGAACATTCTGTCCGTTCATGCTCTTCAGCTTCCCAGAGAATGGTTCCCCCTCTCCTACCCACCTATACTGTTCTGATTCTTCTTCCAGCTCCCCCTGCCCCCCAAGCCAGTTTTGGGGGTGGGGGCAGAGAGAGGAGAAAGCCCCATAGTGCAAGTATAAGACCTTGCACAGGGCTTCCACGGATGGAATTCATTAGGTGAATCCCACCCATTGTTTTCTCCAGGTTCTCCTTGTGTAATTCCATTATTAATACTGGGTTGAATCCTAAAGGCTGCATGTGCAAATGGAAAGCACTCCTGTTCACATAAGGGGGTTGAGGATGACACTTGATGAATTCCTTTTCTCAGCCTCCTGCACCACAGCCAAAGGACTGCTTTTTTGCGGATGTGTGGAGTTGGCACAGGGGGTTGCAGTGGGAAGGAGAAAGCTGGAAAAACCCCAATCCAGAGGCATAAATTTGCTCACAGTTCTTATGATTTAACCTTTTGAGTGTTAGGTAAAGGTAAAGGTACCCCTGACCGTGAGGTCCAGTCGTGGACGACTCTGGGGTTGCGCGCTCATCTCGCTCTATAGGCCGAGGGAGCCGGCGTTTGTCCGCAGACAGCTTCCGGGTCATGTGGCCAGCATGACTAAGCTGCTTCTGGCGAAACCAGAGGAGCACACAGAAACACCATTTACCTTCCCGCCGGAGTGATACCTATTTATCTACTTGCACTTGGACGTGCTTTCGAACTGCTAGGTTGGCAGGAGCAGGAACCGAGCAATGGGAGCTCACCCCATCGCAGGGATTCGAACTGCCGACCTTCTGATCAGCAAGCCCTAGGTTCTTTGGTTTAGACCACAGCGCCACCCACTAGTCACCTGCTAATTTATGTGATAAAAGCTTACCTTAGTGATCTGAAGCATTAAGCACTTCCACAGATATTGATTTCTGTGTTTTATACCCCTTTGCTGCCACACTGCAAACCTCTCTCAGAATGGCAATCTCTTGAACATTAATAAAAACAAATCAATAAAACAACTCTTAACAGTAAGGCACAACAGCACAAAACGCAACACAACATGGTCAGTTAAAAAAAGTATCAGATGGAACTAGAGATGGACAAGTTGGTCAATTTTGTTTCTCCCTCATTTCTCATTTTTCCAGTTGTAAGTTCACTTCTCCACATTTCCACATCAGTCTGTGTTTTTAATGAGTGATGTTTTAATGTACTTTTAATCTTTTGTTGGAAGCCGCCCAGAGTGGCTGGGGAAACCCAGTCAGATGGGTGGGGTATAAATAATAAATTATCATTATTATTCAGCATTGCTGTGGCATTTAATCCTTGCGATTATTTTATCTGCTGTTCATTTTAATTGCATTTCATGTGCTTCTTCTTTTTTAAATTATAATCCTGTTTTATCTAATGTTGTGCTGTAAACCATTCTGCAATCAGGATGTCTACACAGCCTGATTGGTAGATAAATAAATAAATATATAAATTCTCCAGGCAGGGCGCCAACCAAGGATTTAAAAGTGTGTGATCTCTCTACGGTATCCTGTGCAGTTCATGCTCTTTGAAGAACTGATGTAGTCCACATCTGATAAGAGCAGGGGTTACTCCTTTTCTAAAAGCTCAGTTTAGGAACATGCTGAGTCAACAGCTCGTGGGCTTTAAATCTGAATTCTATTCAGTGGAATTCTAGAAACCCTGGGCAACAATTCTCTGTTTCCCCTCACTTACCACCCAGCTACGGTGACTTAAGCCCTCGTTCACAACCAGGTTTCCCCACCCACCTGTTCTTAAAGTGAAGAGATGCTTTTCCTATAGCTTAGTCACTATTGGGTTAGATACAGTTCAACCCCTTTAAAGGCTAATGATGAAATTAACTGCTTTCAAAGAATTTTGTTGAAAGTGACCCCTGTGAAGTTTCATTCATTGCAGAATAAGGAAATGATTGGAGTAGAGAGAGAGAGAGATTGGGAAGCATAAGAAGGGATCTGGGAATTAACTCTGGTTCGAACTTGTGCTGGCTAGCTATCACAGATTATAGAGGGAACTGCACTGAGAAATGGTTCAGAAATAGGTGATTCACCCTTTCTCCGTGCTCCACTAAAAACAAAACAATTAATATGATTCACTATAGAAAGTATAAACGAAGTTAATAATCATCACGTTCTCTGTATCATAATCTATACAGCATTTATGAGGTTGCCTTTGTTTCTGGCATTGTGGTTGCATTTTACTTGAAAAAGGTCTGACAAATTCGCTGATGCTTCTGGGGACTTTTCAGATTTTTTTTTGCTTGTTAATGCAGTTCTCATGACATCATTGAAGGGCTAAGCTGTTTTGCTCAGTAAACTTTTTCCATAGAACATGTTGCATTGCTAAGCTTTTAAAGAATAAGAACACATCCTGCAGGTTGTTGGGTTTTTTTTAAGTAGTTGTATTCAGTGCTGTTATTTTTGCATTTCTGTTATTTCCTTTCAGCATTTTTCCATCAGCTATCTGTGGCAAATCAGTTTAAATGGGAACAATGGGTGAAAACGTCAATGTGAATTTGAATAAAACATGAGGAAAATTTCCCCAAAGCTTAACAGTTACCTTTGGAATTAGTTATGTGTATTCATAAGTATTTATAATTTTTTTGAAAAAATTAAGCTTTGTAATGTTCTTCAACAGAACTTTTGGCACATAATTCAGTTGGTTGTGAACGCATTTCTGTTAAAGCAGTATGGAGTAAACTAGATCCATGTAACATATGATTTTTATTTTTATTTTTTACAATCAAGCGATATATATAGATTTAATGCACTAAAGAATAATAAATAAAATAATAAGTGCCACTAAATATTTTAAATGATGTTTTAGAATTCCTTCTTCATCACTCTGATCTGTGTGCATATCACATGTGAATTAGGAACCATAATTTGACGTAAATGAGGTGTGATCTGAATTTCTCCCTTCAGTGGGAATCTGCTTTCAATTTGATGTGTATTTGAATATGCATCAGTGTTATGCCTCAATCATTCAGACACAGAATTATCAGCGCGCCTCAAAGAAGGGGCAGGTTTCTAAAGCTACCAAAAGCTGAGACAGAGAAAAACTGCCTCCTGCTCATCCTCTATTCTCCATTGTACTTGCTGCCATTCCAGCTCCAGCTCCCCACTTGTTTTAATACACGTGTCAACACAGGCAGACACCTAGTGCTGCAAGGAGGGAAATTCCTCTCCCTTCTTTCTCTGGCATACTGGGACAACAGCTTAAAGGTTTGTGGGAGATGTAGTTCTCCCAGGGGCTCAGTCTTTCAGAGGAATCTATTTCCCAAGTGCTGTTAATCAGCATACTGGAGTGTCTGAGAAGGAAGTAGAAGAAGACCCTTCTCCCTTTGAACTATGCACCTCTCAGACTGTTGACCAGTATACTAGATAGCACTGCAATTCTTATTGCATAATATACATAATTTAGTACAACAAAAACAAAATGTGTACACTTGTAAATTCTCTAATATATTTGAAATCAAATGAACACACGTCTGCCAATCTTTGAAAGTCCGTAGAACTATAATAGTTGAAACAAAGTAATAGATGCTATCCTGTGGGCTAAACAGTAAAACTTTTTAGGTGTTCATGGTGCCAAAGTAGTAAGTGAATAACAACGTAAGACAGTGATCCCGGATAATCTGACTATTTTGCTGGAATCTTCTTCAGCACAACTCATAGATTAGAAAAATGCACAAGGAGCAGTGGTCATATGACGTGTGTTCATTTGATTTTAAATTCATTAGAAAATTTACAAGTGCACACATTTTGTTTTTGTTGTACTAAATTATGTATATTATGCAGTAAGAATTGCAGTGTTATCTAGTATACTGGTCATCATGTTGCTTGTGTTGTTTGTTGTGTTAAGTTTGCAACACAAGGGTTTGTTGTTCTGTACCTCTCAGACTGTTGGCATCATTGTATATATTGAAAGTAAATGGTGAGGTGTGTTTCAAGGGTGTGTGCTGATGGGGCATGCGTCTGGAAACAGAAAGGATGGATAATGTAATCTGAGTCCTACGAATTTCCCTAGTTTTCCTCTCCCCTCCCTCCAGGAAATCCCTTCCCCAGTTAATTGCTAAATTAATCTGATGCAGGTCTCTGAGATAATATCCATCTCTGTTCATGTATGACTCCCATCTTACATGTAGCTAGAGTTAAATATAAGGCTATCATGATCATCATTGGCTACTTTAGCCATAACCATTATTGCTTTCAGTGGGACTTAATTCTTAGCAGATAGGTTTAGGATTGAAGTCACACTCATTATTTAAATGGTGGGCCACCACTAGACCTTTTGGTGTAGTTTCATAGAATTTTTCTCTGATTACTTGGAAGTTTCTGAAAAATGTCTGCTGTTGATTTAATAAAACACTTCCCAGTCAGAAAAAAAAAAATCAAGGTAGTGCACAACATATACAAATACAATAGTCTAAAACAATACAAAATTGTCACTAAAATGACTAATTTGAAAATTAAACAACTGGACAGGCCTGCTGGCATTAAATGGTCGTCAAGAGATGCCTGGAAATTAGTAGCTAGGAAGCATGCTGAATCTCTGCTGGAAGGAGTAGTCCACAACGTGGGACCAGTGACACAAAATGGCCTAGTTGGAGCAAGTTGGGTTTCTGAAACCCTGGATAATTAACAGCACAGCTGGGATATAAGGGCTCGGGCAGACCGTAAGTGTCAGGCATCAGAGAATCCGATCCTCCCACAGCAGGCTGCCAGGGACAGACAGACAAGAAAAGCTCTTACCAAAGTCTTTTATTCAATATTCACAGAGAGAGGCTTAGAAAGGCAACCTCTTGGAGTAATGGCATTGCTCTGAGTAAACTCCACCCTCCTTTCCTTCTCAATTGTCAACAGCACCCCCCCCCTTACGGTGGCTGTTTAAGGCCATTTGCCTCTTAGCTCTTTGCTCTCCTACTTTCACTGCTCACCGGGTTCTGGGAGAAAGGGGGTCTGGAATGCTTTCTAGTGATAACGTGTCAGCTAGCTACTCTGGTTCTGCTTGCTTCCCCCCCTCTCCCGTTATTTCCCAGCTTTGCCCCTCATCTATCTGAACCATGACCTTCTGGAAACCACTGTTGTAAATTTTTCTGTCTTCCTCTTCTCTGGAAGATTGAGGCGGAGGGGGAGGCAGTCTCTACCATTCCTCCTCAGTCCAGTCCCTGACAGTAAGGTACCTTGCCCCCAGTTTGTCTGGGGCTTTGTATATTATTACAAGAACCTTGTATATTGGTACTAATGGTATTAATATTGGTATATTGGTATTAATATTAATGGTACATTGCAATGTTACTTAAGCCTCCCATGTATCATACTGTAAACCACAATTAGTGAGTCAAAATCTAATGAGATGCCTCTTTACAGCCCAACAGGAATAAGTGGTGAAACTGTAAACCCACTGAAGAATTAAGTGAATCATACCTACATCTAGGCCTCCCTCAGCTCCCTAAGGCAGCTGCTAAAATATAAAGTGAAAGGAATAAAAGCACTAAATGATTTAGAAGTACAATAAGGATTCAATTGTCTTTATTAAACCAGAACCAAATCAAAATATAACTCAGATATACATGTAAGCAGAACATTAAAAACAAACAGGAAATTGGAAATGAGAGCAGAGTAGCTCCAAAGTGTTATGCCTTGGAACATGAACAAGTAAATAACTTCAGACTGCAATTTAAAGAAGAAGAAAAGATCAGAGAAATAACCCACAGGTGTACAGATGAAGTAACTTTCAAGCTTGGCCCATCTTACCAAGTTTCACTATGAATAATAAAATGGAACTTAAACCAAAGGGGGGGAAATCACTACTGTTCCCCATTATTACCGTAAATGCAAAGAAAAAAAAGTAGGTGGAGATCATGTTTCCAAGGCATCCCGTTAATCTGTTACATATCAACAGTCCCCAAAAGCCCCAAACGAAGAGAAATCCCCCCATTCATTGGCAGACTGCACGTTTTCTTCACCGCCATGCCCAGGCGTTGTGACGCCAAATGAAATTCTGACTTCTTTTTTCACATTTCCATTTCTGTTTATCAGATTTCCTGCCTGCCCCAAATTGTCTGTATCTCTGGCAATCTAAATCTTGATCCTTGTACACAGTGGCTGGTGACTAATGTAAAAAGTAAAAGTTCCTCTTCAGGCTCCTCTCTCAAAGTGTTCCAAAGTGCGCTTCCTAGTGTCTAAGGCTCACTTGTCAGGCTTGCACTTCTTCCAAACATATATATGGATATAAGAGCCCTGCTGGATCAGCCCAAAGGCTATCCAGTCCACCATCCTATTCTCACAGTGGCCAACATGAGGCCTATGAAATGCCCACAAACAGGACTGCATATAACAGCACTCTCTACCCACTTAGTATAATGGGCTAGTCAGATTCAAAGGCATACCATCTGACAATGGACCTTATCCTTCATGAATTGGTCTAATCCTTCTTTAAAGCCATCCAAGTTGGTTGCCATCACTACATCTAGAGAGAGAAAGGATTGTATAATTAAACTTTCTCCATCCTGTGTTCTAGCATTAGGAGAAGAGAAGGAAAACTTGTTTCTATCAACTTCCTCTTCTATTGTGTCTGCCCCTTACTCACTTTTTCCTAAATTAAAAAGCTCAAAACTTTTCCTCATTGGGGGCGGGGGACTCAGGCAAGGTTTCTTTCATGAGAGTGTTGCACTCCAAAGTACGCACAACCTAAACACTGCAAGAGCTGGTTTAGAACATGCTGGAAGTCAAACATCGGAATCCTCTGCTAGGCCCATAACCTACTGTCAGTAGATCATTGATGGCTGACCCAGCAAAACTGTAAAATCATCCCAACCTTGAGAAAGTACCATAGCTGCCTGCATTTTTAAAGGGGGGGGCCCCCTCTCGGGTACAGTCTAATGCTGGTTTATTGAAGATCTCATAAAATTAAAAACAGCATCATATGAGACATCAAGCAGTAGATTACATACATGCATTTCCTACATATAAAACACCTAGAATGGAAGGAATTGACAAGTGGTCCTGCTTAGACTGTGAGACAGTAATTTCTTATATAACGGCCCAGATACTAGCCACAAAAAAGTTGTTAATCAACACCAAGTAACTGTTTCTAGAAAAAATGAACTTTTTAAAGCATTTATTGCACTGACGCTTTCAGGGAAGGTTAAGAATTTATATGCACTTTCATTGGAAAGATCACCCACATATTTGCTTATTTAAGATATTCCACATCACAGATTCAGGCACCCATGTGGAGGATCATGCCACTCAGAAGAAGCTGCCATGTGAAAAGCAATGATTTGGCATATGGACCTCACTGTGTGGCAAGACCTAGGCAAACCCGACATTAAAAACATGCCAAACCAAAGTCACCCTTAGATGGCTTGTGTTAACTTCACTGGGGCTACTCCCAGAATGAAAGAAAAAGTTTACACTTAGGTCTTTGCAAAACTCAAGGGCTTTGTATAGCAAACATTTATATAGTTCTATAAGATCTGACTCAGGGACACGGGTGGCGCTGTGGGTTAAACCACAGAGCCTAGGACTTGTCGATCAGAAGGTCGGCAGTTCGAATCCTCGTGACGGGGTGAGCTCCCGTTGCTCGGTCCCTGCTCCTGCCAACCTAGCAGTTCAAAAGCACATCAAAGTGCAAGTAGATAAATAGGTACCGCTCCAGCAGGAAGGTAAATGGTGTTTCCGTGTGCTGCTCTGGTTCGCCAGAAGCGGCTTAGTCATGCTGGCCACATGACCCGGAAGCTGTACGCCGGCTCCCTCGGCCACTAAAGCGAGATGAGCGCCGCAACCCCAGAGTCGGCCACGTCTGGACCTAATGGGGTCCCTTTACCTTTATAAGATCTGACTAACAAGATTGCAGCAGTGTGGCATACACTGTAAGTACCTCCATATACAGCAGGGACAGGGAACCTGTGGCCCTCCAGATGTTTAGGGATGTAACTCTCCACTGGCCAGGCTGGCTGCGGCTGATAGGAGATGAAATCCAACAACAGCCTGAGATACACAGGTTTCCCATTCCTGATACAGAGCACTGTTGCTAGCTGAATCCCAGTGATATGGGTTAAAATTCAAATAGTGGGGGGTCAAACAAGATGCAAGAGAGGAGAAAGGTGATCATGAGTGACTGTCCATTTGATCAGAGGAACAACAGGAGAAGGCAGTGCTTAACTCTTCCCCCTCCAGATGTTTTCCTGCTCAAAATTCCATCCCCATCTGCTCCTCACTAGCTGAAGAGGGCAATTTCGAGAAGAAACTACTGGAGGGGAGAGGGTTAAGCAGCTCCAATTTGTCCCCTGACATTTCCCTGATAAAACTGGAAGCCTCTCGTGACCACCCTCACATTTAAGTTGCATTAAGGGTCAGAACTCTGCTTGGCACTCCGTAAGGAACTGCTGGCATCCAAAACCATCTACCTCATAATCTCTCCCCTTCAGTTCAGAGTACCATCCTTTCTTCTTTCAGTGAGGAAAAAATTGAATGTTGCTACAATTAAGGCTCACACATATTCACCTGTGTAGCTGAGCGAGGAACATGTTATTGACAAATAAAGATCTTATCACTTTACCATCCAAACCAAACATATGTTGCTGCAAATTCTTTAATGAAGAATTACAAGTCACAATTCTGGTGTAATTTTTGTTGTTTTTAATGGGGTAATAAATCATCGTGGTATCTCTCAAAGTCCTAGGAAGGAGGTTACCTGTGCTCTTACATTTTGCAAGTTTTATAGTGTGAACAAATCTTAATTCGGTCAGATACGAAGCAGAGTTTTTGAGTCAGGAACTGTTTAAATCCAGCACCTTAAAAAAACAACCCCGAACCTATTTGGCAGATATTCTCTCTCTCAATCAATCAATCAATCTCAATCTCTCTCTAAAAAAAGCACCACTCATCTCCCTCCCTCAATCCAAACCTGGCATCCTATTGAGCTCATCAAAGAATAGCAGAAATATTTTTAAATCTTTGCGGGCCACCTTTTAGGTAACATAGCCATTAATATAGACTGGTCTTTTTCATGATTCTCAAGAACTCCTGTTCATCTATTTCACCATCGCCATCACGGTCAGCTTCATCTATCATTTCCTGTAAAAAAAACACTGAAGATTAAGCACTGACCTGGAAGCATCCAGCACTCATTTTGTTAAGTGTTTTCTCAGCTCCATTATAATGCCCAAAATTGAAATGCTTGATGAATAAATATCCTAAATACAAACAGCAAACTCTTTTGCCAAATGCCTCTGCTTATGTAGTCAAAACAGAACTGTTTAAACACAAGGTATCAGCAGGATTTGAAGACACTCATGTTTTCAGAACTACAAAAAATAGTCTTCTTTTTTTTCCTTTCTCTTGGGGGAAGGGGGGGGGCAAACTTCCAACAATCAGGACTGAGCATGTTCAGTTCTACAAAATGATCACTGCATGTTGCAGGAGTGCGGAGAATACCAGCAAGGGGGAAATAGAACACCATATCCTGGAAGAAGTGATGGCTGAGCAGGTGTACTTCAGAGCCCTCTGAAATATGCACAAATACAATTAAACAACCCAATGACCCTCAGTGCTGCCAGCTCCAACTATTACCCAACTATTTAAAATATGCAGCATCTATGAATCAAGGCTTAGCAAAGCAAAACATTTACCTGTAACTCTTCATCTGTTAAGTTTTCTCCAAGTTCCTTGGAAACTCTCTTTAGGTTTTTAAATGAAATCTTGCCTGTCGCATCATCATCAAATAATCGGAAAGCCTTTAGGATTTCTTCTTTGGTATCTTTTTCACTCTTTGAAGAAAAGGAAGGGGGAGAGAAGTAAAAAAAGAAGTGCTGACTCTTACTCCAACTGCACAAAAGCAAAATTATGTCTTACCATTTTTTGGGTCATCATAGTCAAAAAGTCTTCAAACTCTATGACACAGCTTCCTTCTTTCCCGATATCTGCTACCATCTTTCTAATTTCTTCTTTCTTTGGCTCAAAGCCAAGAGCACGCATTGCAACCTGTAATAGAATGCAAACCACTTTTACATACACAAGTTGGTGTTGGAAACATAAGGGAGAGCCACCTGGAAGCTTGTGTGACTTATGGGCACCAGCTGATTAGCACGACAGGAAGCTGCCTTAAACCAAGTCAGAAAAATGGTCCATCTAGCTCAGTATTGTCAACACTGGCTGGCAGCAGCTTCCCAGAGTTTCAGACTGGTATATATATTTTTCCAGTCCTATATAGAGGTTGAAGCTGGGACCTTTTGCACGCAAAGCAGATGCTCTATAACTGAGCTATGGTCGTTTCAGTTTGTGTATTAATAAGCTACATTTTTATGTATGTAGAAATAGTTCTGAAGCAAGAAACAGTCAGCCTTCACTTAGAAAAACCACAAACCTGAGAGTATGCCTCACTAAAATCAATAGGGCTTACTTCCAAGCATACATGGTTAGGATCGCACTAGGTAAAGGTAAAGGGACCCCTGACAGTTAAGTCCAGTCGCAAACGACTCTGGAGTTGTGGTGCTCTTCTCGCTTTACAGGCCAAGAGAACCAGCGTTTGTCCGCTCTGCAGACAGTTTTTCCGGGTCATGTGGCCAGCATGACTAAGCCGCTTCTGGCGAACCAGAGCAGTGCACGGAAACGCCGTTTACCTTCCCGGCGTAGCGGTACCTATTTATCTACTTGCACTTTGATGTGCTTTCAAACTGCTAGGTTGGCAGGAGCAGGGACCGAGCAAAGGGAGTTCACCCCGTCGTGGGGATTTGAACCACCGACCTTCTGATTGGCAAGCCCAAGGCTCAGTGGTTTACACCACAGCGCCACCTGCATCCCTAGGATCGCACTATAAATCACTACAAGAATACACACACATACCTTTAATTCTTTAACATCAATGGTGCCAGATCCATCGGTGTCAAACAAATCGAAAGCTTCCCGGACCTCCTGCTTTTGCTCCTCGGACAATTCATGTTTCAGCCCACTTTTCCTTCGCAGGTTAGCACCCAAGGTTGGTCTTCTAAAACCGGATGCCTTTCATTAAGCGAGAGAAAGAGAGAATTTAAAAAGATTATTTGCAGAAAGCTAAAAATACAAAAATACATAGTTATCACATTCTAAAAAAAAATATTTATGTCTACATGTATTTGATTTGCCAAAGTTGCTAAAATTAAACAGCAGAGGACTTTTGGGCTGCAATTGTTTACCTCCCCGCCCCTCACTGTTCTGTATTGAAGTACATATTATGACTACTCGCGCAAAGGTGTTCTCACAGGTCTATATTAGATATGGAACCAGATCAGGCAATACAACCCCCTTCCCCCAGATCTGGCCCATCACATATTGGGGAGAAAGCACGCACAACTCCTTCCCTCCTTTGTAGCACACCAGCGTCACCTGCCCCTCCCCATCTCTACCTGTGGGGATGGAATGTACAACGGCCGCCCACACGTGTACAGTTATCAATGCACATAGGCAAAAAGAAAAACATCAGGTTTGATTTTCCTATTAAAAGCAGGAAATTAAGCACGCACACAATTATCATCTACGCACATAGAATTGTGCAAGTGTCACTGGGTTTTTCCCGCCTCGCATATACCATGAAGGGCATGGCAGACATGGTGGGTGGAGACAAACTGCACACACATGCTCACCTCCACAAACTGGGGAGATGCATTGTCCAAGGCAGCTCATTCAACAAATACATGTTTGAACACACACAGGCAGTCCAGCTGTGTTGTATAAGCCTTTGCCCCAAGTAAGCATGCAGCCGTGCCACCTCACCCTATGCAAAGAGGAGCTCTAAGTAGATAGGCACAGACCAGTACCTTTTAATGCAGCTACTAAGCTTGCTTTTCACTTTCTCAACACCACTTCTGAAGTCACTTCTCTCTTCTGTTTGGCAGCCCTGCTTTGCACCCATTTTCACCTTCACCCCTGTGTCTATGCCTCCCCTCTTATTTTGTGCAATCCACCCTTGCACACAGCCCCTCCCACGCTAAGCTGGATCTTCCTCCCCATCCACATATTGAACTACTAAGCACCCTTTTCACCTACTGCCCACTTATTAAGCCCACCAGTTCTTCAAACACTTTCCTGTCCTTGTTTTCATTATCCTATACCTTCTGCTCCCTTTTTTGCAACTCCCTTCATACCCATTTTCACCTTTACCCTGCATTCTCTTCTTCATCCTCCTTCCGCACAGACCACACCCACTTTCATATTTCCTCGTCTATTTTGCAGCCCACACACTCCGTTATTATCTTCACCCTAACTCCTTTTTTCAACTCCCCCTTACACAGAGACCACATCCGTTCCCATGCTGTAGCCACTTTTGCTGTGATTATATAAGTTGCTGTATCTTTAAGGCAAATAGAATCTTAGAGAAGCACACCTGCCAGTTACTTTGTTCAGTTAGAGAAGGTTCAGTTCAGTTGATAGATGTTGTACCTATACATACATGGGTGTTTATGCTTGCTAATAAAATACCTATTCTAAATGATTACATTGAATCTGGAACTTCATGTTGAAAACAACACATGGTACCAGGGATGAAATACATTGTGCTAAAGTACTGTGGAATATTTGAGGGCTCTGCATCCTTTTAACTCTTTCACACAGGGCAGCTGAGGAAAGGAAGAGGGAGAAAATTTGAGTACAGTGGTACCTCGGGTTACATACGCTTCAGGTTACAGACTCCGCTAACCCAGAAATAGTACCTCGGGTTAAGAACTTTGCTTCAGGATGAGAACAGAAATCGTGCTCTGGCGGCGCGGCGGCAGCAGGAGGCCCCATTAGCTAAAGTGGTGCTTCAGGTTAAGAACGAACCTCTAGAATGAATTAAGTACTTAACCTGAGGTACCACTGTACAAAAAAAAAAAAAAAATGAGAGGCGCTGAAAAGAAAATGGCAGTTTTAAACAGTGGCAGAGGGCGACAGTGAGTGGAAAATTGAGGTTTTAAATAACAGAGTAGAGCAAGCAGAAGGAGATAACTGAAGGGGAAAGTGGTGGTTTAAAACAACGCTTCAGAAAGGAGTGGAGAGAGGCTCTGTTGTGTTACCTTTTCGGTGTTAGCTTCTGTTTTGTATGCACCTCTGCTATTTCTCCTTGTTAAAACCTTTTTTGCAAATCTATTCAGACTTTTCCCACTTCTTTCCCCTCTCAGTGTCCTTCCCTTCTAGTTCTCATGCCACAGCCACAGCTGTTGTGCAACCTGTCTTCTCTTTGACTCCCCTACCCCTACCCCACCACGACTTCATGCAAATCCAGGATTGTGATGTGACACTGCAAATCTTCTAGTGGAGGCTGTGTGATGGCGGTCTTACCATTATACACACACATGCACATTGTGTGAAGAAGGCGTGTTGAATAGTGGCTGTTCAAACTGCCTCAGAGAAGGAATGCTGCTTGCTACTTGGAGGCACGACACAAGTTTGCACAGACGTCTGGGGCAAACCGAGCAGACCCAGTCACCCTGAAAGCCAAGTAACCCTTCCCCCAACTAAGTCTAAAAAGTGGAGAGGGGCAGGAAAGATGGGGGCTGGCACAAGAGATCTAGGGCTTGGGCACTGCTGCCCCACAGTCTTCTAAATTTGAGATGGAGGCATCAGTTATAAAGCTAAATGGCACACTTACCTGCAAGGAACTCAGTGGGTCTTACTTCCCTGTAAACATTCAAAGGAGCATTGTGTGCTGCCAGATTCGTATTGGCGTTGTTTTTACTCGCCTCAGCTTATCATAGGAAACCGCGAGAAAACCACGAATAACATGATGGGTGGGGGGTGAAAGATGTTCCGGGGTGGGCAGGCTTTGAAGAGATTGGAATGGGCGGGCAAACAGACAGATTTACCAGCTCTGGTCCTCATAAGTAGGAGGCGGGAGCAGGCACTGTTTTATAATGCATGAAGAACTGCGGGCAGGAAGCACAACTCACCATTCTGTAAAGTCTGTCTCGCCCCGCGCTTGGTTCGCTCAACGAAGAGGCGGATGCCGACTCTTCAACCACCTGCGTTCTCTGACTCATGCCGCTCCGCCCCTAAAAGCTGAACACTGTCCAATGACAGAAGGGATTCCCGGCAAGCCCCGGCTCCTTTTCTCTTCCTAGGGCCAACCAGGCGGCAGGAGGGGAGTTGCGGGCCTTGTGACATCACGCAGAACGCTGTTGCCGTTTCTGGCTGGATACACAAACAAAGCGGAGGCGGTGTCCTGGCAACCGCCCCCCTTTCCCATCGGAGGGCGCCGGCGTGCTGTGAACAGGGAGGAGAGAGAGCGGCCAGGGGCTTGATTTATGTCAGGAAGCTGGCCCCTTCCCCATTTGCACTGCGGAGTCCTGGAATAGGTGAGGGAGCAAAAAGAAGCAGGAAAATAAACTGCCTTTTAGCATGTGCAGAGTGTCTCTATTAGTACAAATCCCTTAGAAGATGATAGTCACATTGACCCGGGTGGGGAGAACCCTGAACGCCATAGTGCGGTGATGCCAAAGTTCTGAGCAAGCTTTGGAGCTCTCCAGGACGCTTCTTCGGCGTGAATGTTGATACTGGACGTAGGTTGCGCAGGTATCAGGGAGCGAGGGAGGAACAAGAGAGTATAGGAGTCAGAACGTGAGGTGAAAAGGCTTCAGTCTGCAGTCTGTCCCTGCAGAGGCTTCTCCCTGCACGCTTCACACATTAACCACGCAGTCCTCTTTTGCGCCCGCTGACTTAAACGGGACTTGGCTCTCCGGGAAGGGCACCCAGTAATAAGGCTGCAGTTAATGTGGTTCCTGGGGGAGGAGAGTTTGAGCCGCAAACACTTCCACTTTGAGAAGCGAGTTCCAAGAATTGGCAGGCAAGCAGTCGCACTTTCTAATCCTTTCGGTGTTGGTTTTGCAAGTCGAGGGGCGGGTGAATACACGCACGCAGGCACAGTGGACTTCTCTGAAATATTACACTTAAACGGTACTTTCAAGGCAGCATATTCAAACTAATTACAGTCAATACATCTCTTTTCTGCGAATCTACAACGGCTCGGAAGAAAGAAATAGCGGCTATGACTGAGCACAGAGAAGCGCGGGGGAGGGAATCGAGAAAATCCAGTAGCAGCAATTCTTGTGCCTTAAAAAAATTGTGTGTGTGGTCCCTTCCCTCTTCAGAGACCACCCAAAAAATGCACGGGGCACACCTCTGCCCTTTTGTATTCTCTGACTGGTCTCCGGCCAACGGCCACTGCTCTTCCACTTCTCTTGTCCCGCCCCTTTACCTTTGCATCCCCACTAACAGCAAAGGCTGGGCTATCATCCCAGCAAGGGCTGGGTAAGGGCAAGGGCTTCAGTAGATGTTACTGAGCGTGCTCGGAGCTCAGGCGCATGCTCAGTAGAGTGCCTTGAATTCTGTCCGGGGCGGGCAAGAGAGTTTGTGCTTGCAGGCTAGTGAGGGCTGGAGGGAGAGAAAGAGAGAGAGAGAGAGAGATACACACAGAGAGAAGCGAAAGCAGTTGGGAGCTCTGTGGAAGGGAGATGAAGAACTGATGCTCAGGCTCAAGGCACAGCGTGATGCCATCTTTCAAAGGGGAACCTAAAGTTAAGCAGGTAATGTATTTTTTTAGGGCTGGCCGCTCCGGGCGGTGTGCTGGGAAGTATTGGGCTATGGTGGTCCTGCTGCCCAGGGAGAGGGCAAGACCTACGCAGCCCTCTCTCCGGGTGCTAAGTGCAGGTGAGCCACCTGGCTGGCCCGGCAAAGTTGCTCCGTGCCTTCCCTTTGGGGGATGCAGCAGTAGTATGGCTCGAGCCTGCTGGGTCCAGTTCCTTCCTACAGCACACAGCTCAGGCGGAGAGAGGGAGCAAGCAAAGGTGCTGGCAGTTGCCTTGGTCACTTGCTGCGTTGCTTAGCACAGCACAGAGCAGAACATCCCGTAGTAAGTGATGGCACCCACTCAACAGGACTCAAGCCTTCCAGGAACCGCTATGGCTTAGTAGCAGCTGTTATGCACACAGCCTTCCTGGGAAATTGAGGCCTTGGCAGCTGCCTAGCTATGCAAGCTCTTCATGCAAGCCTTGAATATTTTTTCCAGGCATTACCTGGACACCACAAAGGACAGAAGGAAGGTACAGAGATAGGGTCACATTCCCTTTATTTGTTCAGCCCGTTATCCATCATGAACCAACAAGTTAATAATGCATGTGAGTTTTAAAACCACTTGACCTGCATGTTCATGCTACTTCAGAAGTGGGAGATGTATTTATTTATTGCCTGAGGGCTATTTTGCCAATTTATTGCCATGTGTGTGCCAAAAATGCACCTGTGCACACACTCTTGAGCACACAAATGCACATTTGCAACAGCTAAAATAGGATTTTGATTCTCTTGGCCTCTGACCTGGCATGCCATGGCAACCCTACTCTAGTATAATCTGTGTGTGTATGTGTGCATTCATTCAGGTAAAAAGTGTTTCTAAAGCATTCAAAACCAGGAAATTTTTCTGTCCTGGAAGAGGTGTTTCCTCAGGACATAATGGTGATTCTGAGAACTGCCTTGCCAAATAGAACACTTTGGAATCCTTTCGTGTGGCCAACCTAGATTCCACCCAGGGAACAGATCCAGAGGCTGCATCTAGTATCATCCCCTGTTTCTGCTTCTTATGTTACTTAGACAATTAAGGATTTGGTAGGTTTTGCAACAAAAAATGATGCAAGTCCATTATTTTAATGGAAAAAGACATATAGCCTTCCCCATTTCCTGTCCTTGCTCCTGTGATGTTCACTTCCTAATAAAGTCCTCACAGTTTCTCTGGTAGTGAATGTGGCTTCTTTACCTTCCTTAATTCTAATGCTGACATCTTAGTTTCCTGTTCTGCACCCACTTGGTATCCCCCAATATGTGCGAAGCATGGATTTTTATTTCCGTTAGGAAAATGGATAAGTTGATATATCACCTTGGAAACATTAAAAGTAAGATCCAACACTGTGGAATGGATGAAGTAAGAGCTGGAAGGCATTAAAAGGCAGAAGCAATAAGACTTGTGTTTCATTTGTAGATGTCATGGCTTTCCGGAACATGAACAGAAAGAGGCATATTGGACTGCAGCAACTTTCAGCTTTGGCATCCACCGGAAGGACATTTTTAGGACCAGTGAAATCACTCAAATTTATTGTTGATGAATGTACTCCTGGTGGTGTGTTGGTTTGTTCTGCAGTAAGACTTCTTGAAAGCTTGGATTTAACTAGTGCAGTGGGACAACTTCTTAATGAAGCCATCCAGGCACAGAACAAAGAATATAGAACTGGGACAACTACCCTGTTGTTTCTTGTCAGCATTTGGAGCAAGGCTGTACTTGAATGCCTTCAGCAGGGTGTTCCCCTTTCCATAGTGGTAGCTGAGATGTTTGAAGGCCTGAACTCTTGCATTGAACATCTGCAGTGCCTTACATTATCACTACACAACATGCAGCAAAGACTATATGATATTCCTATTAAATGTGATGGCAAAGCCTCCAATGACATCTGTTCTGGCATTGCTGGAAGACAGGTAATTGAAATGAAAACTCCAGATACCAAATCCTACAATAGTTATTTGCTTGAACATCCTTATGATTATGCACAAGTATCAGAAGAAGAATCAGAAATTGCTACGATCCAGGAAGCAAATGCATGCAATTGTCAGGAAAAGTGTGCATGTCCAGGAGTATTGACTGCAGGCAGCAGAGTTAGTTCACTAGGTAAATCAGTTGAAACCAGTTGTGGTTTTACAGTTTGCAAAACTGTGAGTCAGAAAAGCTGCAGCTTTCAAAGCTGTCCTTTGGGTGCCTCAGGCCGTAAGAAAATATCAAAAGTAACCCACTTCAGTAGGCACTTAAGCAGCATAAAGGAAAGTCCTTCACTGCAGCAAACCAATCAGCTGGCCAAATGCACAAAACATTTTAATGAGTTAAGTGATTTGGGACAACTGGCAATGTCTTTGAGCCATGGAAATTGGCACGCAATGAAACTGGTACAGGATATTCTCAGATGCCAGCTGCAGACTGCCAACAGAATGGCTGGTGTCCATCCTTTCCAATTTAATATTTCAGAAGTTGTGACATGTTGTTTACCAGGCATGTCTGAAAGTCATTCTTGTGTCTGTCCTGGGTACATCACTTTATTACACCCAGAGAAAGTTGCTGTTGCTAAGCAGCTCCAGGATAGGCCTCTTCGTATTATTCTTGCAGATGGTGACCTGAGCGAAACATACCACCATCTGGGGTTTAACAGGTCACAGAATGTAAGAATGTTCTTAGAAAGTCCAGCTGCGGAAGACAACAGCTCAAGATTGTGGGTCGACTCCATGTTGGATATTCTGATTCAGTCCAGGGTAAATCTAATTTTGGTACGAGGCAACACATCAGCAAGTTTAGAAGAAAGGTGCCTGCTGAATAAGATAGTGACAATTAACGGGGTAGCTGACAATGTATTGAAGGCTTTTAGTGATGTTACAAGAGCAGACAGAGTGACTTACCTCACCCAAGTGAATGAGCATTGCATAGGTGAGGGTGTCTGTCTGAACCTCTGTGGAGCATTAAAGTTAAGTTGGGTTGGATTGAATGGCCAAGTGCCAGTTGCTTTAACAGCAAAAGGCATTCACCTGATAACAGCTGTGCTTAGTTGCCCGGTTATATCCAAGATGCAAGCCATTGAAGATCAGTTTTGGACCTGCGCTCACCGTGTGCATCATGCCCTTCTCGATCAAGCAGTCTTTCCAGGAGGTGGCACCGTGGAGCTCCTGTGTCTTGGTTATCTTGAGAATCTGGAGAAAGCAGCCAAGAATTCCAGGGAAGAAGGGTTTCATGATGGCCACTCCTGGCTTGCAAAAACTTCAGAGCAATATAAAGCTCTGGTGCTTAATGCTTTGTCACGTGGTTGGCACCAGTACATTTGTACCGTTATGTGTAACAGTGCAGACTCTGCATCGGAGCTTGAAGCCAGCACCTTTATACAACAGCTTCTCAGGAAAGCAGCCTTGAGTGGTTTGCCGTCCACCTACCTGCTGGATGAGTTTAAAAAGGGGAAGATGGGAACAGCAAGCCCTGAACATGGTGGGACATTTGAAAAGCCTCTGAAAGTATATGACAATGTTAGTGCTAAGATGGAAGCGTGGCGTAGAGCTCTAGATTTGGTGCTGTTAGTGCTTCAAACAGATGCTGAAATTATCACAGGGCCTAAGAGGGATCAGTTGCTAAAGTCGCAGGCCTCAAGTGAGTTCATGTTTTTGTAAATAATGTGCAGGCCTGCATACGGTTATGTTAACAAGTATTCCTGGCCAAGTTCAGAAGCAAAAAATATATCACGAGAATAAAATTCAGAATGATTGCCTTCTTCGTTTTAGAAATCAAAATCCATTCCCAAGAAAGGACTTAAGTCATGGAAGGGCATGTTCCTCATAATCTCCATTTAATCATAATTTTTTATTTTTTTCCTAGATATTGCCATTGACCATAAATGTGTTGTCAGTAAGTTCCATTCATTTCAGCAGGACGTAAAATTGTGTGATAATCTTGGCTCCCTTCAAGCTGAACTATTTAAGGGCTCCATTCTACAGTACAAAGTACAACTAGTTTGTTTCTTTTTAAAATGATATAATTCTTCTTTGCAAATTTAGATGGTGCCTTTTAACTTTGTTTCAAGGCATGCAAATAAATTTAAGGTTATAAATTTGGAGGGAGAGGGACCAGTAAATCATTAGGTTACATGGGTGTAAGCAATAACGTGCCATTAAGATTTCTTTTTGGAAGTTCTAGTGGCTGTCCTTGAGGGGAAGATCTGTTAACGCTTCTCCTGGGGACAGGGATTAATTGTTAAGCCACTCTGGGTATTGTAGTCTTGTGAGGGGAATAGTGACCTCCTAACAACTCTAAGCATCCTTAACAAACTACAGTTCCCAGGTTTCCTTGGGGGAAGCCCATGAATTTCAAGCAGTATAATACTGCTTTAAATGTATAGTACATATGAGGCCTTATCTCAGTTGTTGATGTTACCCACATTTGCAGTTCCTCAAAGGACCCATAAGGGGAGTTCAAATAAAGCCTCTCTGCAGCTTAACTCTGCCAAAACAACTCTTGTGCATCACATCTGTTGGAAGGAGTTGCTGACACAGGAACACCAGTGTATTACTCTAGCCTTGGATCCCAGCAGTAGTGTTGCTGTTGTTGGCATCCGTCTGTCTTGAGAGGCGATGGAGTCAAATAAATGCATTAGTAGCACTGAAGTGATATATTGGGGGCTCAAGTCTGGGCAGTATGTATGGAGGTCCTGGGCTGCCTAGATGACAAGACCCCACTCTTGGCCTCGCTAATGTGCATAAATTCAGAATTGTAGCATGTTCTGTATGCACTATATTATAAAGTAGTGTTTGTTTCTGTTATTTTATTTATTTATTACATTTGTATCCTATCTCTCCTCCAATGAGCTCATGGTAACATATATAGTATCTCTGTCTCATCTCATCTTTACAAGAACCCTGTGTGGTTGGTTAGGCTGAGAGAGAACAACTGGTCCAAGGTTACTCACTGAATTTCATGGCATGGATTTGAACCCAGATTATGGCTAAATGCATCTGATAGAGTAATTACAACTTGCCTCTAATAATTATTAGCTACCTGGTATCAAGTAGATTTCTTCTAAATGCATGTTGACGAATAGGCATGTAAGTTTTTTCATGCTGTGACAAATAGCAGTTGTGGGGGATTTTCATGAGGAAAATTGTGCAAGGGGAAAGGGTTAACCCTCCTCCCTCGAACCATGTTTGCAGTACAGATCCCTCTGGCTCCTTGCAGCAGCTGTCTGTAAAAGGTTTCTAGTGAGTGGAGATGCATTTCATTCATCTCCTCCATAACATTGCAGCCAACAAACCCTTTAAAACGACTTACCTTTAAAATGAGTAGTTCACACATCGTAGGAAGCTCTTGTGGAAAATGAACGTAAATGGTGGTAGCTGCATGATTTCCTGAGGCTGAAACCTTTCCGGCATGACACCAATGCCTGGCACCAGTTGTGTTAAGATCAGATTTATACGTGGCATAAACTGTGGTTCCTGTCTTGTACTCAGATGCATACATTTTTAAAGCATGACATTGGTAGCTCACAGTTTTCAAGTGTGGTTGGGAATTGGAAGCTACTTCAGACCCTGGAAAGTATGAAAAGCCTTCTATACTTAAAACAAACTATTTTGTGAGCCATCAACACCATAACTAATTCCACTAACATTTATTTCAGGAACAAGCAAATCCCAATGAAACTGAGGACTGGGGCTGATACTTTTTAAAAGGTCAAAGATGAGTGCAGCATTTCTTCGCTTGCATTTGTTATAATGCAAATGCAAACAAATATATTTGTTCGCTTGTATTTGTTATTTGCTCTCTGATTGGACCTGGACTTGGGACCCCAGCAACAACCATGACTGAAGATTAGGTGATCCAGAGCTTGAAATAGGATATTGAAATGAGAGTCTTTTTATCATCATCAATCATCATCATCATCATTACTATTCCTTTTAGCCAGCAGATGGCAATCTACAGTTCTCTTGTATACCCGAACTCTAAACACATTGCAAAGAAGTCAGTCTAATTAAATCCGGTGAAGATATGCTCTATAGCACGGGTGTCCAAACTTTTTTCAAAGAGGGTCAGATTTGATGAAGTGAACATGCATGAGGGCCGACCACAGTTGTAGAGCTTTTTTTAGGATTTTACCCCAAAGTTGTTGTTGTTTACCTTTTTTAGGATTCCCCCCCCCCCCCCGAGCTCTGGACCTTTTTTAAGGATTAGTCACCAAATACTATTCATATACCTTTTGGCTTGGATCACAGGCAGCACAGAGGGAATGGTGGGTGGGAGTGAGGGATGACTGGAGCAAGGCAGCGAGAGTCAAATGACGGACGGAAGAGAAGGCTGGACGGCCGCTGCCGCAAGCCGGCAAACAGCCGGGATACAGAGGTGGGCACATGCGAGAGCTGATGGGAGGACGGTACCTAGAGCTGAACACAGGGCACCAGCGCGAGCAGGCAACCAGCAGTATTGGAGCAAAACCAGCAGAGAGGAGGGCATATGTGTGAGACGACAGCTAGCCACAGCAAGCCACAGCGAATACCCACCGGTGGGGCCAGATTAAACCGACTGGCGGGCCAGATTTGGCCCCTGGGCCGGACTTTGGACATGCCTGCTCTATAGGGAGGCTGCATGATTTGACAGCTGATCTGCTTTGACAGATAATCATTTTTAAAAATGTATATTATTTTTAGTAACCCCAAATAATCAGACTAGAAAGAGCAGCATTAGATCACTGAGCAAAGAAGCTTTGTAATTGCTGGGTTCATGCTTCATGTTTTCTTGATACTCATTTTGGACAGTTGTTAAAGTCAAGAAATTCATTGCTGAGAATACAAAAGGAAAGGCTTTGACCATCATACAGTAAGAATAGGTGGGAAATAATTTCACGGGCAATTCCAATTTAGAACAACTTGGTTTCCCATGATGCTAAACACAGTTGGCAAAGGTTAGTTGTATCTGTCTGGTTATCACATAGAAGATGGTGATACCTGACAAGCAACTGGTGGATTAAAAATTCAGCGCAGAGCAAATGTAGAGATATTTCCCCAGTTCTTTGATTAGCACCTTCAAAAATCTATATTATCTCATGAGCATTGAAAATATTATTTCTTCCCAGAACTATACCATATACTGCCAGGTTTTTTTCTGCGGCTGAAAACTTTCATTAGTCCTTCTGATTTTTGTCCTTTACTTGAAGATATTTAGAAAAGTACTTTCCTACCCCTGCCAACTTCTTTTTGGTTTTTGTTTCCATTGGTCACTATTTATGAGTATGTTTGAACATGTGACGTAAAAAAGATTCTTCACTGAATGTTTTTGCAGTGGATAAAAGGTAAACAGACGGTTCTGTAGCCTTCTGAAACCTTGTTTTTTTCTCATTAAAAGGAAGCCAGTTTTCCTGTGCTAACCTCAGAAAAGGAGCTACATGGGGCTTCTGTGTGGCACACTGTCTGAGGTAAACAACAAAAAAGTCCAACCATACCATTAAATGGTACTTCAGCGGAGTTTCTAATGCATATATTAACTGGCAGAGCATTGATTTTTATTTCACACTATTTCTGAAGCACAGTGCATCACTCTTAACTCAAACACAGCAACACACAACCATGGTCCCCGAGGTATTATTTTTGGAAGTCACATTCTGAGCAACACTCAGAAACCTCAGGCGTTAGGTACACTGGGGCTTGATGGGCAGTGTAGTGCATCTCGAACCCGTTCACCATAAGAATGTCAGAGAAAGGTCACTTCAAGGCAAAAAGATAAATGCAAGTTGTGGGATAAATCAGCCCTCAATAAAACTGCACATTAGACATAATAAACAGTATCATTACTCACTGGAAAATGCTTAATGCTTTTTGTTATGTGTAAAACAGCAGCAGGAAATCCCCTGTTTTGGGGCGGGACACATGAAGATGATGTCAGATGAGTCTCATTGCTGAGCCAAATTACAGCTCATTAGTCTGATGTGCATTCCAGGTTGGTCATATTGTTTCCCTTCCTCCCGCCGGCTCTTCCCCCATCGTCCAGAGAGTGTAAAAAGTATTTCCTATGGACGACAGAGTACTGGAGATGTGTGGTGTTGCTTTTGCAGAAATGTGTTTTATTTATGAATGTGTAGATCATTATGGGCATGAAGCATCAATCCTGAAAAAGCAAAAAACCCCACCTACTACAGAAAACTTCCCCTACCTGGGGTGGGCAACATACTTATTTTAAATTATTCCCTGTTGATCATGCTGCTTCTGGTTGGGTGGCTCCTAGTGTTACAACTCCTCTGTTGTAAGCTATAAGCAGAATTGCTGTATACTTTCAGCATTGTTAAGGGTATTCTGCTTTTTGTGTGTGTACACCTTGTTATGTTCCATCCTCACCAGTGGCTGTGACGTAGCTGCTGTGGGACCATTTGAAACTCAATGCACACTTACTGTAGTTCATGTGTTGGGTGCTGTTTTATGACTCTGTGACACTTCATAGAGTCATAACCTCTGACCTTGAGGTTCCACCGAATGCCAGGCTACTTCAGAGTAGACCTGTTGAGGCCTTTGCTCTCAGAAGACAGGAACCCAGTTCATCACAGGACCTGCCAATGGGCTTCTCCTAAGCTCTTGTGCTTAGGTTCTTCCCGTTTCCTTCTAGGTTGGCCTAGGTACTTAATTAACACAGGCCATGTTATTGCCTCTTTCCTCACCCAAGTTACCTTCCCTTTGGCTCCCTGGTCGTTAAATTTGTCATCTGCCTACTTAGCCTGTCAGCCTTGAGTCATCTGCAGTGTTGAGGCAGAGGGAGCCACCCTCCTCCTCCTTGTCTGTCAATGCCTGACTGTGTTGCTGTTGGAAGTGCTAAACACTGTGGCATTTTCCCCCCAGTTGTATTTTCAGCGGTTTGTTTGTTCATCCATTCATTCATTCATTTTCTGTCTCCCTCCCTTTCCTGCGTGTGAGTGTGCGTGCGCGCACACACAGTATTTCATTAAGACAAGTATAATTCAATTACCATGTAACAGTACTATTACACTTGACTAAGTTGTGTACCAAATAACCCATAAGTCATCTAACTCAATATACCGTATGTTGAGTCATTTATTCTTTGAAAGATTGCCTTGCATAGCTGGTAGTCAAAACTGTTCACAACTGCAAATTCCACTGTTTCTTTACCTGTGGCGCAGTAGTGCACATACCTGTTTCTATATAGATATACCCTATATAGAATATACCCATCCTGTATATTTTGTAGTGCCTTAAAGTGCCATTAAGAATGTAAGAAGAGCCCTCTGGATCAAAGCAAAGACCTATGAGTTCCAGCACCTTTTCTCCACACTGACCAACCAGGCACCCAGGAGAAGGCCCCCAGTGGGGCCTAAGGACAATAACCCTCTTAGACTTGTTCCCCAACAACTGGTAATTCACAGGCATGCCACTTTTGATATTGGGTGTAGTATATAGGTACTACCAGCCATTGATAACCTTAACTGCCATGAATTTGTCTAAACCCCTAAGCCTTATCTGGGTGAATAGCTCACACTATTATTAACAATTGTGTGGAACGAAGAAAGGCTGCAGTTGTCATTGGTATCCTTCTGAACTGCCAGAGATGGGGATACTGTTTTTAATGGTTCCACTCTTATGTGCAGACAGGTGCTTGGTGATGATGCTACACTCTTATGGGAATCCTGTGAACCGCCATAGGGGGTGATCTTGATCTTGCTGTTTAACATTTAAATTAAACCAAGGGACTACAAGTTTGGTGCTGCCAGTCTCCTGGCAGCCATCTTTGTTTAGAGAAGAGGCTTCCCATGGGAGATGTAACAGAAGCACTGAATGATTGTTGCACTAGGTGGCAGTACTGGAAAATGCACTGAGGTGCACTGTTTGAAAATGAAAACGTTATAACTTGATGATAAATGCACAATGTATTTTTAATCAAAACAGGAAGCACTAAAGTTTGGCTATTCCCTCAGATTGTTTTACAAAGCCAAAGGGGAAAGGGGGGGAAAGTTTGGCATGTTATGCCTTGGGGGGAAAATAGACATATAAAGGAGAAGAATTAATTTGTGCAAGAAGAGCAAATGTTGAAATTGCTATATCTCAGCCATTTCTCAAAATATCTGTTTTAAATTTGGTCAACTATGGCACTAAATACATAGGTCCTACATGCTTAAGTTCAAACAGTTTAGACCACCTTTGTTTTATTAACATGTAGAACATTCAGGCTTCATAATGGTGGGACGCAGTTTGACCTCTCTAACTTAACGGTATTGGCACTCTTGTGCCTGTATAATATAAAGGTGTTTACATTAGAGGTTGTTTGTTCGCTTCATTATATTGCATCGTATATGTATCACTTTATGCTGATCATGTGGGGATTGTGTTTTGTATTATTAGAAACTTTTTATTCACTCTGCAATTTCCTTAGGGGAGCCTACTAGATGGAATTCAGACTTCTTTTTTAATAGAATCCATTTTGGTGGGTTTTTAAAAGCTCCTTTTTTTGTATTGGAATGCTTTTGGAGCTGTAGGTTGATTTTACTTTGCGGCTGCTCTTTAGCTGTTCGTAATTCACTTGATGTCTAAACGTGGTTTTATTGACGCTTGTAATTTTTCTTTTGCTGTTTTATTGTGGTTCTATGCAGTTATATTTAATATTCTAGGGTATTTACTGCAAGCTGCTTTGGGAAGCCTACCAAAAGTCCAAGTGGTGAGATAAAAATACAAAATGAATAAAAAAATATAAAGTGAATATCAGATACAAACTGTACTATAATGTTCTTTCTGGTAGTTTGGATGTTTCATCGTGCCTTTCATTTCAGTTTTTGTTTTGTTTATCTTCCACGGTCATTATCAGGGTGTGTGTGTGTTTTTAAGAAAAGCTTTAGGAATTAATGTTTGGCATAATGTCTCCACTGTAGTCCCCGCCAATAAACACTTCATTAGCATCTCAGTTTTTGTTGGCATTTCAGTTTTGTTTCCCCTATCTTCCATCATAATTATCAGAGTGTTCTTCTTTCATTAGAAAAGCTTTAGAAGTTTATTTTTGGGCATATCTACATAGTCTGCATTTCCATCGAATAAACATTTCCTCTCTTTCTTTCTTTATTTCTTTCTTTCCTTATACCTTGCAAAACTCCATGTACTGCATACCTCAAGTGTGCCCCCAATCTGGTCCCCCCTTTGATGTTGCTGGACTCTCTCCAGCTCCAGCTCCAACTCGGGATGATGAGAGTCCAGTAACTTCTACAGGGCACCATATTAGCTGACATGCATAATGGATCGAATTCCACAATTGTGCCAACTGTAGCTTAAGCTTCCAAACATAAAACCGAATCCTGGTTTAGAACTCTTTGTGTGTCATTCCTTCTCTGCTCACTGATGGTTTACCATGCCAAACAACAGTAGCAACAACAACACAACAACAACACTTAAATGCAAAATCCACTTCAATCCATGGTTTCTGACTTTAGTTTGCCAATCCAGACTGATTAAAGTGAAGTTTTCTAGGCCATGGTTTGCTGTGGTGCCAGAACTGAGCCACACTCACACATATATCTCAAAATTATTTCCCTCCATCCTTTACCCCCTTATGTCTGACCAATATCTGAACGCGCACACAAGTATTTGTTCACATTTTTTTTTAACCCAAATGTCAGGCTAACAACAGCCCATCAACTCATCAAATGAGCAGGAAGTACTTAGGTTCAGGAAACATTAAATAGGGACATTACAGGACAAGCGGGTGTCTAGAAACAATAAACTAAATTAGATTGCTGCAGTGGAGACTTGCTGGAAGAGGCAGACTATAAGAAGACGGGGGAGGATTTTGTGCCTGAAATCTACAAAGACTGGCAGACGGGTGTTTCCATTTCTGTACTTGGGAAAGAATATTAAATATTTTCTACATATGGTGCTGTCAAGAGGGTCTGTGGGCCTCAGAGCAAAGACTAGCAGTTTCCCTCAATCCCCAAAGATGAACTTTGGCTTGAATAGTGAAAACTAAAGAGGAGCACAGCATAACTGTTCATGGCGCAGCGTTCCAGCTGCCTATGTCGCTTGTGGTGTGCCTATCTAGTAACTGGAAGCAAAGTCAGGAGGACATTGTGTGTTTATTCAGTGGCATTTTATGTCCATCCGAAGCCCCTTAAGTCAGCAGATCTAGAGACCAGAATTGTTCTGTAATTCATAAATTTAAAATTAAGTCAGCATATTATTGAAACCTCAACAAAGGAACCCTTTGAAAGGACAATCTCAATTTACCAATTTAAAGCAGCACTCTTTGTTAGAAGGAATGACCATCTTTAATATTTTTTCCTATCTGTAATGTTATAAGAATTTTAAGGTCATATATATAAAAATTAAATGTTCATAACTGTATATATAAACCACATGTCTGAAACCCCGCAGATTAGGTCCTGAACAAATTGACCTCAAATATTTCTCTGCAAGGTGGAAGTGGGAAACCTCCCCATTGTCTCTTTCCTCACAAATCCTGTCTTAAGGGTACATTCAAGATATGAACAGGGTGTGAGCCTGTGACCTTAGATTCAGGAATTAAGTAGTTATAATAACAAAAGAGTGGCCAAAACCCAGATAATGCAATCAGGTAACTTGCCAGACAGGAGATAAACAACGCACTCAGATTTCTGTTGTAGACCGCCTTTTCTGTGATGTAGGTATGATGTATCTGGGGGGTGGTCTTGGGCTACACCCCTTCTGTGATGTATGTTTGATCCTTCTGGGGGTGGTCTTGGACTCCAGGGTGGGCAATTTAAAATGTCTATATAAGGGCTTGCACGCATGGCTTTGGGTCCTCCTCCTCTCTCCTGCGTGTGGGGGAGCACCTGTTGCAACAGCTTTAATAAAGATCAGGCTTACTAGCTGCCTTGCTTCTCAATATTCTTTGGTTGGCCTCTGTTATTTTCTTCTACCAATAGAGAGCCTAAAAAGAGGACTATATGGGCTCTTGGGTACCCCATAAGGGAAAAAGAGCAGTCCCCCCCCCTTATATCAGTAACGTACCACAACAAAACAGCATACAAATAAGGATGTCCTCTCTAAACATTCTGACTAGCTGATTAAAATTGGTCCATGCAGATTAATCAGTTAAATCTTCAGCTGTTTAAGCTACCAATTAAACCCTGAAGGCTTACTAAAAATGCAGCTGTCTTTAAATAGTTCCTAGGATACAATTACACTCTGAGTGTAAAGTTCTCACTTCACATCTACTTTTTATGCTCCATTGGTAAAAAAAAACAAAAAAACCTCCAGCTCTATAAATATGCATTGATTAATGATTCTTTATATTTGTTATCCAGTTCAGGAAAAAATATACAGTATGCATGGTTTTTAATAAATCTTCACTAGGGAAAAATTTAGGTCTTGTTCCTCTCACACACAGGGAGCATAATTTAGCAGATCATCACAACTGAATTTCTTGTGTTTCCGTTTTCCAGAGGATTTTGTGTGTGTGTCTCCAGTGTTGATCATTAAGCAAACAACTGGGCAAGCTTTCAAAGGCTGAAAGGTTAGCCAGAGTACACCAGTTAATTTGAAATAAGTACTTTGATTTTTCCAAGAGCAGTTATTTTAATTAACTGAAATGAACATTCATCTGAAGTACTTTAGTGTACTCCAAAGAGGGCACAGCCTTTCCTTCATCTTCTGGAGAGAACGGTCTTTCTAAAGAAGCTTCGATTAGGAGAAGAATTAAAAATATAATTTCAGTGTAGGAAGTTTTATTCTAGAAGCAGAGAAAGAAAATTCTTCAGTTCTTCTTTAGTGTTCTTAATCAAAAGGTTTCCTTTATGTATTACATAGCTTGTTTTGCCCATGGTTGAGTTAATGCCTTAGCATTGGTCAATGCCTTAGCAGGAGTGGGGAACCTTCTTCAGACTGAGGATGACATTCTTTCTTGGCCACTTTTCAGTGGCCAAGAGGTAGAAGTGAGCAGAACAACATGCAATTTTTACCTTCCTACAGTGGGCTCGTTTTATACACACTCACATACCCCTATCTGTTGTCCATCCAGACAAGCAAGAGCCATTATTAGAGTTCAAGGAAACTTCCCACCCAGGCAATAAAATTCTAGAAGGACTGGTAAGTAGTATTGCCTTGGAGAGAGAGGCTGTGACTGAGAAGAAATTATAGCTCAGCAAGACTCCTGAGAGCCACACAGTATGGGATGGGTTTTAATGAGTAGGAGAAGATATATTTGTTGCAATTTACCCCTCCAGGCTTCCACATGTGTAGGTTGAACAGTTTCAAAATCTCATCCTTGGCAGCAAAATGAAAAGAATAGGAATCAGGCTGTAAAGTCTTGTTTTGAGCATGTCGACCTATGAAATAAGCTGGCTCCCTTTTCTTACCCTGCTTAATAAAGAATCAGGCGACAACTTGTAAAGTAAGTTTAAAAAAATAAAGTTTACTTATTTTATAATCATGCATTGGTTTGCAGCAACAGTAGCAGTAAAAACTATGCAGGCAAAATACTTGTATGTACAGTATAAAGGGACATGGGTGGCGCTGTGATCTAAACCACTGAGCCTCTTGGGCTTGCTGATCGTAAGGTCAGCAATTTGAATCCGTGCGACGGGGTGAACTCCTGTTGCTCTGTCCCAGCTTCTGCCAATCTAGCAGTTCGAAAGCACACCAGTGCAAGTAGATAAATAGGTACTGCTGCAGCGGGAAGGCAAACGGTGTTTCCGTGCACTCTGCCTTAAGTCACAGTGTTCTGTTGTGCCAGAAGCGGTTTAGTCATGCTGGCCACATGGCTGGTTACAGGAGGAGAGAAACAAACAAACAAACAAACAAACAGGAAGTACCATATGCTATTTCATCTGTAGGAGAGGAGGTGAAATGTCATCACATAGAGCCCGCTCTACCAATTCTATTTCTATGATCTGAGGACCTATATATCAGCAATACAGCTCTATGGTGTTAGCCTGTTCTCATGCTAACTAGGAAGAATATGCATTTGCTGGGTTTGGTTGCTAACCTCCCACACCTGGAGAGGCTAGGAAGGCCATATTTGACTTCTTGGTCAGAAGCTCCCTGCCTTTGTCTTAAAGATAAACCAGCACTCAATGTGCAGTGCCACAGTTTATAGATTTGACTTGGCTACAGTAGTATCAGGCCCAATTGTTGACTTTGCCCCCAGAGCACTGTCTCCTGTTTCTTCCTTCCTCCTATGGTTCTGAACTGCAACAGCTGCAATGGGTGATATGGCACTGGATCCCTCAGGATCCCTTCATCCCTTGATGTAGAGAAACCTTGGCTAGAGCCTCTGTGAGGCCGCCTCCTGCCATCTCTGCCACCTGGTTTGCTTGCAGTTCCCAGTGACCTCTGTTCCTCTTCAAAAGCCCCATGCTTAATCCATAGCCGGTCCTCCTCCTCTCAAGTATGCCCCTCTTATTCCTGTGCCTCACCTGTCTTTTCCCATCCCAATTTCTGGTCAACTCCTGGGGAGTCAACCCCCAGTCACCACATCTACAGAATGCCACTGTTTATGCAGAGACATACATTGCTGGGGATGGTTGGATCCAGACAGCGAGATCCTCAGAAACTCTCCACTCCTGTTTTGTTGGGTCAGGTCTATCATGCTTATACATCAGATCACCAAAATAACTTAACTTGAAAGGTCAGATAATTTGGATGCATTTAATCTAATGGCAGACAATTCCTGTCAAATTTGTTCATATAAGTGATCTAGCAGCAAACACAGCAAAGGTAAAAGGTGGGCTTGTTGTGACTTATGTGGTACTGGGTGACACATTATAGCAAATTCTTTCACTCACACAAATATTTTTGCTGTGAAATTACTATCTAAAGAGAAATTTTGATAGAGCAAGTTCTATCAGAAAAGCAAGAAAGCGTGAAGAAGGCTTTGCTGACCATAGGGACATAAAATAAAAGAAGCTGCTTTGTACCAAGTCAAATAATTGGTATATCTAATTTAGAACTGTCTATGCTGACTGGAAGCAGCTCTAGCAGTTCAAAATGGAGTCTCTCCCAGCACAACTTTGAGATGCCCAGGACTGAACTTGGGACCATCTGCTTAAATTATTTTTAGGAGAGGGTGGGTGAAGTATATTAATGTTGGCTAAACTCTCTTCTGTTCCCCTCACAATGTTTTTTTCCAAGCCTACCAATATATATTGGGCAAACATCTTGTACATCTTAATAAATAGCTCACTTCCTGTACAGAACAGCATAAATAACTCAGTTGATTCCTAGTATTGTTTACTAATAAGAAACGCAGCCCAGGATGTATTACATTTGTTCATTGAGAAGGATAACGTCTCCGCATACAGATAGTGTTGCTAGACTCTCAGCTGGCTTAACTAACACTGGAACAAAGCCTAAAATTGCATGGAAAAAATGTTTCGTATCTGTGTTCCTTCTAGCGTTTATTATCAGTTATCAGAGCAGTCACAATTCAGATAGTTTGAACTGAGAGTGAAATCCCATACAGAAAATGCACCAGTGGAAGGGATATAAGATATTAAGAGATGAGAAATATTGAGGTACAGTGGTGCCTCGCAAGACGAAATTAATTCGTTCCACGAGTTTTGTCGTCTTGCAATTTTTTTCGTCTTGCGAAGCACGGTGTCGGGAAAGTTTTGGAAAAGCTTCAAAAATCACCAAAGTCTTTAAAAACCTCAAAAAGGCTACCACACCGCGTTCTATGAGTTGCTCCTCGAAGTCAAGTCGCAACTGTATTAACGGTGTTAAGAAAAAGGAAACAAACTTGCAAGACGTTTCCGTCTTGCGAAGCAAGCCCATAGGGAAAATCGTCTTGTGAAGCAGCTCAAAAAACAAAAAACCCTTTCGTCTAGCGAGTTTTTTGTCTTGCGAGGCATTCGTCTTGCGAGGTACCACTGTATATACTATCTGTGGGAGCTGAAGGAACAAATGGAATTTAGAAACACGCCTCAGAAACTCAGCTCAGGGCTGTGCGTCTTACACCTTACAGAGTAAAAAGGTGGTACATGGAAGTTGGAGGGAGCCTGGGTGGTGCCAGAAACCACACACCGTATTTTTCGCTCCATAAGACGCACCCTTTTCCTCCTAAAAAGTAAGGGGAAATGTCTGTGCGTCTTATGGAGTGAATGTGTGGTCGATTGCTGGCTCCCTTTCTGGTCCTGCCCCCTTGCCCAGGCTTCCATTGTTGAATGTTCTGCCGACGGAGGCTGTTTGTTTCCCCAGTGCCATGTGACTGGCTGATTAGATTATCTGTCTGGAAACTGTAGAAATGGCTCCCTTTCCTAAAGAAGCTGCGGAACTGTGAGTTGAACCCCATATAAACAGGATTTTTTGCCCTTTCCAAAGTAAGCTCAACAACTTTGAGCTGATCTTCAAAAAAGGGGCTTTTCCCCTTTGCAAAAGAAGCTGCACAACTGTGAGCTGATCCCCCCCCCCCCAAATGGGGCTTTCCCCCTTTCTTCCTCTAAAATCTAGGTGCGTCTTATGGTCAGGTGCGCCTTATGGAGCAAAAAATACTAGTTTGGGCAACAGGCGAGGGTAAAGCAGATGGCTCCTGTCTCATCAGACCATGGTTTAGTGTTCTGAAAGAAATAGCTCACAGAGCACAGAGAGTTTTCATTTTAATGTTATATTACTATCTGGACTCTTGCTTTTCTCGTTTTAAATGCAAAATGCTACCAATTGGAAGATTACATCATAATTTGCTCTGTAATATTTCACCATGTCATTGAGGTTGGAAAAAAAATATTTCAAAATTCCAAAGATGGTGAAAACATCCTCTTCACTGGATGACATTCAAAACTTTTAGAAAGGTGAGAGCCCCAAAATAATACTGCTATTCAAACTGTAATGTGGGCATCTGCAATTAGTGCCAAATACCTAGGTCCTGTTATTTTCCTCTCTCAAGCTATGTTCCTTCTAGAAGATTTGAATATATCTCTGGCTATATCACTACCTCCTAAAACTATTTTATGTTATGGTTGACAGTGCAGAAAATGCTTTGTTTTTATATGATGGTGCAAAAAAACAAGCCACAAATCTAACTTTTGCCACATTTCTATACTGAACAGTTTGTCTGTCAGACAACCAGTCTGCTAAGACTATACAGAAGTTTTGTCTTTTACATCTAAAGACAACCCATTATAAATATGCTGGGCCATTTTTCATGAGTGGAAATTTTCATGTTTTGATACATGATTTAGTATAAATATTAAGAGTTTTTCCATTTTCTGATTTTACAATTGTGCTAGTATAACCAAAGACATGTCAACAGGGCTGTGTTGTTTTTTTTGTGCTGAGCAAATTTAACAACCACATGACTATCATCTTTCAGTTTGCTTGCCACTCAATTATTTATCACATTGGACAGGAAAATGTATCTGGAGTGATGTTGTGTTGAGCCAATTCTTGCTTTAAACTTGGAGCAGATGGATATGACTTTTATAAAACTTCTGTCTGTGCAGTTTCTTGCTCTAAATGAGCTTTCCAAGTCACCTCAGCAATACCAAGTATCCAAAGTAATGTAGACACATATCTTCTTTTTCCCTTGAAGTGAATTGAATGGGTAACTGGGCAGAAGATATATTTGCGTGAGTTAGAGACTATTGGAGTCAATCACTCTAGTGGAGCATCTAGCTACTGGAAAAGAAGATAAAAGGATTAATCTGCATTATTATGTCATATATATTACTTCCCTCCTTGCTTATGCTATTTTGTATCAGAGGCCCTTAAAAAAATTACTTTATAGTCAAATCCTACCTAAATATGGCTACTCAGAAGTCCCGCTGAATTCAATGGAACTCACCCCTAGGTGAGTACAGACTAGCAGCCTAAGACTGTTAAAAGTTCTGAGCAATGTAGTTGCTCAGAACAAACTTCAGAGGGTGGTTGTGGATAAAGCAACTTGGTAGAAATTTGAGCAAGACTGAATGAGTGATGAAACAAGAAAAAGGGCCCCGAAAGTGAGGTATGGAGTCCTGCAGTTCAGGAGTTCCGGCACTTAGTGATAGTAGTAAGTCTACATAGATGGCGAGTTCCTATGAGATCAGGTGGGGGCTGCTCCATAAAACAAAGTATGTGTTCTTTGTTGTTGTTTAGTCGTGTCCGACTGTTCATGACCCCATGGACCAGAGCACGCCAGGCACTCCTGTCTTCCATTGCCTCCCGCAGTTTGGTCAAACTCATGCTGGTAGCTTCGAGAACACTGTCCAACCATCTCGTCCTCTGTCGTCCCCTTCTCCTTGTGCCCTCCGTCTTTCCCAACATCAGGGTCTTTTCCAGGGAGCCTTCTCTTCTCATGAGGTGGCCAAAGTATTGGAGCCTCAGCTTCAGGATCTGTCCTTCCAGTGAGCACTCAGGGCTGATTTCCTTCAGAATGGATAAGTTTGATCTTGCAGTCCATGGGACTCTCAAGAGTCTCCTCCAGCACCATAATTCAAAAGCATCAATTCTTCGGCGATCAGCCTTCTTTATGGTCCAGCTCTCACTTCCATACATCACTACTGGGAAAACCATAGCTTTAACTATATGGACCTTTGTCAGCAGTATGTGTTCTAGGAGCACTAAAGATGCACCATGGAGCAAATGAAACTGTAATGCACAAATGTGCCTAGTTTATGGAATGCTGCTGGTAGGCAAGCAACAGACAAGGCATCTTCTCAACCCCTTTTCTCCTATGGATGATGTTTTAAGCAGCCCAGAATTTGAGCTAGGCCTCCCCACAGCATTGCCCAGGGACCTGTTTTCTATGCCGAGGCTCATTGTTACATGTGGCTTAATGACAAACCATAGAATTATTTAGTTTTTTTTTTTTTTTACAGTGTCTGCACCTTTCCTTTGCAGTTTTGAAACCGTAGACAACCCCCTGCTCCTACATACACAGACAAATATGGGCTTGGAGGAAAACATTCCTTGTTACAGAGCAGGAGGAGCCAGCTTGTTACCCTCCAGATGTTGTTGAACCACAGTTCCCATCATCCTTGACGCCTGGCCACGCTGGCTGGGGTTGATGTTGGGGGCCAGCAACATCTGGAGAGAATTGTGTTGGCTAACCCTACCATAAGGAATGACTTCCAACGGGGCTTGAGTCTCAAAACCTCTCATTTTAGGTGCAAGATTCCTTGGTTAGATTCCCGTAGCTCACAGGACAGATCTCTGTTTCTTGTTCTGAACAGAATAGCTGGAATATGCCATTCTGGACACTGTTTTCCCTCCCAGTATTTATGGGATTAGAAGACAAAATATTCAGGCATTGGATAAAGATTTCTAAAGAAAAAATGACAAGATAGGCATTTCTTGGAGGTGACGGTAATGATGATGGGAAATCCAGCCTGTTGGAGACCTGGGGGAAAAGGAAAATTCCAGGTTAAAAATGACTAAAATATTCTTGATCTTGGAACGAAAACCAAGTCTAAATTAAGAAGTGAGGGTAGCAAAGGCTAATCCAGGAAATGGACGTATTTTTAACAAAAATGATTTCTGTGGGATTTGTTTTTTAATGAAAAGTATTAAAGAGAGTTTAACCGTTCAGAGTTAATGGTCTAACATACATTAAAATAGATGAACAGGCTAGGCCCAAGATCCCCAACTTCCTGCCCTGAACCCTCTCAAGTTTTGACAGTAACTGAACTGTGCAACTCTCCCACTAAAAGGTCCTGCCAGAACTTAAATTTTGGAAGGTAGATGGAAACATTCCTGCCGATGCCTTTGCTTAGTGTTATATGTTCTTTAATGACTGCTCCACTGGTTTTTAATTAAATGCAGTTATAATAATTTATATCCCGCTTTTCACTATACAAGTCTTTCCATGGTGGCTTACAAGTAACATCAAAATGCATTCACTGAATCATAATTGTAATGAGTATGAGTTACTCGTGCGTAAACTGGTGCCTCTCTAGGCTGATTTGCCTTGTTAAACCTTTCTGACTGCACAGCCCCTTCTGATCAGGACTGTCTCAGTCACTAGCAGAATCCGTCAGTGGGCGTTTCTTGAATCTCTTCCAACATAAGAGCTGTTTGACACCCAATCGCCTCCGCCTCTCACTGCGCGGGAGCCTTCTGCGCAGGGTGGGCGTGGGTAGCGGGGTACTTGTCCCCTCCTCACTGAGTTCCAGTGAAGTGTCCGTGTGCCCTCTCTCCGTTTTTCCTATCTGCTCTCTTTTGTTCCTGGTGTTGCGCTTAAATGCTTCCCCTCCACTGAGTCGCCTCTCCCCTGCTGCTGGGTCCTTCTCCAGCATCATCCAGGAGCCTCCCCTTCGCCTCTCGCTCTGATGTCAGTTCCCTGACATCCACCTCCCCCAGAATCCCCTCCACCCCTGGGCCGACCTGTGGGACCAACTCGTCCCCTTCGTCGGCCGAGGAGGCGGGAAACCCCGGAAGGAACTGTCACCATCTTCCGTGGGTTCGAAACCCGCTTCCCAATCGCTCTTCCACCTACCAACGGGGTGGTCTTCCCCGTCTGATGCTTCTTCCTCCGAAACCTCTCCTCCCTCCTCGGAGTCAGAAAATCCCTCAAAAACCTCTTCCTCATCTGTGGTTCCAAATTGCTCCTCCCAGAATCTCTCCAGGGGTTTGGGTTTGTCCGGGAACCGGTGGTGGAATACCTCCACCAGATACCTGTCCTCGACGGCTTCCGTGGGGACCCACGTTTTTTCGGACCTGGGTTCCCCTTCCCACGCTACCAAATACTCCACCCGGCGCCCTTGCCACCTTGAGTCCAGTATTTCCGTGGCCCTGTGGTGGTGTTCCCTTTCTTCTACCTGCGGGTGTGTGGTGACTTCTCCCTCTTGCCCCTGGAATTCCCGCCCTTCCCTATGCGGTGAAAGCAGGGACCTATGGAAAACCGGGTGTATTTTCATGCTATCAGGCAACCTGAGCTTAAATGCCACGGGATTAACTTGCTGTGTTACCTCAAAAGGTCCCAGCCGTCTGGGCTGCAACTTCTTGCACCCCCCTTTGAAAGGTAGCCCTTGGGTGGACAACCACACCCGGTCCCCCACCCATATGGTCTCCCCTTCCCTGCGGTGCTTGTCTGCCTGCCTCTTGTAAGTTTCCTTGGCCCGCTCCAAGTTCATCTTAAGTTGCTGGTGTAGGGCCTCCATTTCTTCCACAAACTGCTCTGTGGCGGGTACGCTCCAGCTTTCCTCCCCACTCCCGGGAAGGCCCTGGGATGACACCCATGGTTGGCCATGAATGGGCTCATTCCCGTGGACACGTGTTCCGCGTTGTTGTACGCGAATTCAGCCAGCGCTAGTTTTTCTACCCAATCATTCTGCCTCTCGCTGACATAGCAGCGTAGGTATTGCTGGAGTATACTGTTCGCTCTTTCTGCTTGCCCGTTGGTCTCTGGGTGTCTTGCCGTCGAGAAACCCACCTCCACCTGCAGTAAGCTCATGAGTTTCCCCCAGAACCGGGAAGTAAATTGTTTTCCGCGGTCGGAGATAACCCTCAAGGGGGCGCCATGCAGCCGGAATATGTGCTCCACAAACAACCGGGCTGTTTCCTCTGCCGTTACAGCATGTGAGCAAGCTATAAAGTGGCACATTTTTGTCAGTAGGTCGACCACTACCATGACTGCTGTCTTTCCCCGGGACTTGGGCAAATCTGTCATAAAATCAATGGATACCACCTCCCAGGGTTTCCCGGCGTGGGTAAGGGTTCCAGCAATCCTGTGGGGGCAGCCCGCTCCCCTTTGCCCTTTGGCAGCGGTCGCACCCCCGTACATATTCCCGTACATCCTCCCTCACCCTGGGCCACCAGAACTGCCTGGTCACAAGCATCATGGTTTTGTGCTGTCCAAAGTGCCCTGCTGTGGGGTTGTCGTGGAGTTGTTTGAGTACCTTTTCCCTCAGGGTCTCCCCCGGTACGTACAGCGCTCCCCTATAGTACAGTACCCCTTCCTTCTCCTCAAACCCTTCTTGGGTCCCTCTTCCGTCTCGTAGTTCCCGGATTTTAGTTTGCGCGAACACGTCGTTTCTGGTCAGCCCGGCTAGTTCTCGTTTCCCCACCAAAGTTCCCCACACACCCATCGGTCCTCGGGGATCACGTGTCGTTTCTCCGGCGGCCCCTCTCCTTCCAGGTACTCCGGTTTACGCGAGAGAGCGTCTGCTCTTACGTTTTCTTCTCCGGGCACGTAGCGGATTTCAAAGAAAAACTTGGAGAACTCCTGTGCCCATCGAATCTGTCTCTGGTTGAGTACTCGTGCGGTTCTCCAGTACTCCAAGTTCTTGTGATCTGTGCAAACCTGGATCTGTTGTTGCGCACCTAACAGTAGATGACGACAACGACGAAAGGCCGCGTAGATTGCCAGCAGTTCGCGGTCATACACTTTATAGTTTTGCTCCGACTTGCTCAGTTTTCTGGAGAAAAAGGCACACGGTTTCCATTCCTGCTTTCCCTTCCCTGGCTGCAAAGGACCGCCCCCACGGCTCTGTCGGACGCGTCGGTCTCTAGCCTCAGGGGTTTCTCCAGATCTACGTGCAGGAGTTGCTCTTCCGATGCGAACGCCTTCTTCAGTTTTTCGAAGGATTGCTGGGCCTCTTCTGTCCACACAAACTTCTTTTTGCTACTGAGACAATCCGTGATTGGCGCTGTCAAGTGGGCGAAGTTCTTGATGAACTTCCTGTAGAAGTTGCTGAACCCTAGGAACCTCTGTATGTCCTTCCGTGTCTTGGGAGCCTTCCACTCCAGCACTGCCTGCACCTTGCTTGGGTCCATCGCTAAGCCTTTGTCAGACAACTTGTACCCCAGAAACTCGACTTCTCTGGCGTGAAACTGACATTTTTCCAGCTTGACCCACAACTGGTGCTTCTGCAGTCGTTGTAACACTTCCCTGACGTCTCTAACATGTTGTTCCTCATTGTCCGAATAAATTAAGACGTCGTCCAAGAAGGCTACGCAGTTCTTGTACAGCAGAGACCCCAACACGTGGTGCATGAAAGCTTGAAAACAGGCGGAGCCTGACTGTAATCCAAAAGGCATAACTAAGTACTCAAAGGCACCTAGGGGTGTGAACATTGTGGTCTTCCATTCGTCCCCCTCCCTCATCCTGATCAAATTGTATGCGCCCCTGAGGTCCAGCTTGGTAAAAATTTTGCCTTTCCTCACTCGCGTTAAAATGTCGTCAATCCTGGGCATTGGGAAGGTCACGGGTTCTGACACCAAATTGACAGCTCTATAGTCCACTACGAGCCTGGGTTTATTTGTGTCCTTTTTGTCCACAAAGAACACCGGACTGCCCCCTACTGCCTTTGATTCTCTTATGAAGCCTCTTTTCAGGTTCTTGTCGATAAATTCTCGCAACTCCTTCATCTCCCTGTCTGACATGGCGTACAGCTTACCCACTGGCAGCTGAGCCCCGGAAGCAAGTTGATCTGGCAGTCAAAGGGCCTATGGGGTGGCAGTCTATCTGCCTCCTTTTCGCTGAAGACCTCCCGCAGATCTGCGTATTGTGGTGGCACCTCCCCTTTCCGCTCCACCGCCATCCCAGCCACCCTGGCCACGGTCATTCTTGGGGCTTCCCCTAGACAGTGTTCCAGGCAGTAAGCTGATCCAAAGGTGACTGTCCTCTGATGCCACGCCACCACTGGATCATGTTGTGCTAGCCAGCTCATCCCTAATATTATTGGGGGTCCTGCTAGCGAGGCGACGTGAAAGGCGATGGTTTCCGAGTGCCTGGACACCCTCATTCTCATTGGCGGGGTTTGGTGTGTCACTTTCCCTCCTAGAAGCTCCCTGCCATCAATGGTGGTCACTTGCAAGGGAAAATCCAAAGGCAGTAAGTGGAGCTGGTGCTCTAATGCAAAGTCCTTGCTGAAGAAATTACATGAGCTGCCTGAATCCAGCATGCCTTTCACCTTGACTGGGTGCCCGTTCGGGAGTTCTAGCACCACTTCGATGGCTATTGCCGCCATGGGGCCGTCTCGATGGGGAACTTTTACTGGTGGCTGGCTTGGCTGTTGTGCCCCTTGATTGGCAGCCAAGCGTTCTCGTTTCCCTGTTCCTGTTCCTTTACCACCTCCTCCTCCCCCCTGCGGTTCCCACCATTCCTTGCCAAGCCTTTCTTTGAGGGCAGGCTCTGGCAAAATGCCCTGGCCGCTGGCAAAGGTAACACCTTTTGGAGGTTTTCCAATCCTTTCCCTCCTTCTTGCGCCCTTCGCTGGTGCTTGAAACTTCCGCGCGCGCCCCATCTATTTCCATTGGCTCTGCTGGCGGGGAGGGCTGCCTTGGTATTTCAGGAATGCGGTAGTCATGGCAACGTTGCTCTCTCCCTTCCCACCTCTCCTGGGCCCGCGCTTCCTGGCGCGCGCCAATCGCAAGCACAGCCTTGGTCAGCTGATCCATCCCCTGTGGGCGGGGTGCGCGGGAAAGTTCATCCTTAACCGTTGGGGACAACCCCTCCTCGAATAACATCTGTATGGGTTCGGAGCCCAGTTCCCACCCGAGGCGATGAACTATCATGGCAAAGCGCGACCAGTAGTCCCTGACTGACTGGCTCCCTGTTTACAGTTCATCAATTCCCGCTTAGTCACACTTTTTTGAACATCAGTGGAAAACATCGCGTCCATCGCTTGGAAGAATTTCCTCAGGTCCTGCATGGCGGAATTCTGCGTCGCCATAAGGGGTCTGACCCATTCTCTGGCCCCGTCCTGCAGGTGACCCACAACATATGCCACCCGCGCCGCGTTGTCTTCAAAATCGTTATGCTGCAAGTCCAATGCGTACTCTATTTCCGTTCTAAACGCACTGTATTCTTGCGGCTTCCCCCCAAACTTGTGCACCAGTCCCGGTACCTTCCTTGCTATGGGGGTGGGTCTGACCTGTGCATCTTGAGACCGCCTTTCGTCCAGCCGTGCCGTCAGAATGGCCACATGCTGCTCCAAATCTCGGTTCCTCTCCTCCAGCGTTTGCCCTCCAGCTGCTCCCCTTGGGTGCCTGCTTCTCCGGGCTTGCTCATGATGCTGCCTGCCTGCTGCTGCGCACGAGCAACTTTCAGGGACTGACGGATTGCTGTAATGAGTATGAGTTACTCGTGCGTAAACTGGTGCCTCTCTAGGCTGATTTGCCTTGTTAAACCTTTCTGACTGCACAGCCCCTTCTGATCATGACTGTCTCAGTCACTAGCAGAATCCGTCAGTGGGCGTTTCTTGAATCTCTTCCAACATAAGAGTTGTTTGACACCCAATCGCCTCCGCCTCTCACTGCGCGGGAGCCTTCTGCGCAGGGTGGGCGTGGGTAGCGGGGGACCTGTCCCCTCCTCACTGAGTTCCAGTGAAGAGTCCGTGAGCCCTCTCTCCGATTTTCCCATCTGCTCACTTTTGTTCCTGGTGTTGCGCTTAAATGCTTCCCCCTCCACTGAGTCGCCTCTCCCCCTGCTGCTAGGTCCTTCTCCAGCATCATCCAGGAGCCTCCCCTTCGCCTCTCGCTCTGATGTCAGTTCCCTGACAATAATAAACAACACCAAAATGTAACAAGTTCATTCTTCCAAGTCATATTTCTGTGCAGGGGGATTTCCTATCTTACATGTTTCTATCAAAATGACTTCATGTTTCTATAAAAAGAAAACATTCCAAGGAAAGGGGGAATGTTATGAGCCCAGATTGTCTCTCTGGTGCAAATGGGACAAATGCCTAATGGTAACTTGGTATGAATCTACATTTCTTGTTTTTCCAAAAATAATTCTTACTGGGGAGGCAGAGCATAGGGAGGGGAGAGTTATCCTTTCACTCCCCCAACAGTGGCAGACCTTGGTGTCTCAAATTCCAGTGGTGCCCTGTGCACACCCCAAATTGCCCTCCTCCCTCACCTCTTGGAAACCACTCTAAATCACAGTTGTGGTGTCCCCTGCAGTGCACACAAAGCTCTGTGCCCAGTGCGCCCAAACCGTAGTCCTAAATCCACCTCTGCCCGCACTGTGATGAGAGTGGAGATTTCTCCACCCACAACACGCGTTGGCATCAACAGGGATATTTACATTCCCAAAACTACAGAAGTATAAAGTAAACAAAACAGCAGCTTAACCAAAGAAAGCATTTATATGAAAATCCGTTCAGACCTGTGGGTTTTCAAAGCCTGGGACAGCTTGTGTACATCCCTTGGGATGCGGTTCCATAGCATTCACGGGTTGAGAAAGCCCTGTCCCTAGTGCTTGTCAGGGCTTACTTGCTCACTTTGATGAAGGAGGCATCTTTGTGCTCCTAATTTCCATCGCAGTATTCCTTGTACCCATCAGAGCTTCCACTCTCACAGGGAACCAGTAGGTGAGGGCTTTCTATAGCTTGTTCCTTAGGATGCATGAGCCTGAGTTCTCTTGTCTGCAGTCTCCTAAATGGACTTTAATCATAATACTGTTATATCTGCAAAATAGCTATAGACAGCTGAAAATCAATAATACAGGAAATAGACAAGTGGGTTTTGTTATTTTTAAGGCATGCAATTACCAAACATCTCAAGCCCATAGATGCTAAAAGGAAAATAAATACTAGCACTGGATGTGCCAACAAAGAAGCAAGTGAAAAGACCAATGGTGGACCAATTGAATAAGTAAATAAGGGCATGAGTAAAGAGAAATAAACTGTTTTCTTGTGTTTGCTTAGTCTCCTACAGCTCAGTGCTTTTTTGGTGACTGTACCATCATCTCTCTCTCTCTCTTTTTTCCTGCCCATGGCATCCAGTTTGTGCTGGCACCCACAGGACTTTTATTAAGATATATGTACTGGCACCTCATTTTTTAACCATAAAAGCAGCGTCGGAACTAATACAACATTTAACTGGTCAGTTACTGAGATTTCCATGATGAAAAAACAATCTCATGTTAAATTCCATAAACTGGTGGTCAGTTCTGCCTTGATACTGACACTATACTAATTATGTGTGTATTTTATATGAATTAGTTTTAATGGTTTTATTATGTATGGTTGCATTTTATTGGACACCACCCTGTAACTACTGTGGTGTTGGGCAGTAAATTGAGGCCTAAATATTATATTATTTATGAAGTCGGCTTTAAACTTGACTAATGTGGGGGAGGGAGACAGTGCTCCTGAAGGTAGGAGTCTATCAATTGATGAAAATGATCATCCAAATGTCATAGACCAAATGGAGCAAACAGCACGCAGACCTAGTGGTGGGAGGAAAAAATCCTTAAATAAGAGACACGGGGGAAGGATTCATGGACTTCAATGTCTGTACACTAATGCGCAAAGCATGGGAAATAAACAAGATGAGCTTGAGCTCTTGGTACAGCAAACTAAATATGACATAATAGGCATCACTGAAACCTGGTGGGATAAGTCCCACGATTGGAATGTAATAATGGGGGATACAATCTATTTCAGAGAAACAGACCAGACAAGAAAGGAGGAGGAGTGGCGTTATATGTCAGGGATGTGTATACCTGTGAAGAGATCCAAGATTTAGAACCTCAAAGCCAAAGTGAGAGCATTTGGGTCAAAATTAAGGGAGAGAAGAATAACAGTGACCTCATTGTGGGAGTTTACTATAGATCCCCAAGCCAAACGGAGGACATAGATGATGCCTTCCTGGAACAGATGGCCAAGCATGCAAAAGGAAGGGAGATAGTAGTAATGGGGGACTTCAATTACCCGGATATTTGTTGGATGTCAAACTCAGCCAAGAGCATAAGGTCAAACAGATTCCTCACTGGCCTTGCAGACAACTTCATTGTCCAGAAAGTGGGAGAAGCAACAAGAGGAACAGCCATTTTAGATCTGGTCCTAACCAATGTTGATGACCTGGTTAGTGGGGTAGAAGTGGAAGGATCATTAGGCGCGAGTGATCATGCTCTTCTGAAGTTTACTATACAGCGGAAAGGAGCAGCCAAGCATACTAGGACTCCATTTCTTGACTTTAAGAAAGCCGACTTCATAAAACTTAGGGAAGTGCTGGGTGAGATCCCATGGACAGTAATACTAAAAGGAAAGGGAGTTCATGATGGCTGGGAGTTTGTTAAGAGGGAGATAGTAAAAGCACAACTTCAGGCAATACCAATGAGACGGAAACATGGAAGGTGCCTAAAGAAGCCAGGGTGGCTATCTAAAGAACTTTTAACTGAGTTAAGATTAAAAAAGGATGTGTACAAAAAATGGAAAAGGGGGGAAACCACCAATGAGGAATTCAAACAAATAGCCAGCACGTGTAGACACAAAGTCAGAAAAGCTAAAGCACAGAATGAACTCAGGCTTGCTAGAGAGGTTAAAAGCAACAACAGGCTTTTATGGGTATGTTCGTAGCAAAAGGAAGAACAAAGAAACAGTGGGGTCACTCAGAGGAGAAGATGGTGAAATGCAAACAGGGGACACAGAAAGGGCTGAACTCCTCAATGCCTTCTTTGCCTCAGTCTTCTCCGATAAAGAAAACAATGCCCGACCTGAAGAATTTGGAGCAAATGATTCAGCAGAGGAAGCAGAGCCCAGAATAACTAAGGAGATAGTACAAGAATACTTGGCTAGTTTAGATGTATTCAAGTCTCCAGGGCCAGATGAACTGCATCCAAGAGTATTAAAAGAACTGGCAGATGTGATCTCAGAACCACTGGCAGTCATCTTTGAGAATTCCTGGAGAACAGGCGAAGTCCCGGCAGACTGGAGGAGGGCAAATGTTGTCCCTATTTTCAAAAAGGGGAAAAGAGAGGACCCAAATAATTACCACCCAGTCAGTCTGACATCAATACCAGGGAAGATTCTGGAGCAGATCATTAAGCAAACAGTCTGTGAGCACCTAGAAAGGAATGCTGTGATCACCAATAGTCAGCATGGATTTCTGAAAAATAAGTCATGTCAGACTAACCTGATCTCGTTTTTGACAGAATTACAAGCCTGGTAGATGAAGGGAACGCAGTGGATGTAGCCTACCTTGATTTCAGCAAGGCATTTGACAAGGTGCCCCATGATATTCTTGTAAAGAAGCTGGTAAAATGCGGTCTTGACTATGCTACCACTCAGTGGATTTGTAACTGGCTGACTGACCGAACCCAAAGGGTGCTCATCAATGGTTCCTCTTCATCCTGGAGAAGAGTGACTAGTGGGGTGCCACAGGGTTCTGTCTTGGGCCCGGTCTTATTCAACATCTTTATCAATGACTTGGATGATGGACTCAAGGGCATCCTGATCAAATTTGCAGATGACACCAAACTGGGAGGGGTGGCTAACACCCCAGAGGACAGGATCACACTTCAAAACGACCTTGACAGATTAGAGAACTGGGCCAAAACAAACAAGATGAATTTTAACAGGGAGAAATGTAAAGTATTGCACTTGGGCAAAAAAATGAGAGGCACAAATACGAGATGGGTGACACCTGGCTTGAGAGCAGTACATGTGAAAAGGATCTAGGAGTCTTGGTTGACCACAAACTTGACATGAGCCAACAGTGTGACGTGGCAGCTAAAAAAGCCAATGCAATTCTGGGCTGCATCAATAGGAGTATAGCATCTAGATCAAGGGAAGTAATAGTGCCACTGTATTCTGCTCTGGTCAGACTCACCTGGAGTACTGTGTCCAGTTCTGGGCACCACAGTTCAAGAAGGACACTGACAAAGTGGAACGTGTCCAGAGGAGGGCAACCAAAATGGTCAAAGGCCTGGAAACGATGCCTTATGAGGAACGGCTAAGGGAGCTGGGCATGTTTAGCCTGGAGAAGAGGAGGTTAAGGGGTGATATGATAGCCATGTTCAAATATATAAAAGGATGTCACATAGAGGAGGGAGAAAGGTTGTTTTCTGCTGCTCCAGAGAAGCGGACACGGAGCAATGGATCCAAACTACAAGAAAGAAGATTCCACCTAAACATTAGGAAGAACTTCCTGACAGTAAGAGCTGTTCGACAGTGGAATTTGCTGCCAAGGAGTGTGGTGGAGTCTCCTTCTTTGGAGGTCTTTAAGCAGAGGCTTGACAACCATATGTCAGGAGTGCTCTGATGGTGTTTCCTGCTTGGCAGGGGGTTGGACTCGATGGCCCTTGTGGTCTCTTCCAACTCTATGATTCTACGATTCTATGATTATTATTATTAATAATAATAAATGTCCTTCATACTTCTCTGCTGACCAGTCAAAAACAGTAAATTCCATGCTTGGTTGTCTCTACACGACTGTGTAATATTCATTAATATTTTCTTTACATCTTTCCCTGAACAGCACCACTAACACTTCTTTGGGGCAGTCTTTTCTGGTAATTCTCTCCAACATCTTCTCACTGAATTCCAATGACTTGTAACTATTTTTAAGCACATACCAACTCTGGCAGTTTCTAGTGTTGTGTGTGATTTCTCTCTCTCTCTCTAAGGACATCAAGTTGTCTTTAAGAAAACTTTTAATCCCACTGAAGTCATCTAAATGTCAATGAACTTGGAAGATTTCAAATCCTGCCCCACAAATAAATGTCCTTCGTGTTCTCCAGAAAATAATGCCCAAAATATTTCTGCTTCCAGTTATTCGTTACTAAATCCTCTGAGAATTGGCCTTGGTATGATGGTATAAAAAGCTTGCTAGCTTTTCAACTAGATTGGCCAGGAAAATGTGCTGTGGCTAGGGAAGCAATAATTTTCTTCACACCGAGCAAGGTTAGATGACACGACTAAAGATGGACTAAAATTCCCATCATCCCTGAGCATTGGCACTGATGGATGGTAGGAAATTGTAGTCCAACAACGTTTAGGGGGTACCATGCTGGCTCCAGGGTATGACCTATCCAGTTGGCACAATGAATGTGTGGCTTGAGTGGATCTGGGCCGAGTTCAGCTTGTGGGAAAGAAGTCCTCTGAATGTTCTCATCCGTAGCCAGCTTGCTTTCATGTGGGTTGTGTGGGATAGTGTGTGGATGGAGATTTCATATCACTGTGCAGTTGACAAGAGGACCACAGAACACTATAGTTCCTGGACTAACATAATACAAATTCTGTTTCACTGCCATCCTGAAGGTTGTGGGCTTTCCATAGGCATCTGGCCACTATGAGAACAGATTGTTGGACTGGATGGGCCTTTGGCTCAATCCAGCAGGCCTCGTCTGATATAAATGGGAATAGAATAAAAATAATTTGGGTTGGGTCCATGTGATCAAAAGAGATGGCTGTACTTCTTGATGCAGTAGAGCAAGCCGAACAGTACAGCTGATATGCTCAAGGGCTCAAAGAAGGATTCTGACTGCGTGTCCCATCTTCTGCCAAAAGATTTTTGCTTTCAAATCTCATCTCTTTTCACCTGACCACATCTGTTTTATAAATGTTTGTGCTTTGGTTAAATAATGAACAGAGTTACTTCCACTCCAGGGAAATGGGGTCTGAAAGATTGTGAAAACATATGTTCAGAAAAAGTTCACAATTTCCATGAGTGTCATCTTTTCATGGTATATAACTTGTCCCTGGTTGAGTCATAATTATTAGCACGTGTTACAGTGACTTTCTGAAATTTGATGAATGCCAACATTTCACATGTGAATGCTGATAATCCAAAACAAAATTTGAGAGTGCCTGAAATTTCAGAGAAAACCTGACGAACACTTACAGTTCCATAAGCAAAATTGTCAAAACCCACTGGTGAATGTAATGGAAAAGGTATTTGGTTTGGGCCATTTTTCTAATTTTTTAATCTGTCAGCATTCACATAGAGATAGCACCAAAATGCTATTGGCTCGTTCACCCACATGGCTACGTTCCGCATGTTTGGGATGAGTGGGGCTGCACAATCAAGATTCCACCTGCCAGGGTAGATGCCTAGCATACAGCAAGTTGCCTTCTAATATGGGGATGGGGTTCAGGGCCCAACATAGGTGGCGGTGGCCAGCAGGCATAGTCTCCCCACCACATAATTCCCCCCCCCAAAAAATATATTTTTATTAATTTTTCCTACTGTTATCAAAACAGTAGGGAAAGAGGAAGTAGACTACAGTGGTACCTCAGGTTAAGTACTTAATTCATTCCGGAGGTCCGTTCTTAACCTGAAACTGTTCTTAACCTGAAGCACCACTTTAGCTAATGGGGCCTCCTGCTGCCGCCACGCTGCCGAAGCATGATTTCTGTTCTCATCCTGAAGCAAAGTTCTTAACCTGAAGCACTATTTCTGGGTTAGTGGAGTCTGTAACCTGAAGCATATGTAACCTGAGGTACCACTGTATCCCTGAGCAGGGATGAGGGTCTGACAGTCTCTCCTACATCTAAGCCCACATTGCAGAGCTTTTCTAATTGGATTTCACACACAGGAAAAGAAGCGAAACAGATAGCCTGAGGTTTAACCTTTGACACAGCACAGCAAAACTTCCTTCTTTTTTAGTTGGCTAAGCTGACAATGTTTGCTAAGATAAAATAATGGTCAGTGTGTTCAAATGGCACTTAAAGGATGTGGAAGAAGAGAAAAAGTATCTTCCTCCTTGGTAACTAGTTTTGCCCTCACAATAGAGCGTACATAAGTAAAAGCGTCACAACATTCCAGTTTGTTTTCGCTTTATTTCAGAATTGTTTCCATGAATCCACACAATCTGGGGCCCAATAAAGGCATCCCCAGCACACAGGATTAGGCCATGTTCCAAGATGTTGCAAAGCATGTGCCACTGGTACAGAGAGACCTCAAGAAACCTGGACAAAATTACAGTCTGTTGTGTAATTAATTATCTGCCTGAAATCTCTCCAGTGGCACCAGACATACAGTTGTGTTTTTGTTTTTGTTTCATTTTTAAAAATCACCCTCTTTCAAGAAACGGCTAAAACTTCATAGGACAAGATGTCTTGTCTTTTGTTTCCTGAACTTTTAGAGACACTTTGATTTTCAAAGTGTAACAAACCTTTGGTGTGGTGTGGTAACCAATCTAATAAAATAAGGAGATTATCAATTTCCTGCTGAGAGGATAGCAGACCAGAATATTTATCAACACTTTCCAGTGCTTTAAGTATTTCAGTTTTCAACGTTATCTTGTTTTGAACCAAACTGCAAAAATAGTTGCCTGTTACAAGACCTTTGATTGCCAGGAATTAGAAGTGATACAATAATTAAACAGACAGCAAAGTAAAATGAATAGTTTATTTCATAAAATACTACTACAAGCTATTGTATTATAGCCTTAAAGCCACCTTTTCCAATCTGGTTCTGTCTAGATGTTTTGGACTACAAGACCCAACAACCCTGACTGAAACCGATGGAAGTTGTAGTCTTAAACATTTATAGGGAACCAGGTCGAGAGGTTTGTATGTTGTTTAGATTTCTGTGTTGCCATAGCTCCTCCAGACTCATCTTCATTCAACCTTTAAAATTAACACAAAGTGATCATGCCAGGTTTTACAGACAGTCCCTCAGTTTTAACTTTTGGTCTGTTAAATGGGGATAATTATATTGATCTACCTCACAGTTTGTGGGAAGGTTTAGTTTTTGCTCCCTCAGATATGCATTGTGCCGTTCAAGACACTTGGCTGTGGACAAGGCATGTTTATTTCTTGGAGGGGAATGTTGCATCAGTTTTCCTATGTCATCGGCGGGCCATGGGCCAAGTACAGTCTGCATCCTGCCAAATATTACTTATCTGAACTGTCCAGCCAAGCCGCAACACAAAACTGACCTGAAATAGTAATAATAATGGTGATGTTGCAAGGGTGTAAGAAATACTGTATTTTTCCATGTACAAGACGCCCCCATGTATAAGATGACTGCTGCTTTTTAAAACCCAAAATTAAGAAATCACATATCACATGGGGGGGGCGACCTTGAAGTTGTTGCGCTTTCGTTGGGAAGACGACCTCCAAGGTAGGGCAGTTTTCTGGGGGCGACCAAACCGCAACCCTCCATCGCAACCAAACCGCAACCCCCAATTGCCCTGCCGAGCACGCACTCAAGCTTAAAGAAATAAAAATTAACCTTGTTCCCTGTATGGGATAGATATGGACTGTGATTAACACCATGTGAATACCGCTTCCCAAACTAGTAGTGGGAGTGCAATGGATGTAGTGTAAATGGGAGTGTGCATAATGCAGCAGTGTGGTGTAGTGGTTAGAGCGTTGGCCTAGGACCTGGGAGGCCAGGGTTCAAACTTCTGCTCAACCATGAAACTTACTGGGTGGCCTTGGGCCAGTCACAGTCTCTCAACCTAACCTACCTCACAGGGTTGTTTTGAGGATAAAATGGGTAGGAAGAGAATTTCTCTTTAGAGAAAAGGTGGGATAGAAATGCAATAAATAAATAAAAACAAAACAAATACAGAGCCTATATTGATACATTTATTGTCGCAGCACCAAGATCTCTCCCCCAAAGCATTGCCTGCTAGAGATAAATTTTATTCCCATTTAATAAAGTCAGTAATTTGCACATAAACAGAGACCAGAGCCTTGTTTACCTGGCCTTGGTTTGATACGTTACCATGCTGGTTCTCAAACTAATAAATATTTTATTGCCTCATGTTTTCCCCCCTATTATTTTGTTCCATGCAGTGAAAAGATTTCACAGCCCTGTTAGCTTCTTATCTACATGTGGGTTGTGAAAGAACCCAGGGAGCAGAGTTAAGTCATTCACATCACTTGGGTGGGCCCATCCACATTGAAAAGTCACCACTCAACACTAATCTGTGTTTCCTAGTTCTATTTCCATTACAAGAGGTGAACCCAATCCCTTGATTATTAATCCATCAGTGTGACTCTATGTATGACCTTATGTCTTGCTGTGGTCAAGTCTTACTGAAGCAACAGAAGAATAGTTTTTTTCTGTCCCAGATAAGACATTAATGGGTGGTGTTGCTGGAATTTCCCCAAATTATTGTCCATTGGATCCACTACCTCAGCATTTGCTATTGTTGAAATTTGGAGCCAACTTCCACACCCACTTATGCTAAGAAGTAGTTAATGGCTAATGAGTTGATTTTGACAAAAAGAAGAGGGAAACTGTGCAAGTTCTTAAATGTGCATGTAGTTAGGGATAAATCCACCCTCTTCCCCTTCTATCTTCAGGTGGAAAGAACCCCAATGACTGTGGTTTTCAACCAGTGTGCTGTGGACACCCTGGGGTGCCTTGAATGGTGATCAGGGGTGCTGTGGGCAACACTGGCCTCTGTCTCTCTCTCTTTCTTTCCCTCACTCCTCTGCTGCCCTCTCATGTCTCTACAGGGAACCAGGCAGAGGGTCTTCTCGGTAGTGGCGCCCACCCTGTGGAACGCCCTCCCATCAGATGTCAAAGAGATAAACAACTACCTGACATTCAGAAGACATCTTAAGGCAGCCCTGTTCAGGGAAGTTTCTAATGTGTGACATCTTAGTGTATTTTTGGTCTTTGTGGAAGCCGCCCAGAGTGGCTGGGGAAACCCAGCCAATTGGGCAGGGTACAAATAAATAATAATAATAATAATAATAATAATAATAATAATAATAATAATCTCTGCCTCCCAAAGGCTTGCACAGCTATTTGTTGCAGCAGGCCTGGCTATAAGCTCTACAGCAGTGGTGTCCCAACTTTTTTCAAAGAGGGCCAGATTTGGCTGTGAACTGGGGCCCTACAAAAAAAAAAAAAATCAAGTTGCGCCCCACTGCTTCAAATTGGGCCCCACTGGCTAGCCCTGAGTCTCATAGTTGCTGGGCCTGAGTTGCCCTGCCTCGCATGAAGTCTTGGGTTTAAATTTTCGGAGAGGGGAGACTGCGGCACTGGGTTGAAGACAGGCTGGTGAGGCCCCCTAGATTTAGAGGCCTTAGGCTTTAGCCTACTTAGCCTATACATAAATCCAGCACTGGGTCAAGGCGGCAGCCGCCCTCTGCCACTGCCATCGCTGCAGCATCAACATCCCGAACATGTACTATAGTATTTATTTATTTAGCCGCGCCCCCCCCAGCTGACCAGATTGGTCAACCCAAGGAGTGATGCAGTCGGGGACTCCCTAATGGTGTGGGGGCTAGCCACGCCCCCTGCACAGAGGGGAGAGCTTGTAGCGAGCCCACAAAAAGGAAATGGCTTTGGTGGGCAGGTGCTTGGGGCCACAAGACATTGCTTTTTAAAAATTGCCTGGGGGACTGTTTGAAACCAGCCCAGGGGCCACAAGTGGCCCCTGGGCTGGCCTTTGGACATGCCTGGGTTAGACAATACAGAGCTAGATGGACCAGTGATTCATTATGAGGCAGATTCCTATGTTCTCTTGGCCAATGTCTGAAGCCAGGGTGTGTTGGCCTTCAGCTCTGCTGTCTGCAGAATGGACAGCTCGAGGTGAGTGTTGTTTCCTGCCAGGGGAGCTAATTAATTAGTATTGAGGGTTAATTAATTAATATTGAGCCTTAATTAAGATTGAGGGTTCCTCCACACTTCCACTTGCCCCGTGCCTAGAAATCATGGGTTCAAGTGGTTTTCTGTTTGTCTCATGTTTTTTAGGCAAGGGTCCGAGTGGTTTTTCTCTTGTCCCACAGCTTTCCCCTGGAAAACATGCTCTTTACTGCTGAATCAGAACAAACTGCAATCCATGGAAAACTCAATTGCCATTTGGTTAGATTCAGTGGTAAAGTGCTGGTTTCCCCGCGGGTGTTGACGATGCCAGTATTGCAAAATCACAAACGATTAGCTTTGGGACTGAATTAAACAGCTGCGACCCTTTTGTTGTACCCCCTTACACAAGGACTGAACTGTAGCCAGCATGTGCAGTCAATGATGCTAATTGCAAACATTTTGGTTCCAGGTTTTTCCTCTCCTTGGGCTTTCTACATTATTATTTGCCTTCTCTGTGTTAACCCTGCTGCAAAGAGCCATATGTTCATGAGGCCATGGAAGTGTGCTTTCAATTATTCTGTATGTCCGTAATCCAAGCATAATACTAGAGTATATAATAAAAAAGCAGTACTCATGCAGCCCCAGTATAAAAAACCCAAAACATATACACACTCAAAGAGCAGTTTAAGAACTGAGCTGTTTGCATGAGCATTGGTTAAGAAAAGAAGCAAATCAGCTAGCTTTAAGCAGCAAAACATGTCCAGCCTTATACACAATTTTATAGCAAAATATACTATAAACCTAATATTTAACTGGGGGCTTTCTCTCCTCACCAGCCCAATTTCTTTTAGAGTAAAGTTTTAAACTTAACGCATTTGGCAACCACACAAAAGAGTCATTCAGTTTTCTATAAAAATTTCAGGGCTGTCCTGACTGCTTTTAGAGAAAGAGTACTTCGTTTGCTCAGATAGTTCTTATTTTTAAAGAGTCCAGCAGGATACAGAGCCTGAAGGGTGTGTCAGCCAGCACTCTTGTCAAATCTCATTTAATTTCAGTTTGTTCTTTGCTGCCTTGATCTTCATGCATTTCCCATCCAAACATTCATTTTCCACAATTTCTGATTTAGCTTTGTATTTCCCCTTGGAATATAGGGTCTCCATTGAGAATGTTGTTGAGAAATGTAGTTAGTCCCTAAATGCTTTATTAGTCCCACCAAAACCAGAGCCTTTCCCTTATTTAGTCTTTTACCTCCTCCTCTGTCACCAGGCAATTTAAAAGATCCCTGTGTTTGTCTGACAATTTGTCGAGATGTACTTTAGATGGAAAATGATCAATAGATGACTCCGGCAATTTATCAGATGAATACAAAGATATGCAGAAATAAGCAAATGCCCTCCTAATGGCCTTAGCTCTTAACACAAAGCACCTTTATCATTGTGAACACATTTAATAAGACTTTTTGGTTGCCCTTTTAAAAAGAGCAGGGGCAAGCAATCAAGAAGCCTTATTCCCAAATTCATAACCATGTTCACAAATTTAATTTCCCAGGTATTTGGTCACCTTTATGAGACATAATAACTGGATTCAGACATGATTTGTTCTAATATTTGAATTCTAAATGGTGCCAACAAACACTGGTTTGTTTTGAGCTAACAAACCAGGACTGGAAACCACAGCTTGAAGCTGATTTGCAAACCACAGTTTATGCTAACTGTGGTTTGTTGTTATGTCTGAGTTTACAGATCATTGACAAACCACAGCTAGGGACATTGCTGCACTATGGAGATGTGCGTCAGTTTATGAAGCTGATTGATCAGCAGACAAGCTACTCTAACCAATTCCTGATAGGCTGGCAATCGGCCAGCTATATCTCTGCATATTTGTTTTGTAGGTATAGGCCAGTAAAAAGCCTGCCTGCTGGTCAGGAACCTCCTTTGCTGCATAGTGCTTTATATGCATATCATTAAACTTTTGAGCTTGCATTTCTTTTCAGTTTAGGTTTAGGTGCATACAGCATTTTATGCATACAGTACAGTGGTACCTCGCAAGACGAATGCCTCACAAGACAAAAAACTCGCTAGACGAAAGGGTTTTTTGTTTTTTGAGCTGCTTCGCAAGACGATTTTCCCTATGGGCTTGCTTCACAAGACGGAAACGTCTTGCAAGTTTGTTTCTGTCAGGGAACTGCCATCGGAAGGAAGGGAGGTGAAAGGGCTCACACAGGTTGGGAGAGACTCAGCAGCTGAAGAGGGAACCAGTAGGGGGAGAGGAGCTGAGCTGAGGGAAAGTGAGCTGGAGGGATGGCTCAGAGACACTTCCAGCGAAAACAGTGGGGAGGTTTCAGGACCTCCTGTAGGAACACCCACTCCTCGCCGGAAACTGTCACGCAGAGAGTCCAGAAGACGTGTTTCCGTTAAGGAGCTTTTATGTTGGAAGCGATTCCGAAAGCAACCACTGTCGGAATCTGCTAGTGACTAGAGGAGCCATGTCTGAGGGGCTCCGTCACAGACAGAGGTTTGTGGACTTGAACAAACTCTGAGGGGATACTATTTTACGCACAAGCAGCTCATCATCCCATCACAGCATTCCGACAGTCTTTGAAAGCAGCTTGTGCAGGAGAAGGCATCATGAGCAACCCAGCCGGAACCGGAGAAGCAGGAGCTGGAGCGGGTCCAAGCCTGGAAGAAAGGTACCGGGTGTTGGAGGTCCAGCTAGCGCTGCAGACGGCGAGGCTTGAGGAGAGGAGGGCTCAGGATGCAGACAAAAGGGAAAGCCACCCAGCTCGCCAGAAAGGTACCAGGATTGGTGCAGAAGTTTGGGGGGGAGCCCAAAGACTATCATGGCTTTCGGACAGAGATGCAATATGCCCTCAATCTGCAGTTTGATGAATTCCCTGACGAGGAATCACGAGTGGCTTTCGTGATTGGGCATCTTGAAAAGGGCGAGAGACTGGGTTAGACCCCTGATGGCAGCGAATAGTGACGTACTAAAGGACACGATGAAGTTCTTTCGCGCCATGGATCTGATGTTTTCCAGCGATATTGAACAGGGAGTGGTGCGCAGACAGTTAATGGCTTGCAAACAGGGGAGCCGATCTGTCCGTGAGTACTGGACTGAGTTCACCATGCTGGTTCACAGATTGGGGTGGGACTTATCGGCGGAACCCATTCAAATGCTCTTTGAAGAAGGGCTTTCTTCGGCTGTGAAAGACGAACTTTCCCGGGCGCCCAGGGCGGAGTCTATGGACCAGCTGACCAAATCAGCGCTGACCATAGGAGCGCGCCAGGAGGCGAGAGCATTGGAGAGGCGGGAAGGGAAGGGGAACGTTGGAAGGAGTTCCGCATTCCAGACATTCCAGAGCCAACTTTCCCGCCGGCAGAGCCGATGGAAATCGGAACAGCGCGCGCGCGCGCAGTTTCAAAGCCCAGTGGGGGGGAAAGAAGGAGGGAAAACGCGCCCGGAAATGCTATCTCTGCCAACAGCCAGGTCACTTTGCCAGAGTCTGCCCCCAGAGGAAGGAATGGCAAGGGATGGTAGGAGCTGTGGAGGGAAGAGAGGAAGAAATACCGGAGCAAGTAAAAGCCAACGCCTGGCTGCCACCGTCGGGGCACAGCAGCCAGGCCAAAGAGCAGTGAGAGTGCCCACGCCAGAACCTCCTAAACCCGCCCTAGTGATAGAAGTGGCGCTAGAGCTGCCAAACGGACACCCTCTAAAGATAAAGGCGCTGTTGGACTCAGGCAGCTCCTGCAATTTCATGAGCAAAGAGTTTGCAGCTGAACACCAGATACAGACGATCCCTTTAAGCAACCCCTGCAGGTGACCACGATCGATGGCAGGGAGCTGTTGGGAGGAGAAGTCAGCTTGCAGACCGTCCCAATGATAATGAAGGTGGCAAGGCACACCGAACTGATAGCGTTTAATGTGGCCACCTTGGGAGGAGCTCCCATTATATTGGGGATGAGCTGGCTAGCGTTACATGATCCGCTGGTGGGCTGGCATCAGAGAGTGGTTTCTTTTGGTTCAGCACATTGCTTAGAACACTGCAAAGAGGGAAAGGGTTTGGCAGGGGCCCAAGCCACCCTAGCAGGGACTGAAGTAACGGAGAACGTGAAGGTACCACGACAATACGCAGATCTCCGCGACGTCTTCAGCGAAAGGGAAGCTGACCAACTACCCCGCATAGACCCTTTGACTGTCAAATCAATTTACTCCCTGGGGCACAGCTCCCTGTAGGCAAGCTGTACGCCATGTCAGACAGAGAGATGCAGGAGCTAAGAGAGTTCATTGACAAGAACCTGAAGAGAGGGTTCATCAGAGAGTCCAGGGCGGTGGGGGCAGCCCAGTGTTTTTGTGGATAAAAAACACGAACAAGCCGAGGCTGGTGTGTGACTTCAGGGCCTTAAATGCAGTGTCAGAACCAGTGGCCTTCCCTATGCCCAGGATTGACGACATTTTGACAAGGGTGCGGAAGGGAAAGATTTTCACAAAGCTGGACCTAAGGGGGGCGTACAACCTGATACGAATAAGGAAGGGGGATGAATGGAAAACCACCATGTTCACCTCTTTAGGGGCATTTGAATATTTGGTTATGCCCTTCGGCCTACAAGCAGGCTCCGCATGCTTTCAATCGTTTATGAACCACGTCCTGGGGCCTTTGCTTTACAAGAATTGTGTGGCCTTCTTAGACGACGTGTTGGTGTATTCTGAGAATGAGGAGCAGCATGTGAGAGACGTCAGAGAAGTGTTGAGCAGGCTGCAAGCCAACCAGCTGTGGGTGAAACTGGAGAAGTGTCAGTTTCATACCAAGGAGGTGGAATTCCTGGGGTATCGCCTGTCAGACAAGGGATTGGCCATGGATCCCGGCAAGGTCCAGGCGGTGCTGGAATGGAAAACACCCAAAACAAGGAAGGATGTGCAGAGGTTCCTAGGATTTGGGAACTTCTATCGTAAGTTCATCCGAAACTTTGCCCACCTGACGGCGCCCATTACGGACTGTCTCAGCAGTAAGAAGAAGTTCGTTTGGACTGAGGAGGCGGAGCGAGCATTTGAGGAACTAAAAAAGGGCCTTCGCCTCGGAACAACAACTCCTGCATGTGGATTTACAAAAACCGATGAGAGTGGAAACTGATGCATCAGACAGAGCGATTGGGGCGGTGCTTCTGCAGCCAGGGAAGGAGGAGTCAGAGTGGAGACCGTGTGCTTTTTTCGCGAAAGCTGAACAAATCCGAGAGGAACTACACGGTGTATGACCGAGAACTACTAGCCATTCATGAGGCGTTCCGGAGATGGAGGCACCTGCTAATTGGCGCACAACATAAGGTGCAAGTGTGCACTGACCACAAGAACCTAGAGTATTGGAGGACGGCACGAGTGCTCAACCAACGGCAAGTGAGATGGGCCCAGGAGTTCTCCAAATTTAACTTTGAGATTGGTTACGTGCCAGGCCCAGAGAACATTAGGGCGGACGCTCTCTCACGCAAACCTGAATATTTGGAGGGGAGGGAGCACCCGAAGAGAGACATGTCATTCCAGAGGACCGCTGGGTGTGTGGGCGGCATTGGTGGGACAAAGAGAACTGGTAGAGGAAACAGAGAATGATGAATACGCCCAGAATAAGCTCAGAGGTCTTAGGGGTGAGGGAGAGGAACCAGGGGGTTTCGAGGAAAGAAATGGAAGCAATCCATCGTCAGCTCCAACTCAACTTAGAAAGGGCAAAGGAAGAATACAAGAGGCAGGCAGACAAGAACCGAAGGGAAGGTGTAACCATAAGGGTGGGAGATAGGGTGTGGCTGTCAACCCAAGGGTTGCCGTTCAAAGGAGGTTGTAAGAAATTAAGACCCAGGAGGTTGGGTCCCTTTGAGGTCATTCAACAGGTCAACCCAGTGGCTTTCAGGCTCCGGTTACCCAACCACATGAAACTGCACCCAGTATTTCACAGGTCGTTACTGTCACCGTACGAAGGGGGACGAGAGGGATGGCCACTCGGGGACCGGTCATAGAAGAAAGAGAATGCAGCAGCCATGTGGCAGAAATCCTCGACGCCAGGTGGAAGGGGGATCAGGTGGAGTATTTGGTAGCGTGGGAAGGAGAACCGGAGTCAGAAAACACTTGGGTAATGGCCGAAGATATCAATGACGAGGTATTGATAGAAACGTTCCATCAAAGGTTCCCAAGGAAACCTCAGCCTGTGGAGAGGTTCCGGAGGGAATACTTTGGGACCACTGATGAGGAGGAGGAGTTGGAAGGATTCCCGGACTCGGACGGGGAAGGGGAGATGGACTCTGAGGAGGAGGAGTACTTGAGACCAGGAACCGCAACAGGTGGAGAGAAGTGTTCGAGACATCGGAAGATGAAGGAAGTTCATTCCGGGTTTTGCCTCCTCACCGCCCGTAGAGGAGGGGGCGAGAGGGGGTGAAAGGGGCCCTGGAGGGGAGGTGGATGTCAGGGAACTGCCATCGGAAGGAAGGGAGGTGAAAGGGCTCACACAGGTTGGGAGAGACTCAGCAGCTGAAGAGGGAACCAGTAGGGGAGAGGAGCTGAGCTGAGGGAAAGTGAGCTGGAGGGATGGCTCAGAGACACTTCCAGCGAAAACAGTGGGGAGGTTTCAGGACCTCCTGTAGGAACACCCACTCCTCGCCGGAAACTGTCATGCAGAGAGTCCAGAAGACGTGTTTCCGTTAAGGAGCTTTTATGTTGGAAGCGATTCCGAAAGCAACCACTGTCGGAATCTGCTAGTGACTAGAGGAGCCATGTCTGAGGGGCTCCGTCACAGACAGAGGTTTGTGGACTTGAACAAACTCTGAGGGGATACTATTTTACGCACAAGCAGCTCATCATCCCATCACAGTTTCCTTTTTCTTAACACCGTTAATACAGTTGCGACTTGACTTCGAGGAGCAACTCATAGAATGTGGTGTGGTAGCCTTTTTTGAGGTTTTAAAAGACTTTGGTGATTTTTGAAGCTTTTCCAAAACTTTCCCGACACCGTGCTTCGCAAGACGAAAAAAACCACAAGATGAAAAAACTCGCGGAATGAATTAATTTCGTCTTGCGAGGCACTACTGTATTCTTTTTCTTATGCAAACCAAAGGCAATAATGTAGCTCTAAAGGGAAACCTTCATTGCCTGGGTTCAGACTTAATAAACAAAAACACAGTTTGTGCTACCTGTAGTTAATAACTCCACAGCATAGTTTGCGCTTCTAGATGTACAGCAGTCAAATTATGCAATGCTACAGCTTCCAGCAGTCCCTCTCTACTGCATAGGCTTCTCCAGTGACAGCAATACTGAACTGAGCAGCTGCTCTCAGTATCAAGCAGCTGCCATTTCTCTCCCTCAGCGCAATACCTAGCATTGAATATTAAAAAGTTGGTTCAAGCAACCAATCGCCTCCTTATATCTATCACAATTAATTTTCTTTATTAGTTGTGCCAAATACCAGAACACACATAACTGCCTGGCTTGCTCATGCTCCCCCGCCATGATGAAAAGCTCTCACAATGTAAAACGTATACATATGTTAATACCGCAAATGTCACCAAGTACAACCACAGACTCTGATGTGCTCAGACATCATTATGAGTTTGAGTCCCGTTGCGCCAATGGTTAGTCTAAGACTAGATAGCACAATATTTTGAGTGGAGGGGGATCTTCTCTTTGTAGAATACATTTAATTCTGCTTCATAGGGCAGAGGTTTTCAACTTTTTTGAATCCATGGCTCCCTTAACCAACTACATTCTTTTTGCTGCGCCCCTGTGGGGCTCAGGAGTCCAGTTATGTCTCTCCTTGCCTGCAGCTTCTCACCCTTTTTCGAACACCTTCCCTTGTGGAGTGTTCCCTCAGCCTCCTCCTCTCTTCTCCCCTCTCCTTGGGAGTCCTCAGGGCAGCTGCTGCTGCTGCTGTCCCTGATCTCAAAGCTGCCCTCCACCCCACCGTTTGCCTGTAGACCAACTGGCAGCAGCTTTCCAGGTTGCATTGCTGTTCTGACTTCTACTTTTTAACCATGACAACATCTTGTTTTCCGCTTATTTTAGCAGAACTGAAGAAAGAAAAAAGGCACATCATCAGAATACCATGTGTCATGGTAGGATAGAGATGTCTTTTCCTAAGGGTTGATGAAAACTTAGAATATTATTACTTGGCAGAAATGTTGAATTCTTGTACCATCCTTGTTTCCTTTGGAAAGCCCAAGTGTCTAAGGTTCTTCTGCTTTTTTAAAAAAGGACTTGAAGTTGGGTTTCCCCCCCGAAACATAATATATTCCTTCTATCTACATTCTGTCTTATTTTTCCTTCTTCTCTACATAAAAAGCAGTTTGCCTCTCATGTTTTGTTTCTTTCAGGTGCCAACCACAACAGCGACTGGGTGTGTTCCAGTTTGACTTGGGTTACATGGGCTTCTACAATACTTTGTTGTTGTTTAGTCATTTAGTCGTGTCCGACTCTTCGTGACCCCATGGACCAGAGCACACCAGGCATTCCTGTCTTCCACTGCCTCCCGCAGTTTGGTCAAACTCATGCTGGTAGCTTCAAGAACACTATCCAACCATCTCGTCCTCTGTTGTCCCCTTCTCCTTGTGCCCTCTATCTTTCCCAACATCAGGGTCTTTTCCAGGGAGTCTTCTCTTCTCATGAGGTGGCCAAAGTATTGGAGCCTCAGCTTCAGGATCTGTCCTTCCAGTGAGCACTCAGGGCTGATTTCCTTCAGAATGGATAAGTTTGATCTTCTTGCAGTCCATGGGGCTCTCAAGAGTCTCCTCCAGCACCATAATTCAAAAGCATCAATTCTTCGGTGATCAGCCTTCTTTATGGTCCAGCTCTCACGCTAACAAATTACATTATCAATTTATTAATCTTAGTATATTTTGGTTTCTTAGAATTCCCAAGCAACACTGGGTACTGTCTGCCAGTAAGTAAGTAAGTAAGTAAGTAAGTAAGTAAGTAAATAAGAATATTATCTCATGGATACTTAGGCTACAGTATATCTCCACATATCATAGCATACGCATGATATGAAACAATGGAACCACTTTTCTATACCATATAGAGCATTCCACATTGGTCTGAACATTGCACAACAAGATGCCACTTCCAGGAAGAAAACATTGTCTTGTCTTTAATGGATACCAGGCCAGGGCTAGAAATATGTCCTTACATGTCCATCTTAAGCAGTAGGCACTCTAATGAAATTCACAACACTGACGGTTAATAAGAGGTCTTTAAAACGAGAGAATATTGTGGCTTCCATGTATATGTTGCTGTTTGGCAATATATTTTATTATTGGGATGTTCAAATTCAAGCCAGGTTACATTTCTGTATGAACCTCTGTTGCTGGTTTTAGAAACATGCAGTTTTAATATAGTCTTGGGTTTGAACCAATCTACAGGAGAATCCATTGTTTCTGGATCATAACATTCTCTGGCGATACAAGCTCTTCCCATGTTCCAGAAGAGCCTTAATTTCTTGCAAGCAACTATGACTGCATATTTGGCCTTTGTCCATTTCATAGGAATACACGCCAAATTCTCGACTGGCACAGCATTTTGGAAGTCGATTGGACATTTTCTGTCCAGTACAAAACCTGGCCTTGTAATTGCCCAGCAAGCTCACCATCTTTGAGAGGTGAGCTTTGAGAATTATGAGTGAGAAATGGTGTGTATTTTAATGTACTATATAAAACTGGTTACAGGAGGGTGAAAGATACCAGCATACCGTGAATTTAAAATGAGCCATGCCCTGCTGCTACCAGCGTTTCTTTGTGACTGAGCATTGATTTCACCGGATGGCAGGCAGAGAATATCAAGGTGCCCCATGATATTCTTGTAAAGAAGCTGGTAAAATGCGGTCTTGACTATGCTACCACTCAGTGGATTTGTAACTGGCTGACTGACCAAACCCAAAGGGTGCTCATCAATGGTTCCTCTTCATCCTGGAGAAGAGTGACTAGTGGGGTGCCACAGGGTTCTGTCTTGGGCCCGGACTTATTCAACATCTTTATCAACGACTTGGATGATGGACTCAAGGGCATCCTGATCAAATTTGCAGATGACACCAAACTGGGAGGGGTGGCTAACACCCCAGAGGACAGGATCACACTTCAAAACGACCTTGACAGATTAGAGAACTGGGCCAAAACAAACAAGATGAATTTTAACAGGGAGAAATGTAAAGTATTGCACTTGGGCAAAAAAAATGAGAGGCACAAATACAAGATGGGTGACACCTGGCTTGAGAGCAGTACATTTGAAAAGGATCTAGGAGTCTTGGTTGACCACATACCTGACATGAGCCAACAGTGTGACGCGGCAGCTAGAAAAGCCAATGCAATTCTGGGCCTCATCAATAGGAGTATAGCATCTAGATCAAGGGAAGTAATAGTGCCACTGTATTCTGCTCTGGTCAGACTCACCTGGAGTACTGTGTCCAGTTCTGGGCACCACAGTTCAAGAAGGACACTGACAAACTGGAACGGGTCCAGAGGAGGGCAACCAAAATGGTCAAAGGCCTGGAAACGATGCCTTATGAGGAACGGCTAAGGGAGCTGGGCATGTTTAGCCTGGAGAAGAGGAGATTAAGGGGTGATATGATAGCCATGTTCAAATATATAAAAGGATGTCACATAGAGGAGGGAGAAAGGTTGTTTTCTGCTGCTCCAGAGAAGCGGACACGGAGCAATGGATCCAAACTACAAGAAAGAAGATTCCACCTAAACATTAGGAAGAACTTCCTGACAGTAAGAGCTGTTCGACAGTGGAATTTGCTGCCAAGGAGTGTGGTGGAGTCTCCTTCTTTGGAGGTCTTTAAGCAGAGGCTTGACAACCATATGTCAGGAGTGCTCTGATGGTGTTTCCTGCTTGGCAGGGGGTTGGACTCGATGGCCCTTGTGGTCTCTTCCAACTCTATGATTCTATGATTATTTGGTACATTTACACCCCATATTTCTTGCCAGGCTCTCAGGCAGTGTGCATGTTCCTCCCTTCCCCTTTCTATCATAACAAATATATAGAGCTGAGAATAGTTTGTGACTGGCTCAAGGTCACCCAATGAGCTTCATGGATGAGTGGAAATTTGAACCTGGGAGTAGCTAGTCCTAGTCCAACACTCTGACCCCTGCACAATGCTGGTTCAAAGCTACAGAGAGCTGGTGGGGTTCAGAGGTGACACCCTCTGATATTTATGAATGAGCATTCATCCTTAAAGAGCGTAGTGATCTATAAAGTAATTAAGCAGCACTGTCTGTTTACATATCAGGAAATTCACATTGATTCATTTATTCATTTTCACTGCCTAAATTCTGAAATGCTAAGCCACATTCTGAGCAATACATTAACATTCCCATAATGAACTTTTTAGTAATAAAAGGTAAGAAATAAAAAACAGTCCATCATGAAAATATTTCAGCAATCGTAACACTATTTTAGTGTTTAGTAAACAAGTAAACTAACCAACCAAGAAAAATCAGATCAAATGCTGCCAGGTAGAAATTCTACTGAGACTGAAAAGTGGGGATGAGGAACTTGTGGCCACCCAACATCCCTAACCAATTCTGTTCTTTAGCTTTCCCCCCACCCTGTTCAGTTCTCCTGCTCCAGAGGGTAGGATGTGAACCAATGCATTCAAGTTATAAGAAAGGAGATTCCGACTAAACATCAGGAAGAACATTATGATGGTAAGAGCTGTTAGACAGTGGAACAGACTCCCTCAAGACGTGGTGGACTCTCCCTCAGTGGAGGCTTTTAAGCAAAGGTTTGATGGCATTGCAGGGGGTTGAACTAGATTCCTGTACTGCAGGGGGTTGGACTACATGACCCTCAGGATCCCTTTCAAATTTCCAATTCTGTGATTCCATGATTCTATGAATTAAAGGAGAACATCTGAAACATATTTCCCTGCAGATCTGGAGTGGCCTGCAGATGAACAAGGACGGTCCTTTCCCATCGTTTTGCTGGCGTCACTCAGCATCAGGAATGGTGAGCAGGCTTTACTCTCACTGCTACATTCTCTGACAAGGTAATATTTTGCTTTTCCATATAGGAATGCATGATAATGACTCTCCAAAACAGGATAAAATAAAGGCGTAAACTTAGAGATATTCTTGGGGTGGCATTAGACCTGTTCAATGCCTTTGGGGTTGTTGTTTTTTGGAGGGGCGGAAGGGGGTAGGCTAGAGAGAAAGTGGATTTTGGAAATATTGGATAGAATGTTGGAAATGTGTGTTAGAATGTAAGGAAAGTAAAAGAGAATGTTGGGAACTGGCTTTCGTATATAAACTAGACAAGAAGGAAATATCGTTGGGAGGTGGTTTGATGGAACCAGAGAAGGTGGTATGTTCAACCTGATCTAGATGGGTTCCATTGCCTCTGAAGGGTCAGGTTTACATTTTGGGGCTGTTTTGGGTGAACCCATACCTTTGAATGCCCATGTGGCATGAATCACTGGTCACTAATTCTGGCTGGTGTACCACCTGATGCCTTGGGGAAAAACAGATAGCTGGTCCACTTTTCTATGGTCTTGCAATATTCAAATTAGACCATTGCAGCATATTGCATATGAGGCTACCTCTCAAAAATGTAATTTTGTCCAAAATCCTGCTGCTAGGCTGTTGGCTGTAGGTTAGGATGAGGCCAGCTAAATGACCACCAAGGAATAAATAGCTACATTATATGCTGGTTCATTTCCAAACAGAATTTGAAGTTCTGGTATGCACCCCCTTGTCTCGGTTGGACCATTATCTGGTGAAATTTGGATAGGTAGTGTAAAGGTGGTGGATCCTTTCTAACCCAATGATTCCAACTATCTGAGTGAGATTCCTTTCCCCACTAAGGGAATGTGGGATAGCTAGATCTTGCCCGGGCATGTTTCAGTGTTACTTGAATGTTTATCAACTTGGAATAGACAAAGAATGACTCGGCTGGATCCCCTTTATGGATTTCTCCACTTCCTCATCTCAGGAATTGAAGCAAGGAAGGAAGGGGGGAGGGAAGGAAGGAGCCAGGACATCTATCTAACCATCTGTCATGTTTATAAATTGCTTTACAATCCACGGCACTCCAAGCAGTGAGCAATAAAGTTAATAGGCACAATAAAAAACAATAATTGACTATAAATATACGGTGATCTAAATAAGAAAATTCAAGCGTAAGCAATGCCAGTCCAGTCCTCAGTTTTCCAGCTAGAGAGACAGCCACCAGCCCTCCAATCTATTTAAACAATGCAAGGCAAATACTATTTGAAGTATTACAGTAGGAGTCAGATAGATAAACTTCCTTGGTAAGGGAATTCCATGCTCATGCAATAGTTAAAAAGAGTTCCACACACTTCTGAACTTTAATTCTGACTCCTTTATGATGCTGTAAACATGACATTCAGACTGTACAAATATGGGCTTTTCGCAGAGCCATAGCTACGGGGGTGCTAGCCAGGCGTTCGCCATCTCCAACACACGCCCACCCTTTCCCCTTTCTTGAATTATCCGCAGGCCTCACGCACTTCGGGCTGTATCACTTGGGAGATTCAGAAAGACTCTTCTTCCCATGCGTTACCATCTTGAGACTAGTGGTTCATACTCCGTTCAGAGCACAAAATGAGCTAGCAATCTATGTTAAGGTTAACAGATGTCCCCGTTTCCCGGGGACAGTCCCTGGATTTAGTAATCAATCTCCATACAAAATCCACTGAAGTTGAAAAGTGTCCCCAGATTCATTGAAAAAAATATGTAACCTTAATCTATGTGCGTTGCCTTTAGCGCGGAGAGTGCGATTAGCTCACTTGTTTGAGTCCACTGAGCGATTTGCACTTTTTTTGCACGCACCTGCTTCCTGCTGGTACGTTGGATCCAGGGAACGGCTGCTGCTGCTTCGCTTTTCGTGTGTGGACAGGAGGGGAGGGAGGTTGGTTGCTGGCTTTCCAGGGCAGGTGGGTTTGGTTTTTTTGTGTGGTGGTGGGGCGCCTGAGTGTCCCTTTGGCGCATTCACCTCTACAACCGCTCCGCTGCCTTGCTGCGCGCCTTTTTGGAGCAGCGGCTGCAAAGCTTGGGAAGTGCGCAGCAATTTGTGCCGCTTTGCAACTGCGCAGGCCGGCGCGGAGAGCGCTGTTGTGTGGGAGCCGAGCAGCGCTTGGCCCGGGGTGAAGCGGCGGCTGCTGCTGCATTGTGCAAGCGCTCTTTGGGCAGGCTAGAGTTACACGGAGGGATGCGGAGGAGGGAAGGCACTCCCCCCTTCCCCATCCCGGCCAGTTTCCAGCAGCAGCAGAATCGACCACCTCCTTCCCCCGTCGCACCGGACGGCAGGCAGAGAACCGGCCCAGCAAAGAGACACGGAGGGGTGGGAGGCCGGAGGAGGGGCAGGGGGGAGGGAACAAACAAGTAAATAATAAGTCCTGGTCGAGGGGCCGCACATTGGCGAGCCCAGAAGCTGCCACAGCGCCTCGCCTGTCTCCTCGCGTCCCTCTCTCTCCGCGCACTGGGCGGCAGCAGCAAGTTTTCAGCCAGAGGACTCCCCGGCGTGCTGGGCCGGAGAGGCTTGGCTGGCTGGCTGGCTGGCTGGCTCCGGGGAAAGGTCTCTCGGAGGCGCCAGGCTCGGCGTTGCGCAGCTCCGGCGGCGAACTTGCGAGAAGTTGGGCAGGGAGCCCCGAGGGAAGGCGGGCGAGCGGGCGCCTTGGCCGCTCGGTCAGCCCCGGCTCTCCCCGCGGAGGTGGCCGTCGGGCGGCCAGGCTGAGCGGGCGAGGGAGAAGCAGCTGCCGGGGCGCGAGGCTGGGGGGACGCGGCCGAGGCGGCCGTCGGCGAGGCGCTCGCGGGAGGGCACCCCGGGGGGAGCCGTCTTCGGCAGCGGCGGGCCCGGCCGGGATGGCTGCGGCGGGCATCACCACCCTCCCCGCCATGCCCGACGACGGCGGCGGAGGCAGTGGCGGCACCTTCGCGCCCGGACACTTTAAGGATCCCAAGCGGCTCTACTGCAAAAACGGCGGCTTCTTCCTGAGGATCAACCCCGACGGCAGAGTGGATGGAGTCCGGGAGAAGAGCGACCCGTACAGTAAGTACCGACCGGCCCGCCGTCTCTGCCCTCAAACCGACGGGACGGGGCCCCGCTGGCCTCATCCTCAGACCCAAACCAGAGTGAGGCGCCTCCATGTTTTAAAACTCCCCGAGGGTCAGTTAATTTAAAGAACCTTGGCTCTGGTTTCATGCAGGTGATATTTCCTAAGGTTATCTTTGGGTTTTATGAAGTTTCGAAAAACAAACAAAAACCCCACAATAACTGTGACAAATATTTTTAAAATGCAGTAAAGCAGGGATGGGGGACCTGTGGCAGGCTGGATTTTGGACTCCTAGTTTCCCTCAGCCCCAGCCAGCATGGCCAGTGGTCAGTGGTGTTGGAAGTCAAGTCCCAACAACACCTGGAGGGTCACAGGTTCCTCACCTTTGGTTTAAAACGAAGGCCATCTCTGGGCAAAAGGCAGATGAGCAGTTATAACAAATCTCTAGGTGAAGTCCCATTAAATTCAATGCATCTGGCTCCCAGCTGTGTTTAGGAATGCAGGGAGAACGGCCTGTGGGAACTGTAGCTGGTGGGTAGTGTTTTTCCCAAAAAAATTTAAGCCAGTTGTCAGAATAAGATCTATCACTGCTTGCAGCTTTCTACACACACACAACCAACATGCTATGGTTCCCACAGCCAAATACATGATCCCCATCCATAGGAGCTTCCCTGCTCTTACCTAGCACTAACATTGCTTAACATAATCCATCGCCCACTTTCCCCTGGTTTCCCTCTAATTGCTGGAAATAATTGCTATGTCCACTGATTTCAGAAACTTACGTCCAGCAGAGATGGACTTCCCTGTTGTCTTCACCTTCAGCTGTCGACACCACCTGAGATCCTTCCTACATAACCAGTCCTAGTTTTGAACCAATTTTGTTCTCCATGTTGTGTCATTTCACCTCATCTTTTCACTTGCCCCTGCTTCTATATTTTTATTTTGGCATTGTGTTATGCACACTCCTGTAGCATCTGTGTATCTTTCCCCTTTGCCTTTCATGCCATGCACAAAGTCACACTGACTGCAGCTCGGCCCCTTACCTGTCTTCTGAGTGTCTGCAACCCATAATGGGCACCAGTCCTAGGATTCCCAACAATCCCAGACATGCTCCTCAAAGCACAGAATCTCTTTCATCCCAAGGCTTGTATAACTTGCCGCTCCCGCCCTGGCTCCTGATACTTTATTCCATTCCATAAGCATTATTGCAAAGAGACTTGTTGGTCATGGGCACAATTGTTGCTTTGAGAATGAGAGGGTTTTGTGTTAAGCTTATTCAGAAATAAAGGAAACTGGTAAAAAGAGGTGACAAACTCATGAAACGGGGGGAAAGAAGGTTGTACCTAAAAAGAACAGAAAAGAAGAAAGCTAGTTTTTGGATTCTAATGTTTTTGGAATATTAAAATGCTTCCTCCTTTGATTCGTTGGGTGAATTGTAAAATATTTTTTGTTATAACATTGTTCCATGCAGATATAATGTTTTATTTATTAGGTGCACTTGAATTTCAGGGTTATGAATGCCAATTATGAATTGGCATTCATAGTGACAATAAGATTAGTTGAGCAACATCATATGTCCTGTAGTGCACTGACAGCAAAATCTGCTTTTAACACAGAATCCTGTAATTTTAGAACTCCCAGTTGTATTGGAATACAGTGATTTTTAATGTTCTGGGGATTCCGTCTGCCTCAGTGTTCTCATATTTGCAAATGACTTAATGGTACATTTAACACAGAGTTATTTCGGGATCAATCTAGGTAACACAAGAAGACTTGTGGCATGTAAAATGCGGCATCAATTCTCTTGCTAGTATGCTTACATTTTATTAGGAATTAGTGTAACTCCTTTTAATGGATTCTTTAGACTTTCTGAATGTGTCAGGTAATGTTGGTAAACTTGCTCCTGTATTCTTTGCATCCATCTGTCTCAAAAGACAATGGCATGCACCTCTGTGGGTGACAAGGCCCCCCCCCATGTTTGTCTCACTGATGTGGTCCAAAAGAAAGCAGAGCAATACGTTTGGCACCAGCTTGGCTGCAGGAGCTGCCAGAAGGAGGCGTACAGGGCGCCATCCAACCATCTTAGGGACTCCACTCCTGATTTGTGTAGGGTTTACTCCATAGCCTCTTCTTCTCCCAAAGACATCCCGCAAGGCAGTGGAGGTTTAGATCAGAATCACTTCTCTCTACAGCTTGTACAGAAGCCACCTTCTTGACCATTGGACCTGCTGTTGGGCTTGTCTGCTTGTTCCACCGGAGCCTGTCTATGTATGTAGGGGAAGTCCCTAACTCAGCAAGGGTTTGAGTCCCACTGGCTTCCCTCATCTAGTTTAGCCAGCTACTCAAAGCCGTTTCCCAGAGTGTGGCTGCCATTGCATGTTGACAGCTTCTAGGAGCCACAGATGATCTGAGTAGAGTGTGGGGACCAGAGGTGGACAAACAATTACAGAAGGAGCATGACGTGTCCCCCACTAGAGGTACTATTCCTTTCCTAACACCGCATACACTCTGGTGCAGCTCACAAACAATGGCTGTCCCATCCTGCACCTCTCCCTTCTTGCTGCCACCGGATTATTTGTCATCTTGAATAAGGGGTTCAGGATTCTTTGTTGCCTTAAGGGGGTCTATTTGAGTGTAGGGAGACAGTCAGCTGTATTCCAAGTCTCTCAGTCGGTAGAGCATGAGGCAATTATTCTCAGGGTTGTGAGTTCAAGCTCTTTTTGCTGTTGTGCAAATAAGATTCCTGCACTGCACAGAGTTAGACTAGATGACCCTCATGGTCCCTTCCACCTTTATGATGCTATTCTAACTTCAGCCTGTCACCTGTCCTGACCTCCCAAGCACTTTAAATCAGAAGCAGAGTAATGGTGGTGGTGGGGGAAATAAACAGCCTTTGAGTGTGTCCAGAAACCAGTATAGCCCAGAAATTTGATTGAAGTTTATTTAGGACCATGGAAGAAACAGTGGGTAGACACAATCATAAGGAAAGTCTAAATCTAAGGCAGAGTATTGATCTATTTAATTTTATATTAAGTAGATTAGTACAGCACCGTGTACTCTAAAATTCATAGCCTCTGGAGGTGGTTCCAGGATTAGGAACAAAGGAATGTTGGCAAGGGCTCTTGACTCAGCTGGGTTCTGATTGACAGGTGCCTCTGAGCAGCAAATCACAGGAGTTGCTTGTGGCCAGGATTGGGGGCATAACTCGGGGGGGGGGGCTAGAGGAGGAAGCGGTCAGTGGGGAAGAGATGGGGATACTGTCAGAGTATTAGGCAGCAGTCTTTCCTTCGCTTGTGCATTGAGACTTGGTGGTAAGTATGTCATCTGTCAGCTCCTAGAGAATGGAAGCTGAGTGAACAGTTATTAACATCACTGTGGCCACAAACAGCTAATGTGGATTTGGAGCTGTTGGTAGTCAGGTGGGTGAATACTGTATTTATTGTATTGCATGTTCAAATACTGCTGGGTGTTGCTCTTCTACTACTAATATCAGTTTCAAATAAGTATAGTTGTAGGGTGCTTCTGTGACAAAAGGTTAAGGTTGTAAAGATCTATGTATCTTTGTGAGTCATATATGAATTTGCTAGCTTCAGGCTGGGATTCCGAGGAGATCTGGGTGTTAAGTCCTTCAGACATTACACTTGCTGCAGTTTAATTCCCTTGAACAGAAAATGTGGATCTGGAAAGTTCTTTTTCTGCTATCAGAAACAAGTCTGGGCAAAGATTCAGCTGATTTAAGCTGAATCTATATTCAAATCATACATAGAAACATTAAAAGTATTAAAATACAGAGCAGTGCTAAAACATTCATGCTGATTACATGGCCTCATATGTGTTAACTTCATTTCCTCACTACGTTTCCCCCTACACTGTTTACATAAAATGGATTACAGAACAAAGCATAATACTCTACTTACACTGCTCATGTTTATGATAAAGGATAATATTTGTATTTTTGAGCGTGTGGAATATATCATTTGTTCATAATCTTTTCACCCCGTTGCAGGGCCTGTAAATATTTATTTGTAATCTTAGATGCATTTAAGCTGTATATCGGAAACAAGTGATCTCTGGGAGATAAGAACTCATTAGTGGATTAGTTCTTAGAAGAGATGTGCTTACAGTAACTTGCATCACTACAAGTTGGTATGTGCTGAAGATTAAAAGCACAGCTTGACCTAATCGTTCATTCCTTTGTGAGCAAGAGTTTTTCTCAGCATGTTGATATATTACTTGGTCCTCAAAGCTGTTCTTTTTTCCCAAAAAATGGAAGCACAGGGTTCTGTGGTACTTGCACATACGATACAAGAAACACACACAAAAATTTTCTAAAAATTTTCCATTTCCCTCCCCTGCCCTCCCTTCCACATTTACCCTTTTCAAGTTTTTTTCAGCTTTGTATGTGGCTATCGCCTAACATGTTCTGAAAGATTGAGGGATCTCTTGTAAGGAGCATCACTGAAACTTGGTAAAATGTATGCAGAGTGGCATGAGGCTTAATAATATATTTTTCCATCACAAGTCGGCTTGAGATCTACACTAACAGTATTCTGTGTTAAATATATTTTTATCTGTTTCCTATCAGATTCCTTTGTGTTGGGCTATCAGTATAGGTTGCCCTGAGGCAATACTTGCATTGGACAAACTTTATATCGTCTGTGTATGCTAAAGAACTGAGAATTCTGGGTGGTTATCTGAAAACATGACTCAGCTAGATTTCACCCCCAGCAAGGGATAGGAGGAAAGGTGTCCATGTGTGAAAAGAACAATAAAGTACAGCCTGAGGGAAACTAGTGTTCATTTCCAGTGACCAGTTTATTGAGCATTCATTTTGATTTGTTTGCACAAAATTTATAGGGAGGTTAGACAGCAATGGCTGTTTGTCAGGCATTCATTCTGATTTGTTTGCAGGAAGGTTAAACAATGTTGCATGTTAAACAAATGTTACCCCCATACTTTCCAGTGGTTTCACCTTTACTTTAAAAAAATTGCAAAAAATCCAATTTTGGAAGGAAGCAAGTTTATTGCCCAAGAACTCAAAATCAGTTTTAATTGCACAAGCTGACTTTGCTGGTAGGTGACTGCACCCCCCCTAAAAATAATGACAACTTAGAAGTGTTCTAAAGCAGGTGAGGGTAGCTGATTGGGTCTCAAACCCTCAGTGAGTTCGGGACTTCCCCTGCATGTGAAGACAGCTGATTGAGTGGATGAGACCAATAGTGGGGCCAGTGGTCAAGAAGGCGGTTTCTGCATGTGCATCATGAGTGGGTGGGTGGAAATGGGACTCCTCAACCTGGGAAGGTAGCCCATCTAGGAGAAGGAAAACTCTGATCCTAAACCTCCGCTGCCTTGCGGGATATCTTTGTGAGAAGAAAAGGCTAAGGAGCAAACCATACACAAATCCGGAGTGGAGTCCCTAACTCAGTTTGATGGTGCCTTGTGCGTCTCTTTCTGGCAGCCCCTGCAGCCAAGCTGGTGTCGAACATATTGCTCTGCTTTCCTTTGGACCACATCAGCAAGTCCCAGAATGAGGTCTTGTCATCTGGGCAACCCGGTACCTCCATATACACAGCCCAGGCTCGTGCCCCAGGGAAGTTGCTTTGGTGCTGCTGACACAGCGGTTTGACTTCACCCCCGGAGGTGCACTCCATTGTCTCTCAAGACAGACAGATACCAGCAGCGTGTATGTCCCTTAAATGAAATGGTTTGGATTAATATCCAATTAAAATATATTTGAGAGTGCTTTTTTAAATAACCCAAACAAAACTAATAATGCGGAACAGTCAATGAACCTTGATTTGAGGCTGACAGTAAACATTGTGGTTTTTCATATATGACAGATTACTTGCACTCAGCAACAATAGTTCATATTTGAAATTCAACTGTCCTGCATGGGCCTTTTTTCTGGACTTGAACTTGTGTGCCCCATTTATTTATTTATGCCATTTATTTACCACTTTTCATTTAAAATTGCAACATGGTTCAGAAATAAAAATTACAATGCAAAAAATTAATAGAAGAAAATACATTAACATCATAGATGCTTCACGTGCACAAACATGGCTTGATTCCTGTGTCCAGCAACTGGATCCATTTATATGATGCTTGTTTATGGATTAGGGTCCCATGCAGTGTTGAACATATGGTTGGTGCTGTCCGGTTTGACAGTGCTGATTACCTGCTCAGGAAAGGATGTCTTTTTTCTTAAGGAAAAGTTAGGTAACCTTTAATTCTGCTTCATACATTTCTCTCAGAGGCTTTTTTTCTGGCGAAAAGCCTGCTACTCTAACCAGGTTGGTTCGTTGACTTCATTATCAAGCTATTTGCTTGTGCCTAAACTGGGGTCATGATTTCTTTTGGTCCCACTTTCTTCCTGTTCTATCCCTTCCTTACAATCCTTTTTTTCTTCTAAGGGCCCATGGCTAAAGGTTAATGATCATTCACATTTTCTACGCTGTAATAGTACTCTTCCTCAGTATTCTGTACTCTGCTTTCTCAAGTGAATGGTGCATGGCTATCTAGGTCAGGGCTAGCCAATGTGGTGTCCTCCAGATGTTGTTGGACTACAGCTCCCATCATCCCTAGCCGCTGCCTGTGTCATCTGGGGATGATGGGAGCTGTAGTCTAACAATATCTCAAGGGAACCACGCTGGCCACTTGTAGGCTTCCATAATGTCTCTTCCACCTTTGGCTTTCTAACGCTTAACATTTGCAGCCAGAAACCTTACCAGGTGATGAATAAAAACCCCTCCTTTTCTCTCTCATCCTGCACCCTCAGTTTCCTATTCTTTCTCTCATTAAAAACCATCCTGTTTTCTCACCATTTTTAGAGCTGAAGCATGTTCTGTTGGAATAATTTCCTTTCCTTTTGCTAATTTTCACTCCGTCTTCTGTCCTCTCTCATTTTAAATTGACTTTTTCATGGTCCACCTTGCCTTCTTTCATTTATTCCCACCCTGTTTTTGTAAAAAGAAGAAGCTAGAAGTTACTTTTTCTCTCCAGCTACCATCTCCTTTCTACCTCATTTTTTCTCTCCAGTTCTTATATTAACCCTTTTTACAATTCTTGTCATTTTTCCCCCAGTCCTTGTAAGATTCCCAGGAAAATGTCATCCTTAGTTGCTTGCTTGATGTTACACAGCAGATGCCTCTTTCTCTCTCTTTTTAAAGGAAGGCAATTGTGGGAGGCTGCCAGTTTGACTGGAAGAATGAATAGTGAGGCAGAAGACTGCTTAACCTGTTCTCCTCTGATCATTTTTTCCACTAAGGCTCCCTGCTCTCCTGCTGTCCCTTGGAAGCAAAAAGGTGATTGTGTACCAAACAAAAGTGCAGTTATTCATGGGATCCTAGATTTGGTTCCTGGTTGAAGTTTAGTGCTGCTGCTGCTGCTGCTGCTGCAAGGACAAAAAAAATGAACAAATCAAGGCATCCTGCTCTTCCTCTGCTAAGGGAATCTTAAACATTGTTATGCCTTCTATAAAGCCTACCTTGTTTTAGTGGACTTTGATGTGAATAACCAAACGAAATCAGAACTCACTTTTGGTTAGTAAGCATGCAATCACAGAATGAAAACAACAACACTTTTTTAAAGGAATAACAGTTCTATTTGGCTCAGTGCAATCTCATGACTGCTTGATGACAAAAATAATAGATCACCTTGTTTATCTCACTCATGGATTTGTGGGTGTCATCTTCAGCTATGTTTTCATTACGTTGCTGCGCTGCATTCATTAATAATAATACTGCTGTATCGTATGTAAAGTATGGCACCAGTTCCGAGTTTCTCAACTTGCTATTTATTACATATATACAGTATTTAGATAATGTGTGCCCCACATTTTTTGCTTAGAAAGAGAAAGTGGCTTGCATCCTTACAATGAAGTGCAGTGGTCAAGTCATCTCTGTCTCTGATCGTAGAGAAGGATAACCTCCAGATTATGTTGTTTCTGGGACATCTTCTTAGGGACCATTGAAGTACTTCCTAAGTTCCATTACACCAGATTCAGTGTCTTAGTAAATCATTTTAAAAGCGTCCTCCTTTTTTGCTTTTAGGCAACCTAAGCTTTCATCAATCAAAGATACCTACATCAGTTTTATTCAACCAGCATTCTATTTTCTGTATCAGTTTTGTGTAAATGTTCTAGTCATACTAGATAGATTCTTCCAAGTTGGTAGGCCCACCACCTGCCTCCTTGATCCGTACCCGTCTTGGCTGATTAGGGAGTGTCCAGATGTTGCGCGGACCCCCCTGGTTGAAATTATCAATTTGTCCCTTGACACGGGGACATTCCCAGGGGAACTGAAGGAAGCAGTGGTGTGTCCACTCTTAAAGAAAACTTCGTTAGATCCCTTAGACCTATCCAATTACCGCCCAGTTTCAAATCTTCCATATCTGGGTAAGGTAATTGAGAGAGCAGTTGCTGAACAGTTTGGTAGGTTTCTGGAGGAAACATCGGCTTTAGAGCCATTTCAGTCCTGTTTCCGTCCTGGTTTTGGGACCGAGACAGCTCTGGTTGCCCTCACAGATGATCTCCGTAGACAACTGGATCGAGGCGGGTCAGGACTGGTGATCCTTTTAGATTTGTCAGCAGCCTTTGACATGGTCGATCATGATCTTCTGGACCACCGCCTCGCAGACATGGGGATATAGGGCATAGCCCGTAACTGGCTGTGCTCTTTTATCTCTGGTCGGGGACAGAGGGTGGCACTAGGGAGGGAAATGTCGTCGCGCCACTCCTTGGTGTGTGGAGTGCTGCAGGGCGCAATTCTCTCCCCGATGCTTTTTAACATCTTTATGCGCCCCCTTGCCCAGATTATCCGGAACTTTGGGCTGGGCTGTCACCAATATGCTGATGACACTCAGCTCTATCGGCTGATGGATGGCCACACCGACTCAGCCCCGAACACACTGACCAGATGCTTGGAAGCTGTGGCTGGATGGTTTCGTGGGAGCCGATTGAAACTAAATCCTTCGAAGTCAGAGGTCCTCTGGCTGGGTCGGGATGGCATGGGGATGAGGGACCAACTCCCTTCTCTTGCGGGGGCCCAATTAGTGCCATTGCCTTCCGTTAAGAGTTTGGGTGTAATCCTTGATGCCTCCCTTTACATGGAGGCGCAAGTTACAGCAACAGCCAAGGCGACATTTTTCCACCTTCGCCGCATCAAGCAGTTGGTCCCTTACCTTTCCCGCCCCGACCTGGCCACAGTGATCCATGTGACGGTCATCTCCAGGCTTGACTACTGTAATTCGCTCTACGCGGGGCTGCCCTTGAAGCTGTCCCAGAAACTCCAGCGGGTGCAGAATGCTGCAGCGAGGCTCCTCACGGGGTCTCTGCCATGGGAGCATATTCATCCAGTGCTTTTCAAGCTGCACTGGCTCCCGGTGGAGTACAGGGTCAGATTTAAGGTGCTGCTTTTGACCTTTAAAGCCCTTCACGGCCCAGGACCCTCGTACCTACGGGACCGCCTCTCCCGATATGCCCCACGGAGAGCCTCAAGGTCCATAAATACCAACACCCTATTGGTCCCGGGCCCTAAGGAAGTTAGATTGGCTTCAGCCAGAGCCAGGGCCTTTTCAACTCTGGCTCCAGCCTGGTGGAACGCTCTGCCTCATGAGACCAGGGCCCTGCAGGATCTGATTTCTTTCCCGCAGGGCCTGTAAGACAGAGTTGTTCCGCCTGGCCTTTGGCTTGGAGCCAATTTGATTCCCTCCCTCTCTTTCTTTTTTCTTTTCCTTCTCCTCCTGCAAGGAGGCTACATTTTAATATTTTAATGTTTCAATATTTTAATGTTGTATTTTAATTTTGTTTTTAAGTTGTAATCATTCAACTTGTTTTTATTATTGCTTGTAAGCTGCTCTGAGCCCAGCATTGGCTGGGGAGGGCGGGGTATAAATAAAAAAATATTATTATTATTGTTGTTGTTGTTGTTGTTGTTGTTGTTGTTGTTGTTATTATACCTAACTTGCTTTACTGTTTTTCCAGAGCCTTAGGCCTAACTAAACAATATTGGGCTGTATCCAGCGTTTGCTGTCTGCTAATGCAAGGTCTCTTCTGTTAACAGATGAATGAGTTTTAGTGTTGTACAACAGAGGAGTAGTTGCATTAGCAGAAACTCATGCAACACCTTGCACAGTCTGTTGCACAACAAAGTTAGCAGCAACCTGCTTCTGCGCTCTCTTTTGCAATAACATTCCACTGGTTCAAAGCTAGTGGAGCGAGTATGCCAATGAGTGACTTTAATTTAGCAGTATGCTGGATACAACCAGATGTAAGCAAAGCCCACAAATTAAAATTGGGGCACTACTGAATCCTTATGAAGACGAGTGGGGCAGTGGGAGTGATTTAGAGCACATTAGGCTTCTGGGGGAAAGGGGTACTAAGTCTTCCCCCGCCCCCACCCCCAAATCACCCCTCTCTGTCTTCTCTCATTGGACTGACTGCTGGGCTTATCTGCTGGGGTTATCTTCACTGGAAATTGATCCTTGATCATAAAAATTGTGCAGTGAGAAAGGGTTATAAGCCCCTCTCCATTGCTTCTATGAACAAATTTGCACTCTCTTGCATCTGCAGTACAGAGTTTTTTTTAGCGAACGTTAAGAGATTTGTGATTTATCTCATGGGGAACGTAGATTGGTTTTTTAGTCTCTCAGATTATATAACAGAATCATAGTCTTAACATTTCCCTTGAAACGTGTTAGGAGGCTGTGGCTGGTTGAGAATGTGATAGCCTCTTGGCAGGAGTTGGTTGCTGGAAGCATACTGATGCATATTTCGGTGTTGTATTTATTTTTTATAAAGGTAAAGGACCCCTGACAGTTAAGTCCAGTTGCAAACGACTCTGGGGTTGTGGCGCTCATCTCGCCCTATAGACTGAGGGAGCCGGCAATTGTCTGCAGATAGTTTTTCTGGGTCATGTGGCCAGCAGCGCACGGAAACGCCATTTACCTTCCCGCTGGAGCGGTACCTATTTATCTACTTGCACTTAGACGTGCTTTCAAACTGCTTGGTTGGCAGGAGCTGGGACCGAGAAACGGGAGCTCACCCTGTCACAGGGATTCGAAACACCAAGCTTCCAATTAGCAAGCCCAAGAGGTTCAGTGGTTTAGACCACAGCACCACACGCATCCCTGTATTGATTTAGGAACCTATAAATGGCTTTGGAGACTCTCCCTGCCCCTCTCACTGCAGTCTCTTACCTTTTAGCCAGTGGCAAGCTGTTGACAGTGCCCTATTTGTGTTACGTTTGAACAGGGAAATAGATGCTGACCGTCTAAACGACTTACGTTTCTTATAAGTTAGGGTTCTTCCTAAGTTTTCTGAGATCAGAAAGCTATTTTCTGTTCGTGAACCGGAATCTATATCACTTATTTATTTCAGGTTCCTGAGTGTCCACTTTTTTAGGCCTTGTGACAGGTTACAACTTTGCAACTGTAAATTTGTAAACTGTATTTTTAAGAACATGAGAGGAGCCTGCTGGAGGCCAGTGGCACATCTAGTCAAGCATCCTCTTCTCACGACAACCATCTTTTTTTATGTGTGTGTGCATAACATGTAAGGCTGAATCGCATATCTATAGGTCATAATTAAATCTTCTCCTATAATTTCCCTGTTCTTCTGATTGTTCCGAGAGCTTGTAAAATATATTCTATATCAAAGGAATGGAACAGCAAAGCAACCTCTGCAGGTATAGATGGCCTTTGTGCTGCTTTCCCCCATCATTTTTAAAGGTCTGACTTGTTCTGGGAACATTTCAGGTAGTGAACCCAATTGCCACATCTTAGATTCACCATTAGCCTTCTGGTAAGCATCATGTTAGCAGGATGTTTACATTTTAAATATATATTTTAAAAATTACACTAAAATGCACTTTTTTTTTGCTTTAAACATGATTAAAGTAGTCATATAATAGTAGTTCTTAAACAAACAACCAAAAAAGCTTTAGCACAAATGAAGCAATTGGGTTTTTTTTTAAAAAAACCCAACATGTTGAAATGATGTGATTTGACACCCAGTCTCTTACTTATCCACAGGACCGTCTTTACCTGGGGGTGCAAGGGGTGTGGGTCACCTGGGTGCCAAATTCTGCGGGCGCGCCAGGCGCCCGCCGCTGAAGCCACATAAGCTCTTAACTATCTACCTGTTATGAAATAATAAATAATTTTGATCAAGCTGACATTCAAAGCCAGCCGCTGCTGCCGCCTCCACCCTGGCTGCTTTCTCCTCCCCGGAGTCCCGCCCTGCATGGAGAAGCATTGCTGTCTTGCCCAGTGGCTGCTGTGTCCCTCTTCTTCTCCTTCCTCCTCCTGGGGAGCTTTTAAAAGCACCTGGATGTGAAGCTGCGCCCCTTTGTGGAGCTTGGACACCCGGTTCTTGAGGGGCGATGACAGCAAGACTCAGAAGAGCAGGGTGCCACTGCCGTGGCCTCACCTGCAACCGCGGAGAAGTATATCTTGGGTGTAGACGTGGGCAGCACTAAATTTGGGGGTGCTGGGTGGATCTTTGCACCCGGTGGCGCGTATGCTAAAGACGGCCCTGCTTATCCATGTGGCTGTATTACAGCCACCAGTATGAACAGAACATAGCAGGATGCATATGTAAAAAAAATGCTGTCACTGCTGAAGTGTAGAAAGTCAGCTGCTGTCACTTATAGCGGGAGAGCAACGACTGGGTTGCGTTAAAAGCTCCATCTGGAAGCACTACATAGACTATGGTTGGCGAGCCCTTTTGCCTATTTGTGTATGTTTATATTGTGTGAAGTGTCTTTTCCAGTATAATCCTATGCATGTCTATTTGGAGGTGAGTCCCATTGAGTTCGGTTCCAACTTTCACGTCTTTTAGCATCCTTCCCTGAGTATATTAGTTCTTGGAGGTACGTTTAGCTGCTTTCTAGTACCAGGCAAAGAAGACTCCCAATTAATTGTTCCTGTGCTCTTTAGTTGAATGTGCAGGAGCAAGATTTAACTTATATGCATTTGGCCCAGTTACTTAACCGCAGTGTATGTCACGCAGGGGCCTCATGAAAGGATTTTCCTTAGAGGGCCTCTGCAAATATGTTGGAGATGGGCCTCGAACTCTTGGCTTGGAACTGCCTTTTCCGTAGCAGAGATGGTAGTAATGGTAGTCATTGATCCAGGGACGTGCAGCCTGGGTTTTTTCAGTGAGTACACAAACTCCCTTCTTGTAAACTGAAGTGTTTTGCTGATTATTTTGTCAGTTGATGTAAATTAGTTGCACGCTAGAGAGATGGTAAAAGTTCAGATGGTGTGTATGATTTTTCTTCACCTTCTTTGCTCTCCTTGTAAGATTCAAACGCTTTTTATTTGCTTTCTCACATTATCTGGATTTTGATTTGTTGTGTATAATGATCTCTTATTTGATAATCTTATTTGATAATCAAATATTCGGGAGACAAGATTATCACAGAAGTTACTAAAAAAAAAAGACGAGGGATGGGGAGGCAGGGAGACAGCTAGGCTTGACAATATTAAATGCTGATCATGGGATTAAAACTGTCTTAAAATGGACGAAGCTTTTGTAACGGCTTATATAAAAATATTTTAACTGTGTGGGGTTTGGGTGGGAGAATGAACATCTAGCTGTACAGGGATTGTGTTTATACTGGACTCCAGTTTATATTGCTGTGATTCTGATGTTCTGATACAGCCTCGGGGGCAGTTTCCCATTTGTGAGGTGCAGCTGTATCCCTTACTATTAGCATTCAGAAAGAATCTAAAAACATTCCTGTTTACCATTTGGTGGCTGAAAGATATGGTTACTGGCAACCAAGAAATTATTTTATAGAAGTTTAAAATACCCTTTTTTATTTTTAATTATATTTTTGAAACTATTTTGTATGCCTTCTTTGGCAGGGAAGGGCAGGATATACATTGGAATAAATAAATAACTGTGCTTATCAAAACGAGAAATCCACCACGGAGACATAGCTGTGGCTAAGGATGCTGGTAGTGGTGTGAATCTCGCTGTGTAATCTTATGCATGTCTACTCAGAAGTAAGTCTCATTGAATTCATTGCAGCCTTAGGTGCCTGTCCTCCTTACGTGCCACAATATGAATTGGGTTTTGAAGGACAGAACTAGCGAAACTGAATGAAAAGGGAAGGATTCCTAGGGAGGCATATATGAGTGCCATTAAAAACAATGTATAAGTTGTTCGTGTTTTTGACAATTCATTAATTCCTCGCCTCTGGAAGTAGGAGTTGTATGGAAACTCATTCTCAGTATAAATGTCACAGGCATTTTGGTCCTCAGCCCAGAGACAGTGTTTTCAGTGCCACCACCTTAAACATTATTCATAAACCAGGTGCTTTGGAAACAAAATATGTACTGATTGCTTTTACCAGATTTACAAAGCAATCCTATTCATGTTTGTTTTCATGTGCCATTGTGTTTGATAAGGCTTACTTCCAGGAAAAAGTATGCACCCAATCCCATATGTTATACCCATTTACCTGGGAATAAGCTCCATTAAACTCAATGGGACTTACTTCTGAGTAGATAGGTGTAGAATTGTGCTATAAGGCCAAAGTCCTCCACACACTTACTAAAGAGTAAGCCTCTTTCTACAAAATGGAATTCATTTATAACTGAACATTCATTGGATTGGGCTGTTAGAACAATTACAGAAATAACCAGTATACAATTCAGAGTGTGTTTTTTACATAGAAAAGTTATTGAAAGCACTACAAAACCACCAGTAAAATGACTGGCTTTTCCACAAAATTTCTTAACAGTCAGCCCTCTGAAACTTGGGGGACAGCTAGCTTGTTGCCTCTGTAACACGGACTCTATAATACGAGGGACAACTTGTTGCAGCTAAATTGTAAATACTTTTAGAAGAAATAGCTACACTAAAGCATAAATGCATTTGTTACATGCATTATGTCATTTGTACTAGCCAGAACTAGTGTTTCCCACTATTATGTAATGCATAAAAATTAAAGCTGGCATTGAGCAGAAAATAACCACAACTGAACAGCTCCCATTCTCCATTCAGAAGCTTGTTCTATATTAAGCAGCACTGGTCCTTTGCAGGATATGCCAGCTAATCCCAAATTATCTGTTAGCATTCCCCTGAAATGAGGCCTTTCACAGAAATTCTGTTGTATAATACAAGTACAAAGTCTGTTGCACCTGTATCCTTGCACATCTTTTTTGTATATAGAAAAACATGGACAATAGAAGGGTTTTATAACTTGGAAAGCTGATGCAAAATCAAATAACTTCGGGTTTCCTTTAATTTAAGAGAGACAGCATTCATCTTTCAAGTAAAGATCTACTGAAGTAAATTCATAGTATAGTCACACTCCTTCTGAGTGATTCCTTCATAGTTTGAATGTAAAACATGCATCCAAGCACCTATTGCTGTTCAGTCACCAGGTGACCAGTAGCCCAATATGCCCATCTTTAAGGGCATTGGGGCACTTACTGTGGGAGGCCTTTTCTGCAATTCACGCACAAGAAGCTGCTGATTTGGACATTGGTCCATCTAGTGCAGTCTTTGTCCACACCAACTGGGATTGACCCTGGGACTGTCTGCTTTCAAAGCAAGTGCTCTACCGCTACAGCCCATCTACCTCAACCATCCAATTCTCTATTTCAACAGAATATTTATGATGTCCCCCTTTCTCTCCTTTCACTTCTGATGTCCCTGCAACATCTGCTTCAAAGTCGTTCTAATCTTCGGCTCATTAATATAACATGTTCTGCTTTGTTCTAATACAGGCTTCCTCAACCTCAGCCCTCCAGATGTTTTGAGACTACAATTCCCATCATCCCTGACCACTGATCCTGCTAGCTAGGGATCATGGGAGTTGTAGGCCAAAAAAACATCTGGAGGGCCAAGGCTGAGGAAGCTTGGTCTAATATAGGCTTGAGCCCTAGCTCAACAAAACACTTAGCTCCACTGGTGACTTAGTTTAACCTTCATTAGTTAGACAAACCGTGTGCCATCTTACAGACTAGCAAGCAAGCTGTGGCTTGTTTCTCCAAAGCTTGGCTTGTTTTTCAGCTGCTTTTGCCTTGTGCTCTTGTCCCATGGAATGGGGTGGTCAAACAAAGAATGGTTAAGCAAGGTTGTTGGGTTCAAACAGAACACCAAGTTCTAGTTACACTTAGTATCAGCCATGGTTTGTAAACCAACAAGAAATTCATGGCTTCATTGTTTGGTGGGAAGAAACCAACTATGGTTAGTAAGCTAGGTTGGGTTTGCACGTTCAGATTAATAATAGTTTGTGACCTTTGCATGAAGGGTGGTATATAAATTTAATAAATAATAATAAGTTAAGTTGAACAAAGCATGCCATAGTTTTATATGTGAACAGTCCTCTTGTTATACCGTCAATAGATTAGTAGCTTTCATTGACAGTCTATTTATTCTCATAATAATACATTATAATGCTGGCATATATTTCCCATTTGGTGTTAACTGTATGTTAAAAATACTATTTTTTGAATACAGAATGAAATAACATCTTGCTCTACAAAAGTGAGACTCTGGGAAGTGGGTATAAAAGAATGGTTTTATTCTCCGATTGACATTTTTAGATTGGCTAGAACAAACTTAAAAGCACTCCACTTTCAACCATGTTGAAAGCTATCTCATACTTTTGGGCGTTCAACATATCCATTTGGATAATACATCTAGTCAGTATATGAGGAGAAGGGATTCATGCCATAAGACTCTGAGAATTTTAAAGAAGGCAGAAAGGAAGAAAATATAGGCCAAATATAATATTTCCCCCAGTTAAGTGTAAAAATATTGCTTCTGACTCTTCGGAATAAAGTTGGTCATCACACTTCTGTAGAATGTTGTTTGCAGAATACAGGGCATCGCTTTAACTTCTTAGCAAAGGTAGAAGTTAGAGTTTCACCTTTTTCTCTCCACTGTTTAAATAGCTTGCTTTTTCAATTGGTCATGTATTTGTTTTTCCTCTGAAAAATTTGGCAACTACATGGTACTGTTTATGCTGGCAGTAAACAAATAGCTATAATTCTTTCACATTGTCAAAAGTAATGGTTTTTAGAGCTAAACAGTTAATACAAACTTGAGTTTCAAAATATTATCCTATGTATTGAATGGGTTTTGGTTTCCAAACTCAACACCTGCTTTTCGGTTCTACGACTTAATACCATCTCTGCAAGTACCGTAACTTCATCTGAGGATGCAGTGAAATTTTAATTTGCAAGTCTTATGTTTCATAATATTGAGGTTTGGTTGTCTCTCAATAGTGTTGTTGTTTAGCTGAAGAGGATGCAACACACCTTACCAAAGTCATTTTCCATTAGCCAAGTTACAGTGTTATTTAATCCACACAAAGTTTATCATATACGACCAGCCCATTTAAGTTAGTATCATCTTAATTGTCCATGAAGGTACTAATACTGTGTCTTCACATCTTTGTTGGCAAGTGGTTTTTTAAGAGCATTGTGAATCTCTCGAGGGGTGGATGAGCACCATTTCCTCCCTACCCTCACAGCCAAAGGATGTACAGCAGCAGAATGTTTTGGGGTAAGATCAGGGGAGGGCAATGTGTTTTGCTTCCTCCTGAAACCCCCTTAGGTCCAAGCAGATGCTTGGACTGATACACATACACCCCTCCCCTTTAAATAGATAGAAGGAAGTGTCAGGACTTATCTAGAAGAAAAATTTCCCATTCCCTCTTCCATCACAATTTTATTGATTGGACACAGGTTTTCAGATTGGTATTTAAGATGCATCTATGTCTTCATTGCATCCTTACTTTATATAAGGTATAAAGTGCAATTGATTCCCAAACCAGTATCCATGGGGCAAACAATACATTAAACACAGATGGGTATAACAAAGAACAGATGGTTTTGTTTGCTAAGGGGGGGGGGGACAGCATGGGGAGACCGCAGTGCTGCACAGAAAATAGTGCTTGTCCATTGACTATTGCCCAAATCAAAATCACATTCCTACTGCAGTGGAAAAAGATGCAGGTACACTTACCTAACTATAGTTTACTCCTTGGTAAAGTGCACTGCATCTTCAGTTTTGCCAGTAGCAAAGATTGCATTTCAAATTTCTGGAGCGCATTCAGTTTAAGTAGCATCAACAAATATTTCATGTCCAGTAAATTTTGGTACAGTTCTTAAGATCAAATTTATTATAATGGTCTGGAAGCAGTTTATATGAATCACTTTTAAGAGCCTGTTTATGACTAAACAGGCTTTGGTAGTACATGGAAAAAATGGAAATGGGCTATAAAGATATTTCAGAGTAGTGTTTCTGTTTTATTTTAAGTGATATACAATCGTAAGAGGGTTTCTTTCCTTGCTTCGGTTAAGTGTCCTTAGCAATTTAAACATTGGTGCAATGAAGTAGATTAGATCTCAGTTTTGTTTTCCAGGATAAATGATTAGGATCTTCTCCATCAAGTATTGGCAAGTTTTGAAAAGCATACAGAAAAAAATACATTAAACTAATTTGGGAGGAAAATGCAGAGAGACAGGAATCATTTATCTAATGCTTTTTGTTTGCTGTATGATTATGTTTATTTATTTCATAAAATTCTCAAACAGCTTGATTGCATATAACCTCACAGTAGTTTACGAAAAGATAAAGCAATAAAATTATCACTTAGAAGGATTAACAATAATAATTTAAGACATTTGAAAAGTTGAAATAACAGCAGTAGACTGAAAGCAGATCAGAACTCACATCAACATTCTTAAACTTTTGAATAGGCTTGTCTAAACAAAAATGTTTTTAGCAGGCGTTGAAAAATGTACAGTGAAAGCTGCCTGTCTAGTATCAATAGGTAAGGAGTGTAGGTGACGCCACACTAAAATATCAAACTCTGACTGAAATCACCTACAGGCAATTCCCCACTCCTGCGTGTTCAAGGTTCACATGGCCGCGCACAGGCGTGCCGTTTTTGGCCCTGGAAGGGGATGGAGCGGGGGCAGGGCAAGAATGGGGTGGGGTGGAACAGGGGGATCCCCATTTGCGTGCAACCTGGTGATGTGTGCAGCAGCCGGGAACAGAACCCCTACATAAGTAGTGATTCTCCTGTACTTATTGTAGACAGATTACATCCTAGTGCCATTTAGAACTGTTTTGGAGGTAAAATGTAAATGCCCTGCATATTTGTGTTAGGTCAACACTTGGTACAAATTAGTATGAATCGTGTTACAGTTTACTGAGTTTGTAGTTTTGAAGTCCCAAATGTGGAGGAAGAACGTATCAATTCCATAGCGCAATAGGTTGGGTCACATGGTTGGGGTTATTGAAAGCCGTTGAAGCTGCCCTTGAGAGTAACCCATGGATGACACACTATGTGAGAATTACTTGAACATTGACATTGTCTTTCTTCCTATCCAGTCAAATTGCTGCTTCAGGCAGAAGAGAGAGGAGTCGTGTCAATCAAAGGTGTGTGTGCAAACCGTTTCCTTTCTATGAATGAAGATGGCCGGTTGTTAGCACTGGTAAGCAGTTTCTTTCTCCCTCTCGTATTGGGGTGGAGCTAGATGTCATGGAATGCCTTTAATGCTTTTTTAAAATCCTCATAATTTGGTGCAGTTACAGGAGAACATAGCTCCACCTGTAGGCATTAATTAATACCTTTCTTGGACTTCCACTGTGGTACAGTGGAACCTCGACTTTTGAACGTAATCCATTCCGGAAGACCATTCGGCTTCTGAAACGTTTAAAAACTGAGGATCAATGGGCTGCAAAGTAAATGGGGGAAAAAATGAAAAACATGCCTCAGAAGCCATTCGACTTTTGAGGAATGTTCAAAAACCGGAGCACTTACTTCCAGGTTTTCAGCGTTCAGGAGCTGAAACGTTCGAGAATGGAGGTGTTTGAGTTGCGAAGTTTGACTGTACTTCCATTTTTGGGCTATCTTTGATGGCCGGGGTTAAGCAATATTTTCTTTAAGTATATTTTAGCATTTACATTAGTGTGGGTTAATAATGGAAGTCAGTAAATAAAAATATGGTAGTAAATACACTGGCGGAATCCAGAGATAATTGTGCTTAAGTCTAATCAAAATCAGTAATGTGCATTTTCCAAGACCTTTTGTATTAGAAATTTTTCAGTTTGCATCAAAAAATTTCTGGTGCCCTTGAGGATAATCTGATTTAGCATGCTTATTTTCCTTGTTTTGAATAAACAAAGTTAAAAACTTTGAAACTGCAAAGCTTGCCTAATAATGTATTTGCATCCCTTCATTATTATTAATGAATTCATTGACACTTTTTGTGGAAAAAATAAAGCCCTGGAAATTTGTTCCACCCCACATCCCTGATTGAAATGGGCAAATTGTAGTTTGTGCCCAATTAATTTCAATGGGACTGACAGCACAACAGTATACATGTCCACTCAGAAGTATTTCCCATTACCTTTGCATGTAATACTAACCCAGGATATGCAGAAGGGATGTGCATTTGTGGACAGCCTTATTCATAAAACAAACCAGGATTCAACGCTTACCATAGTTTCCTGTTACATGCAAACCAGAAAGGAATATTAATGGCTTCAAAACAAGCCAGGATATTAAGCCAGTTTAAACCATGGCTTCGTATCCTGGTCTGTTTTGAAGCTTCAGGTTTGCATATTATGGAGTGCTGAATCCTGGCTTGTTTAGTTGCTTGTGTGAAGAGACTAGAGGAGCACTTCCTATAGGGGCACACAGTGCGTATCTGTGAACCATCCTAAGATCTATGGATGAAGGGCAGTAAACAAAATTTAGTAAAATAAATAAATATCCTGTCTTATTGAACTAGGATTTTTGGCTTAGCATTCCATGTAAATGCAGCCACTGATTTCAGTGGAATTTACACTTAAGGAAGTTTGTTTAAGTTTGCAGACTCACTTACCTTATCTCTATTAAGGGTGGACACTTAATGTGTATAAAAACTAAATATTTTCCATTCCTTATTACATAAGGCAGTGTTGACCTTTGATCGGGTAATTAGACAGCTAGTTTACAAAAGGCTGTTGTGTTGAATCTTTTTGTAAACTACCTCTCTAATTTGGAAGTAGTAGTTGGAAGTTTTCATTTATGTGGATGTGGGAGTGTGTTACCTATGTGAGCTTCAAAGATAAAATAAAATAGTATTCTGATTGTATGTGTATTATCCTTTTGCTAAATGGGTGTGAATGCTGATCAAGTCTTAAATACTTCTGATTAGACTATTTCGTGACAGTAGCAGACTATGAATAACGTTTTCTTCCTTCATTTTCAGAAATACATAACAGATGAATGCTTCTTTTTTGAACGCTTGGAATCTAATAACTACAATACATATCGATCTCGTAAACATAGTGATTGGTATGTCGCACTGAAACGAACTGGGCAGTACAAACTCGGACCAAAAACTGGACGAGGACAGAAAGCTATCCTTTTCCTTCCAATGTCTGCCAAGAGTTGATTTTAGTGGCAGAGTCTATAAAATATACTACAGCAGTGGTAAACTTCCGCTTTGCCACAAGACAGAAAAATGTGACCAAATATTTGCCAGGACTTGCAGATTGATTGTAGAACTGTGTATGTTTTAAGCCTTCTAACTGTTTTAATTCCTGGAACCATATATGTGTGTATGTGAATGTGTCAGGCTCGAACACCAATGCACCAGCTGAATATTACGCTTGTTTCCAACTTGATGGTTTGGGGGTAGAGTTAAAAATATATATTATTTGGGCCATTCAAGATGAAAGGGGATTAAAAATGTGCATAGTTAGAGAAACATTAGCATTTCAAATGAAATAATATATATTATCCTTTTAGAAGGTAGAAAAGGGAATTTGATTTGGAACAGAATATACGTATATTTTAGTACAAGGGATTTTTTTTCTAAGCCAAAAAACGACAACACTAAATGTATTGCTAACCTGTCATGTTTCTATAATTCTCTGGCAGCTCTCTGTGGTACAGCTTATAGAAAAGGCCTGTATACACAGATGGAAATTCTCTCACGGTTAAATCAATTTTATCAAACCCTTCCCTATACCCATAAAGAAGCAATCTAGCAATACTGCTGGTGATTGGAGTAGTGTCTGATGTCTTGGCAAGCTCAGCTAGGTCCATCCACTCACACCTCAGGCACTCCTGTTGGCATAAACTGATTTTGAAAGAGGAAGGCTCCATTCGGCAGATGATGTACATATCTGACTTGCCAAAGGCCCCCGGGTGTCTGTGTTGCTGCCGTATGCTTAGGAGGGACTTGAATTCTGACTTAATGCCAGTCTCCTCGAAAACCTCTCGAACTGCTGTGTTCCCTAAGGAGGAGGAAAAGAAAGAGTTCCTTTTTTAAAAGCATTAACTGTAATTCTCTCCTCCATCTTCTCTCTCGCTTTGCCATTAGATTTTCAGTTGTGGTAAACATGCATTCAACAGCACCACCCCTCCCTCTGTTAGACTGAGTGAAAAATATATCTCCCCCCCCAAAAAAAAACCCCTCTCCACAAAATACTTTGGTTGTAGATATTATAAAAGCACTATTGCAGGTGTTTTAATTTGAAATGCAATGTATATGAAACCACCTTATACCAAACAAAGCAATTGCTGTCAAAGTTTTCTGTGCTTTTTAAAAACTGAGCTACCGCATTTATCATAGGTACGACCTGAATCCTAAAACTGTAGATTTGGAAGGGACCACTAGGAACATCCTAGTCCAGCCCCCCAAAATGCAGGAGTAGTTTGCCCAATGTGAGACTCAAACCCATGATCCTGAGATTTAAGAGTCCCATGCTCTACTGACTGAGCTATCCCAGAGCTTCAAAACACAACCTTGGCCTTAAATATAGGCAGCATTAATAAATTTCTTAATTTCTGATATGTAAAACTTACATTTTGGAAATGTGTTTGTGGCTCTAAAAATAATTTTAAAAAGCCCAGTCCAGCAAATGCATAATTAGGAATTATGAAATTAGGTATATGTCTTATGTGTAATTATTAATCAGTCTGTGGTTTTAATCATGGGTGATATACAGTATCACTGTCCATAAGTAAACTAAAATAAATGGGTTATACAGTGGCACTTACAATTATAAGCACATGTGGAAGACAGAGCCACTCCTTCCAAGTAGTAAGTAGCCTGTTATTGCAAGAGTTCATTGTGGATTTAAGAGTGACCTAGCAATGGTGTTACTGACATTACAATTGTACCTTGGATCCTGGACACCTTGTGACTCAAACATTTTGGCTCCTGAATGCTGCAAACCCCAGGTGTGGGTGTTCCGGTTTGCGAACGTTCGTTGGAACCTGAACGTCCAACGCGGCTTCAGGAAGCTCCTGCAGCCACGCCTTGGTTTTCTAACGTTTTCAGAAGTCGAAAGGACTTTCTGAACGGATTCCGTTTGACAACCAAGGTGCGACTGTGTAAGTTATGGCTCTAGAGTTATGTCTCCCATTCAAATGTTCAAGTGGGCTCCCCATTTGTTCTGAGTTTGTTCCCTGTTTTGAGTTTCCTTCATTTGAGGCCAAGGAAGTCGGCAGATATTAAAATGTAAGATTTTAAATTAATTCCCCTAGCCTGCCTTACAGGGGCTGCTTAATTCCCTCTAAAAGATTGGTGATCATGACACTCTTCCCTTCCTGTGTATGTTGTTTCCCCTCTCTTTCAAGTCTGGAGATATCTAAAGTTAGCATTAATTCTGCACAAACGTTTTTCCTAGCTGTATTTAGCATGAAACCATTTTAGAAGCTTGGTTCTGGCTGGGTTTGCAAACCATGGTTTGGCCTACAGGTTTAGAAGCAGGTTTGCAAACCATGGTTTGGCCTACAAAAATGTCAGGGCAGCCACATTTATTTTAAAATAATGACATTATAACGTTCATATCATTTAACAAAATTTGCAACAGTCTGCCTTGAACATCATCCGATACAAAGGCACCACAAACCTTGAGAAACAACATAGTAAATTTTAAATAGGAGTTACTCCTGCACATAATCCATGCCATATAGTAAAATGTGAGTTGCACAGTACATGTTGATTGTTGATGCGTTAGCAAAATGTTGGCTGACTGCTTTGCTGTGCTACCAAATTGCTATTCTGTCTTTAGTATGTTGATTCATACCATTGTTTTCCACCTTGCAGACGAAGTATATTTTGTGAGATTAACATATCTATTCAGAAATAGGTCCTGTTGAGTTCAGTGGGACTTATTCCCAGGTAAGGGTGTAGCCTAGGTTGGTAGGCTACAAAGTATGCTCACTTAACCAAAAATCAGTTTCACTGAAATCAACATATGCTTCCAGTGTAACTAAACACTAAGTTAAGTATGTCATTACTAGATTAGTAAATTAAGACAGTTTTCACTGAGTTATTCTTTTAGACATAAAATCATGCCATGCCTTGTGTATATAAATTAAGAAAAATTACTTATTAGGAATAAGGATGCAAACAATTTTGATGTGCTATAGGATTCGTCATTTTACCTACTTACAGCCACAAGTTCCCATTTGCCATCAACAGGTTTCAAAGAAATTGGAGGCCTGACGACTTGGGAGGTGAGGAACCTTATGCAATTAACAAAATAGCCAAGTACTTACCAATATCTTCACCGGGTTCAGACAATCCTCCTGGAAATTTCCATGCATTTATTGTCTTAACGGGAATAAAAACAACCATATGGTTAATCTGTTTCCTTTGACAAGACACCAGAAATAAATTGCTGCCTCTCTTGACTGGTCCTTTCTTTTGTTTTTGCAAATGTGATCACCAAAATACAATTAGGTGTCTACGTGTTTTGCAATATAATAGACATATAGTAGATGTCTATTATACTGCAAGAAAACATACACTGATTTGTCTGATGACTGTTAGATGGTTTATACTTGCAACATTGCTGCTCATTAACAGTTTTTAAAAGCTGCTATAGGTAATTATATTCTATAGCCACAATCCAATGCCGAGTTAGGCAAGTTTAAGCCTATGGCCTTAAGTGTACCTAACTCTCTGTTGGACTGGAGCCTATGTAATCTAATATTTAATCATGTATACTCTACTTCAATGTTTGCAAACATCAGTACATTTTCTAAACAGTGATTGATTGTAGTACTGTTCTATACTGCACTGGCTATGAATTTTACTTTTGTGTCTGTAATAACCAATGTGTATCACATCATTTTTGGTTATGAAGCTGAAAAATAAAGCTGAAGTTATTGTGTGCCAGCTGATGAATCATGTCCTTGTGTAATTTTTAAAGACCAAAATGGATAAAGGTTTTTTACCAGCATGGTGTGATACCTGCTGCTAATGACATTCGTTTCAAAGAAGTACAGGTATGTTGATTTGCACCCCAGGAGTAATACATTACATATTTCTGATTATCTTTCCCAATTTTGTTAGACCAGCTTCAGATTAATGTATGGTTATGGGGGGGACGGGACTAAGTGTTTCCTAAAGCAGTAGTATCCTTCTAACTCACTTGGTCAGTGCACAGTAAGAGAAGGAAAACTTTCTGTAGTCAAAAAAATAAAAATAAAAATTTGTCCACTAGCACCTTATAGACCAACTAAGTTTGTTCTGGTATGTACATTTTCATTTTTGCATCCAAGGTCAAAACACCTTTTAGGTATTATACAAAAATGAAACAAAAATGAGAATGTACATACCAGAACAAACTTAGTTGGTCTATAAGGTGCTAGTGGACAAATTTTTATTATTATTTTTATTTCGACTGCGTCAGACCAACACGGCTACCTACCTGAATCTAGAATTTTCTGTAGTCAATTAGTTGGATCCAGTGTTTGTTGCACACAGCCCACACTGAAACCAACCATTGTTTAGTTGTGAATGACATGTCCAATTGATGGTGAAGGCTCCTGCCACGAAGTATGAGCAAGGGTTGGGGGGAGAGAAGCATGCTTAGTTATTTCACTGACAATGTGCATGGGGAGAGGTTTCTGCGCCACCCTGGTCCTGCTCATTTTGCTCTATTGCAGCAGTACCACGACTGACAGGGATTCTTTAGGCAAGTAGTGGGAACCTCCAGTTTGCAGGCCAAGCACAGGCTTTCAGACCTCTCTATCTGGCTCTCGGGACTCTTCCCCAGACCATGAAGACCCCATCAGCTCTGCTGTGCATTCTCCCTGAGTGCATTCACTTGGCTGGAATGTATCCTTGAACCATCATCATGCCTCTTGCCCAGATAAGAGACAGGAGTCTGGCTTTTGCATGGCTAGAATGTAGCCTATTGGATAAAAATAGGAGTTGCATCCCTTTCTTTTGCCTCTGCCCCCAACTACATGTGACCCCTGGAAGGTCCTGAAGGACACCGGTCCTGAAAGATCTACATTGGCTCCCAGTACGTTTGAGCACAATTCAAAGTGTTGGTGCTGAGCTTTAAAGCCCTAAACGGCCTCGGCACAGTATACTTGAAGGAGCGTCTCCACCCCCATCGTTCAGCTGAGGTCCAGCTCTGAGGGCCTTCTGGTGGTTCCCTCACTGCGAGAAGTAGGGTTACAGGGAACGACGCAGAAGGCCTTCTCAGTAGTGGCGCCTGCACTGTGGAACGCCCTCCCAGCAGATGTCGAAGAAATGAACAACTATCTGACATTTAGAAGACATCTGAAGGCAGCTCTGTGTAGGGAAGTTTTTAATGTTTGATCCTTTATTGTGTTTTTAATATTCTGTTGGGAGCCGCCCAGAGTGGCTGGGGAAACCCAGCCAACTGGGTAGGGTAATAAATAATAATAATAATAATAATAATAATAATAATGTTGTCCAAGGGGGGATTAATCCCCACATCAGCTCTAGGCAATGCATCTTGGTCACTTTTGCTGCTACTTCCCTGCCCCCATGGGATAAGCAAGTGTGTGTGTGAGAGAGTGACCTTCTGGCTTCCATAATGCAGCAGGGGCCATACTACAGAAAATTGCCTGTCCCATCAGAAGAAGAAGAAGAAGAGTTTGGATTTGATATCCCGCTTTATCACTACCTGAAGGAGTCTCAAAGTGGCTAACATTCTCCTTTCCCTTCCTCCCCCACAACAAACACTCTGTGAGGTGAGTGGGGCTGAGAGACTTCAAAGAAGTGTGACTGGCCCAAGGTCACCCAGCAGCTGCATGTGGAGGAGCGGGGAAGCGAACCCGGTTCACCAGATTACGAGTCCACCGCTCTTAACCACTACACCACACTGGCTGAGATGAGGGTATGAAAGCAGAGTGCAGAGAGACTCTCCCACCCCTACTTCACAGCATATTAATGGGTTCTTCACTAATTTACATATAAAACCAATTGGCGGGTAACCTATTTTGTTTCATGGGCCTTTAGACTTTGCTTTTCATGGCTGGGAACTGTTTTGCATTTTAATGCTCTTCAGCCATGATGTCACATGTGCAGCTCTTAACACAGTGCAGGTCACCGTTACACAAATACATAGACTTTGAACTTTCAATACATTTGGCCACACCACTGGAATCTAAAGTGCTGTGAAGTTTCTAAGCACACTGTTTCTGAATCTAAAAGTAGCTGCTGGCAAATTTCAAGCAATTTTTTTTTAAAGGCAGAAAGCCAAATCCTTAACAAGTACAATATGGTTCTTCATAAACTCGTTCTCCCTTGCTTAAAAGTGTGTTTTAAAATGTATTTTTGGAGGAATTGTTATTTCTTGAATCTATTAATATTATATTCTCCATCACCCATCAGATACCCAGAAAAGAGTGTTATTTTTTCCAAATTGGGATGTGTGAATTTTCCTGTGCTGCAAACTTTATAACTGTAGCCAGTTAACAGTTTACAATTTGTGTGCCAAACTTAAGCATTAACCTGGCAATTTGTCAAAACGCAGGCAGTTTTACATTACTTGCTACATTGGAGGATTTGTCCTTGAACTTTTGAATTACAAATGAAACATATAATGCCTGCCTTTCCATTAATTAAATGTGCTGTATAGCTAGCGTGAGTTGAAAACTAATCGTACAGCTAAGAAGAAGAAAAAGCAATTATTCGACCAGAATATCAGAAGGTAACTGAAAATAAACAAGACCTTATAGAAAACAATAGAAATAAATGCTTCCTGGTATATATAATTTGGTTGCTGACTGAGAATTTTTAACTATCCCAGCATTTTTTTTAGTGTAGGTAATAAATGGTTTTAAGATACGGTATAAAATTCTTTACAGTTTTATGTTTCAATTTATTATTTCTATGCCATTCTTAACGTATCTTTCATCAGCTATATTTTCCACTGAATTTAAGATACATAGCTGGATCCTCAAACTGTTAAGAGGATGGAGGTTTAATTCACCAAGTTATTGATTCATATCTACCTTAGATTTGTAGTGAGTGGAGGCAATTATCGTGTGATGGATATTCAGTGGCTGCCTTCCAGTTCCACATTACAGAAACCACCACGGCCACAACTAACACTTGTGCTTTGGCAGGTTCAGCTATGAGGCCAAGCAGCGAAGTGTATATGTGCAGTTTAAATAATCTGGCGAGTCCCATGAATAGTGGTCTATTCTGGTTATCAGCTCAGATGTGTAATTTATTGCTGTGTGGGGCTATAAATGCATCATGATGTCGCAGACAAAACACGCCTCTGTTTGGAAAAGAACCCACAGTGGTCACAGTATAACATGGGGAATAAGTGGGTTTAAACCCCATGATTGACAATCCCAAAGGGCCAGGGTGCCTAACACTGCTGAATCATGGCTGGTGCTGGCACCCGGTTTGATGGAGCCTTAGACAAGATACCCTCGCTCGGGTAGGGCCCCCTCAAAGCTTACTGGGAGGTGGGAATGTGTGGCAGCGCTGAAAGCATCATGCTCTTGCACTTCCTTGGTCCTGCACTATAAAGAGAAGTATGGGGTGAGGCATCCACAGCCACTATTATCTACCCAATGCCCAACATTCCTTTGCTCCACCTCTGATGTGTGTGTTGGGGGTGACAAGCAGAAGCTTTTGGGGTAAGAGAAGCAGTGGTAAATGTAGCTGTCTGGCCCAGAACCTTTATTTATAGTGCCAGCCCATACAAGCATGTGATGGGTCCTTCTGGGGCCCTAGTATTTGCCCCACCTGATCATGGCTATTGGCTTTACCTGGTTTCAACTACAACTATCCCAGTTGCATAGCAGAAAATCCTCTTGGCTATGGTGTTGGCAGTTGTGATTGCAATGTCAGTCCAATCCTTTTCCTCTCTGGCCCCATTTTCCTAGCAAAGGGGTGGTTCAGCCACTGCTATCCACCGTCTGGTGCCTTCTCTGCATGACTAATGTGAGTACGTCATCAAACGACCTCATGATGGGTGGGTATCTCTTGATGTTTGAGCGTGGGTTACAATGACTACGTTACATTGGCTTCAGCCCCAGGATAACTCAACACAGTAATATTGTAGGGGCCATAAGACTGATAAGGCGTCAGTATACCTGAAGGAGTGTCTCCACCTCCATCGTTCAGTCTGGACACTGAGGTCCAGCGCTGAGGGCCTTCTGGCGGTTCCCTCACTGCGAGAAGTGAGGTTACAGGGAATCAGGCAGAGGGCCTTCTCGGTTGTGGTGCCCGCCTTGTGGAACACCCTCCCATCAGATGTCAAAGAAATAAACAACTATCTTATGTTTAGAAGACATCTGAAGGCAGCCCTGTTTAGGGAAATTTTTAATGACTGATGCTTTATAATTTTTTATGTGTTGTCAGCCACCCAGCCAAATGGGTGGGGTATAATAAAATTATTATTATTATTATTATTATTATTATTATTATTATTATTATTACTATTATTATTAAAATCTCATTCAAGTCCATAGGGCTACATTAGATTCAACACACGTATGCCAATGCAATTGACTCATGCATTGTAGCTTTAAGTCATGTACAATTCAACATGGGTTACTGCTTACAGAGTGAATTGTACAGAGTAGAGTTATTCTGCCAGTTTTGGCTGCCTTGCTGTCTCTGCTAAAACTTTTAATAAATTCTCTTCAAGCAAATTACAGCAGACGCCCAGTAGCTTATTTTTAAAACCTCAAATGTAGCTTGCTTTTCTTTCCAAAATACGAAGAGAAATTAGGCTGCTCCTCGCAAATTAATGGTTTAAATTTTTCTTCAGTTTCCATCCTAGATTCTACCAAACCCATCTACTCCCTGTAATTCTCTCTGTAACATCCCGTAATGGCTATGAAACATTTAAAGGCACAAACAAGATATGTTCAACTTGATCCAATGCATTCTTACTCAGAAGTGTTCCGCTGTGGTGGTCAATGGGACACTGGGGAGTGAGAATGCATAACACTTCACTTTTAATGTGCACTTGCTGATTATCTGTTAATTTAACAAATGGCTGAATTTCAACCCACCAAATAAAGAGTGTGTGAAGGGTCTGCAAACTGAAACCCACTCAAACAAAACCCACTCAAGCCTTAAATTCAAACAAAAGATTATGAAGATAACATCAATGACTTAAAAGCAAAAGCAAAAGCAAAATGCCAGTATCAAAATCCAGTAAAACTCAGTGAGCTTTTGTACAGATTGTTTAGGAACTTCCAGAACTGAATTACCCTTTCTAAATATAGTTAGCTGATGAAAAAGTATTACTTCAGACCATTGCTATCCCAACTAATCATTGGCAAAAACAATGATCACAGAGATGATCTACACTCAGAAGTATTGGCCTTTGACATTTTGTCACTACAGATGGAAGCGAATAAAGTTAACTTTTAACCATTACATGATATAAAAGACAAACAGGCTTCTTAATACAATTCACTACATTCAAGTCAAAGGGCTGGATCTTGATAAAGGCCAGAGGAAGAAATTCTGGTGGTGGCACTGTTCTGCGAAATGCTGTGGAAGACTTAGCGCAGGCATTGAGCAAGGACACATCTTGAGATGGTGTGCAAGGTCTTATGCACGAGACCGTGCAATGCACAGATCTTGTGCCAAAACCTTCCAGCAAGCGGAAGTATGTCTCCAGCACCAAATTATTTCTTCTAGATAATGTGAAAGACTTACTTTATTCCTGTCCTGTACGACCAATACTTTCCCAGTGTGGACATCTAATACAGCACCTGTTGGAGAAAGAATATTTTCTGTATCCTTGGATGTTTAATCAAGAACCAATGATTGAATGTTATATTCAAAGCATTGGATGTTAAGGGGAGAGGGGGAAATTAAGGGTGATTCTTTAGAGAAAATATACTATTGGAAATGCCATCTCTCATGACGAAACCAATATAGCGATCACTTTCCCAAATTTGAAACAAGTGGCTCAGATGTTTATTAGTTATGAGGCTGATGATCCAGAACCCTGTCAAAATGTGCCTGCATCAGTTTTGCCCTGTCTCTCTGCCCACCTTACCCAAAATTTAAAGCCTCTTAATGGACAGGCAGTGGCTTCTGAATGCATGTTTAGCCACTGACTTCTGTGGGCTGTCTGAATGTTACATTTTAATCCTGCATTTTTAGAGGACAATGAGATTACATTTATGAAGGCATATATACTCCAAAGCAAAAGTATTTCCATATGCACACTTAATAAACTAATCACACTTTTATGTGTGGGAGGAATGGTTTATAAATGAAACAGCAACCCTGATGTAACATTCTGAAAGGTCATTCCTTAGGAAATTAGTCATAAGTCTTCCAGCCTATGCCATACAATGATATGACTTTGTCCTTCTGGTACATGGTTGGCAGTGTTCTGGTTGGTGTGGAATCTTATTTAGGATGCAAGGCAAAAGCTCAGATTAATTTGGAAGTTACCTGCTAAGAATGTGCTTGGCTTTTGTGTTACAAAAGGAGTCTCAGATTTCTATGACACTTAAGTGTGAATGAGCAATCTGGCCAGCGAATTCTGCCCCGGCGGAAGTTTCTGAACTGTCTTCAGAGGCAGCCCTATGTATAACACGTTGCAGTAATTTAACCTAGAGGTTACCAGAGCATATTGAAAGCATAATACTATTTTTAACAACATAGTGAAGTATATTACTCAGCGGACATTTTACTTTGGTTTCAATCATAATGTCCTTTTTACTTTTGTGTTGTAAAAAAGTTTGTGTGAAAAATAATAACCATACAGTATGTTATTATTAAAACCTTCCTGTGCATTGAGTTACTGCATAAATAGGCAGGAAGTAGCGTTTGTTTGAAATGTAAGCGCTTTAGGGCAAATCTAACTACCATTATATTTCAAAAATCGCTGAAGACAACAGGGTTTCTTTAAGCAACTGAGATTGACATGCATACCCTGACAGTGCTTTTAGCATTATATTTTCTCTTGACAGAGGCAGGCTCTTACAGTTGTCTGGAGATGGAAATAGCCTGCAGGAATGAGGTACTGATACAAAAAATGTTCGTTTGTGGTGGTTCTAGGTAAGGAGAGGTAGGGTGAGGGGAGGCCAGGTAACAGGCACACAGCACAGGCAGGCAGGGACTATGCCATGTGCCAGCCCCTTGTCCAACCTGGGAAGTTGTGCTTGTCCTTTCAGATACCGCTCAGGTCTATGGCGGCTGCTGCTGTTGAATGCCAGGTTGGCTTTGAATAAGACCTCCCTCAGTCATGATCTGATTGTGGATGAGGAGGCTGATCTGGTCTGTATCACTGAGACCTGGGTGGGTGAGCCATGTTTTAATTACTGTACAGTTGTACCTTGGTTTTTCGAACAGCATAGTTCTTGAACGTTTTGGCTCCCGAGCAGTCCTGAACAGTGACTGTTCCGGTTTTTTAACTATTATTGGAAGCCGAATGTCCGATGGGTTTCTGATTGGCTGCAGGAGCTTCCTGCAGCCAATCAGAATCCCCAATTTGGTTTTTGAACGTTTTGAAGGTCAAACGGACTTCCGGAACGGATTCCGTTCGACTTCCAAGGTACGACTGTACTGTTTTCCCCATAAGCTCGAAAACATGCTCAAACATGCCCTTAAAAACAAATCAAAAAGTATTTTTTGTCTTTGCTGCCCTCTACCGATTTAGCTATGCTACAATCCTAAACCAACTTTTTGTGGTCTGGAAAATTTTGTGATTTGAGGCGGGATCCGCAACTCTGGTTATTATTAGCCACTGTTAGCACCAACACCGACAACAATACACAATGTTTCTCTCTCTCTGAAGCTCACCTGCAACTCCTACTTGATGAGTAGCATAATGGGGTAACCTGCTGTGTCCTTCTGCTAGCCAAAGGGTGAGTGTGGCAGAGTCCGATTCTGCATGGTGGAAGGCAAAGCCTTGCTCTGCAGCCACAGCTATAAATCTGCTTTGTAGAATAGGAACATGCAGCCAGACTGCTACGTAGCCTTCTGTTCTCCATTGCCTGATAGAATCTGGGAGGAGAGAAGCACAGCAGAATATACTGATGTCTATGCTGGGGCTCGCTAGCTCTTGGAGGCTTGGAACAAGTGAGGGTCACTAGCCTCATCAAGCCCTCTATACAATGTCCATATACTGTATAAGGGGTAGCTATGGTTGCTTCAGTGATGTGATAAATATGTGCACAAGCTATGATGAATTATCATTTTGAATGATCCCATATCTGAAAGCTAAATGCTGGCATTAATCACACTGGCTGTATTTGTACAGAGATACAAAGAAACAGGCAATTTGGCTGCAAGATACAGTTGCTTTTCTTCTTCCCTTGTTGTGCAAGAAAACTAAACATGGATTCAATTAATTCCATTCGAACTGGGCAAGAAGCCAGGATATGAAGCTATGATTCGGATGAAACAAGGCATGGGGGGATTCTAAATCCTATATCGGCAAATCCAGGTTGCATCATCGTTATATGGACAGTGTTGCGCAACCAACAAGCTGATCGCCCACCGGGAAAAGAAGTGTTGGGAAAACGCGGACTAAATGAGCGAGCTTTCGTCTGCCAGGCAGCGCCTCGAGCGCCGACCCTGCAAAGAAGCGCCAGTCTCCCCAGAGGCTCAGCAAAATGCACTTGCCCTGCAGGCACCTCCGGAAGGTTTCTGGCTCCAGGCTCTCCGGGGAGCGCAGCTGCGACAGGCGCACGCTCAGCCCGCCAAACTTATCCCGCAGCGGCTGCAGCCCGGCCTCGGACAGGCCAGAGGCGGCGGCGGCGGCGGAGTCACCTCGAAGGCGGCCACTCGAGCAAACGCGGCGCGGAGGACGAGGCTGCAAGAGCCGCCAAGCCAAAGGCAAGAGCCGTCGGCCCCGCGCCGTCCACCCGGCCCCTAACATGGCGGCAGCTCCGGCGACAGCAACAAGCGAACGCCTCAGAGATAGGAAACGGGGGAAAGGCTAATGGCGCAGACTTCCGGTAGTCATGGGTAAAGCTTTGCTCACGTCCTCCTGGAAAGCGAAGTAGGGGCGGTTCGCTTTGCCTCGCCGCGTCTCGGCTGTTAAGAGAGAGAGAGAGATGGATGGATATTAAACTTTATTTAGTTATTTAATTGATTGCATCTGCTGTTACGAGAGAGAGAGATAGATGATGTAAACTGCGGTTAGGCGTGCAGTGGCAAAGTAACGTGAGAATAGCAGTGAAGCGATGAAAGCGGAGGTGAAACCACTCTAAAGCGGCAGTCCTGCACCCTCTTACCTTGAAACCGATGGGACTTAATTTTAAGTGGACACATTAAAAGGGTGCAATCCTATGCATACCTAACTGGGAATAAGCCCTATTGAACTTCTGTTAGGCACAGAATTGCGCTTCACGACAACTATCAGTTTAACGCTACGCGTGTTTGACTTAAAAGTGAAGTTTAACGGGACTTGCTTTCTAGTTCGTTGATCGCTGGCTGAAAACAACAGCGCCGCTTTAAATCAAAGTGAAAACCCAAATTCAGTTGGAGGCCGCAAGTGTTGGTCGCAGCTGCGGCGTGGGAGCCTTACCGTCCTCTTAGGGGACGTGGCTCAAGAGCCGGGTCTCTTTAGTCCCAAAGCAGTTCCGAATGGCAATTCCGGCATGGCATCGAACTCGGTTGACAAAGCGGTCAGAGTTGCAGCGATAGAGGGACAATCTCTTCGCTCGTAGAAAAAAAGCTCAAACCACTTTGGGCGCCCCAGGCGTCAGCGAGGGTTGCTACGCCGGTGGCAATGACATTTGTTTGCGTGGGATGGGGGGAGTATTGTTGGGTCAGGTTAGCCATATTGAGTCCTGTGCTGTGGTTGGGTTTTTGTTGTAGTTGGGCTGTGTAGGATTTCTGTAACTCTATGAGATGCAAGGTAGCTTTCCTCTGAGGCGGAGTCGAGGGGCGGCGCTGAGAGGATTCAACTCAATAGTTCCCTAAAAGATTCCCATTTTAAAAGATCCCTGGCACTAACTTCTTTTTAAAAAGCAACAACAGCCACACTTTTTTATATATAAAAAATGTTGCTGTTTCAAAGCGTCTCGGGGAAAGGGACTCTTATGGTATCACTTTTACCACATAGGCGTGCTTCCACCATTCCTGCCCCGCATATGGAGGAGACCAAGGCTGGCGATCGGGTCCGGAAGTGGGAGGTTGCGCGGGGCGCCGCTCGGCCGCGTTGCAAGCACAGCTCCTCTTTGGGCGGCGCCGGCCTTCCTCGGGAGAGAAGCATCTCCGGCTCCGTTGCGCCGCCTCCCGCGTGCTCCCCTCCTGCCCGGTGCCATGTCCTCCTCCTGCAGGAGGAAAAGCAAGGGGCGGCCTCCCCACCCGGACGCCGCTTCTCCGCTTGCCCTGCGGCAGGCGGCTCCCGAGGCTCCCGGCAGGCTGAGCTTGGCTGCTGCAGAGTTCCTGAGCAAAGGTAAGGCTGGCAGCCCGGAGCTAAGCGACTCAGCTGGAACCGGTTTTTCTCAGAGACGTCGGAGTCCCTCATGTGGAGCTTGTTTAAAACAACTACGATTAGCCAAGCGAGCGTGGTTTGCTTGCACCCTCGATGCCCCTCCCCGCTCCTGTTCACAGCCGCCCTGGGAAAGTGGGACTGGCCCACGATCACTCGCGGAGCTCCATGCAAATGAATCTTGGGCGCCCACCCACCCCGTCTAAGTTCAGTGCTTTCGTAGCTATGCCACGCTTTCCCTCTGTCTTGCAGTTTTGTCCTCGATCCTCCTTTTCTTTAATGGGGATGCAGAACTTCCATCATTTAAGTTGAGTGAGTTGTAAATTCCTATGCCGCTCTATAGTTCCCAAAGAGGAACTCCAAAGAGCAACTAGAGTTTTGTGTTGCCTCCAACACGAGTTTATAGGGTGATTGCAAATGTGTCGGTTTAACACGCAGGAGTCTTTCTTCATTGGTATCTTGAAAACACTCCCTTCCCCCCTTTGGTGTGTGTCAGATGTGTGTGCATGGAAAAATCCACATTCCTACTCCTTATGACCTGTAAAGTCTCAAAGTGGTTCAGAGGAGACAAGTGAGGGAGAGGCAGGTTGCTTATTTATTTTCCCAGATTGATTTCCTTTCCTCTAAGAATCTCAAGGCTATACTGCATGTGGTCATACAAACACAGCCAAGGTCTACCGTATTTTTCACCCTATAGGACACACTTTTTCCCCTCCAAAAATGAATGGGAAATCTGTGTGCGTCCTATGGGGCGAATACAGGCTTTCGCTGAAGCTTGGAGAACGCAAGGGGTCTGTGCGCACCGACCCCTCTCGCTCTCCAGGCTTCAGGAAGCTATAAGCAAGCCTGGGGAGCCCGCGGGAGTTCCCGTAGGGCTCCTTAGGCTGCGGATAGCAGCTTGCCGCCCGGCGCGCGGGATGCCCTGAAGCAGAGCGCCCCGCGCGCCGGGCAGATATCGGCCAGCCCCACAAGCTCGGGGGACAGCGGGGAGGCACAGCGCCGCCATCCCGCTGTTCCCCGACCTGGTTTTGTGGGGGAAATAAAGGAAAATTTCCCCCCCTTTATTCCCCCCCCCCCCAAAATTAGGTGCGTCCTATGGGACGAAAAATACGGTATTTAAAACAAGCATCTGTAGCAAAATCTTACCATGTATCCAGCACAGAAATATTTAGGATGTTGTCCTAGAGTTTTTTTGGTTGCTTGCTTTAGATATTGATTCTTTGGATAAATAAACATTTTTGCACTTTCATATTCTGTTACGGGTGATTGTGAAGGCCAATAGTGTAAACAACTTTTGATACAAAATTAGACACAGTGATTTCTGTGACAACACAGTCTGTTACTCATAGTAATGTTTTTCTTTGGGGGGCGGGGATAGGTTTTACATGGCTAGAAATCGTTGCTTGAGCAAATGATAAATCACAGCACACGTTGTTTCTTCTTTAATTTTAGCAGATGACAAAGTCCCCAAAAGTTACAGAAGATCTCTTGTGCAGCTGGCCCTCAACAACATGAAACTGGCAAATATATGCATAGGCCGACCAGTGTTGCTCACCAGTAAAAATGGAAAACAAGAGGTGATGATTCTTTTCATGTTGAATTGTTGGGGTGTGGTGGTGATGGTGGAAGAATGATTATGCTAAATCAGTGGGAAGCAATTCAAACATGCGTTGAGCCCTTCCATGGGATTTCCTGGGAGAAGGCTTGGCTGATTTCAAAGCTTTACGTTGAGAAAGAAATTTCTGATATTGGGGTGTGATGCTTTTAAGCAAGTGATCAGTCCCTCAGAACTTATGAAGTTCTCTAGGTGTGGGCAGCTTTTCGCCCTCCAGATGTGATTGAACTTAATTTCCATGGGCTGAGCTAAGTGAGCTTCGAAGTCAGCTTGATTTTACTGTTTTAAGTTTTGTAAACCACTTTGAGGGTTGTTGTTGTTTACAATCAGTGTATAAATTTAAACAAACAAACCTCGCTGCAGCATTCTGCACCACTGCAGCTTCCAGAACAATTCCAAGGGAAACCCCACAAAGAGCAGATTACAGTAGTCCAGTCACTGCTGTAATTCATTTAATTCATATAATCTATACATTGGTAGATTATTAAAAACAAACAACCTCAAAGCAGTTTACAAAAAGATAAGGCAATACAATAAAATAAAAATGTTTGCATCCCTATTTTCAAACCTACAGAAGCTAAAATACTACAACAGATTAAAATGACCTCAACTTTCTGGGTAGGCTAGTCTAAAGAAGAATGTTTTCAGAAGGCACTGAAAAGGGTAAATTGAAGGCACCTGCTTGATCTCAATGGGCAGGGAGTTCCAAAGTTGAGGTACTGCCACACTAAACGACCGAATTCTCACTGACATGGATCAGGCATTATGTGGCCTATTTGTTGTTAAACAAATAGGAGCCTATTGCAAATTATCAGAGATTTGTCAAGAGATCCTGCCCTCTCCTGGACTAGAGGCAATAAAGGCTATGCTGTTATCTCCAGGACTATGATTTCCTGGAGCTTATGGAAAGTGATGGTACAGGGAGGAGAAGGAAGGGAAGAGATGATGGAACTCAAGTCTCTGAAGCAATTTCTTGGAAGTGTTGTGGCCTTTCTGGCGAACTGCAATTTCCCATTGCATCCAGAATGGAATCACATGACCCTTGCACCTCCTACCCACAAGTAAGGGAAGCAGCGCGGTGCTGTTTTTTGCATCTTCGCAACTTCTGGTCCAGGAGAGCCCAAATGTAACCGGAGAGAGAGAGAGACCTGGAATATATACCAAATGCTTCTCGTCTTTACCCATGTTGCATTTTAACAGGTGAGACCACTGGTCCATGTAGCTAAGGATGGTCTACTTTGATTAGCAGCTGCTCTCCAGGGTTTCAGATGGGACATTCCCAGTCCTATCTGGAGATACTGGGGATTGAACCTGGTACATTTTGTGAGCTATGTTCCTTGCCCCTGTTCGTCCCTCCCCTGTGCTCACTGCCCCCCCCGCCCCCCGCCAAAACCTGAGGATTGAGAGGAGCAATTTAAGATTTGTTAATTGCTGGTTCTGTGTGTTATATTTTGGATAGGTTTGTACTGCATGGCCTGTTGCCGGCTTTCCTGGTGGAAAAATTGGCTTAAGTGGAATTACACAAAAAAATCTGAAAGTGGGACTTGGTGAAGCAGTCATCGTCGAGCCTGTGACTGGTGCTGTTATGCAGGCAGAGGACGTACATTTGAAGCTGAGGTATGTTGAAAATATATGCATCTTCTCCAGTCTTCCAATGGCCAAGACAGAACACACCCACCGCACCCCTCCCTATGGTTTCTCTGGCTTTCGAGAGCCGCCTGGGGGGCGCATGCAGGGGGAAGGAGTGGGGGAACCCCATGGCACTAGTGGAAGTCCTCTTATGAGTGTCTGCTAGTGGGACATGTGAGTTGGATCCAGCCCATTGTCTATTGTAAACTATGGTTGAATGTAGGGTTGTGAACTGGTCCAAGAGGTATTTCCTGAAGGTAGATTTGTAGAGTTGGCCATATTGATTTCATATACCTGACACACATAGGGCGCAAGCTGACTTTGTTAATGGGCGACACAAGGGAGTTACTGGAGTTGGAATGCAGTATTTTGGTGTCACCGCTGCAACCTTTTATCTCTCTCATGGTGGTACTGGATTTCTGACAGCACCAAATTCTATCACACAGTCAGAACGCAGGAAGCTGAACCCATCCTATATTGTATGTTTGGAACCAGCATTTCCCATGTTCTTCAAAAGAGAGCGCAAATATAACTACTTTTTTTTAATATAACGGAAACAGAAAAAAGTCTCTCAGTGAGACTTTATTTTGAGTAGACATGCGTATGCGTGTATTGTTAGTTTCTTATGCTAGGCTACATGTGGTTGTTCTTGAATTACACTTGCTTTAGCAATAACTTTCTATTCATCAGTTATTATTGATGTGGGTAATATAGTGCCATGTTGTAATTTTCCCACACATTTCCAGGAGCGAAGATGCTTGCCTTAATGTGGACGAGTTGACTGCCAGTCTCCTAAGAAATCTAGGTATGGGTTTTAATCTATTTGTTCTTGGTGTATTATTCCCTTCTAATCACTTTTCTTTCTTTCTTTCTTTTTCTTTGGAATGCTAAATAATACATTCTGTGCTAATGTGTGGGGAGACTCAGCCAGATGGGCAGGGTATAAATAATAAATTATTACTATTGTTATTATAATTGTAAAAACTGACAGAAAATACTGCATTCCTTTCTTCTCCCATATTGTCACCCAGCATGTGA